CCTTTCTGAGAGGCCCGAGTCCAGGACGCCGGGGGCATCCGTGCCCACCCCACCCTTTGGTGCCTGGTTTATACAAGACATCTTGGAGAAGTTGTGAAGAATCCGTGGCTGGAAAGTAAAGCCGTGCAGATGTGGAACTGTCCTTTTGCTTTGCTGAGGTGTGATACTCCCATTAAAGAGTTTCATACTTTTGATGGAAACAGCTGAAACTTTTGCGGTAATTTAGATTCACTATTTTGACTTGGGCTGTGTGTGAGGAGGGCTCCTCTGGCTGGGCAAGAGGACCCTCAGCTCGCGCACGCTCTCTCTCTTTCCCTCTCTCTCTCTCTCTCTCTCTCTCTCTCTCTCTCTCTCTCCCTCCCTCTCTCTCTCTCGTCTCTTTACAGAAGAATTACTTTAAGGACTTGCGCAAAGCCCACACCGCCTGCGAGGGGGCTCTGAACGGGATGACATTTTACGTGGGGCTGCAGGCTGAGGATGGGCACTGGACGGGTGATTACGGTGGCCCACTTTTCCTCCTGCCAGGTAGGAGTGTGCTGCCCCAGCCTGAGCGTATGGCCACCCTGGGTCATCCTGGTCTAGGGTTTTGATGAAGAGGTGAAAATCCAGGAGCTTACATAGGAAAGGACGAGCAAACTGCCCTCTGTCAAAGTTGACCTGCAATTGGTGCTAGGGGATCAGCTGGCCTTGGCAATGTAGGATGACAGGCCCTCTGATATGGGAAGCAAGTGGTTCTCTAGGGGTCTGCTGCCTTGAGGGAGGAGAAAGGTGGGCTTTGAAGTCTCATCACAGAGTGGGATGCGCATTCCAGGTAGAAGGCCTGGCCTATGCCAAAGGGCTGTAGGTGGGCAGAGTGGTAGGCGGGAAGCTGGTAACTGCTTTGAACTTACCCTGAGCTGTTGCAGGGGAGCTCATGCAGGGGAGCATCAGGTCCAGGCGTCAGCTGGATGCCTGGGTACTGAACTGCTTTGGCTACACAAGAGTATTTTGCATCCTGGGAGTGTTTCTTCACAGAAATCCTCAGCCTTGTAAAATGGGAAATTCCCTCTGCAATAGGACCTTTTCCCTAGTGACTTCTAATCACATTGTTGCACTGATGTGAATTCCTACATAAATAGGGTTTCTTTCTGTGATGACTCTTATCGATAGTGTCGTTTTCTTTTACTACGCTGTTAATTATAACTTTGTAGTTGATTTTAAGTCCTTATATACCTTTGTTGCCTTTCTTTTTAAAACATCTCTTGGCTGTGTCTCTCCATTTACTCATCCAAATTGCCTTTATCCTGATTCTGTCCCAGAATAAAACCTGTTGGGACTTTGAATGAAGTTGCATCAGCTTATGTGTTAGTTTGGGAAGAGTTGGCCTTCAATGTTAAAACTGGTTCCATGGTGTTTACTGCAGTCCAAGCCCTCCTCAAGGCCTGCTCTTCTTTTAGTCCTTAGACTAAGCCTAATGGGATCCATTAGGAAGCTGAGGCGTATTTCTTCCAGGCCACCAGACTAGCAAGACGAGCACTGGGATTCCATCTCTGCTTTGACTCCCAGCGCTGCTGCCACCTGGACGTACAGCATTGAGTTTTTCTGTCCTGGGATTTGAGGGCCTGTCGTTAGGGGAAGTTGGGGTGCTGTTTCTCCCCTTGGCCCCATCAGGGCCTGTTGAGACAGTTCCTGGGGCTCATGGTAAGACAATGACGTAGAGTTGGTCGGGAGATGAGTCAGCCTCACTTTGCCTCTGTAGCCTCATCTGTGAGCGGGCTGGAATCAGGTTTGGTTATGTGCACGGTGTCAGGCACGCTGTGGTGTTTGGTCAGTGCGGTTTCCATGTTGTTTTGTTCTTGCTGCTTTGGCTCTGGGCTTAGCTTGCTGGGACCCTTCCTGTGGGCTGGTTGTGAGTTGGGTCTTTTCTTCCTTTTTTCTGGACTTTGGAAAATGCTCCTGGAGTCCATGATCCTGTGTAGACAGCTCCCGTCGAGTGTGCCTGTGTGGCACTGGGCAGCACTGTGGTGAGCACTGATAGGGGTCTGACCTAGTCCCACCATTTACTGGCTGTGCCTCAGTTTCCTTGCCTGTAAAATCAGGAAGATGCTGGCTCTGCAGACTGGCTCTGCTCCTGTCTGCACACTTCCCTGTCCTAACAGCATTGGAACTTAGGAAGAGATGGGCATGTTTTGGGATAGCTCATTTTATGTGAACCTGTGCAGTGTTTCTCAGTCCATCTGCCCGTCTTCCAGGGCATGTCTGTATTGTTTGTCCACTAGGGCTTCTGATGCTCTAAGCCAGAGTCAGGCATTCATTCCATGGCACGTGTGGCTGGGGTCTGCCCTGAGACCTGCCCCATGCCAGGCTCTGGGGGCACATGGCTGACGGAACCAAGCATGGGGAATGGAGGTGGAGGGTGGCCTGTGAGCACCGTGCCTGAAAGGACCAGGCTGGGGACAGAGGTTCTTAGTGGATAATATTTGTTGTTGTCGCTCCCTCCCCCCGACATTTGTAAAGTGGCATATGCTTATAAAAAAATCTATGAAACAGAAAAATATGAATAAGAAAGTAGGTATTACCCCATCCAAGGGTGACCAATTTTGTATTTTTTTCCCAGCATATGTTAAAGCAAGACCAACAGTCTCCCCTCATGGAGGGTCCACTGATCTAAAATGCTGGTTCCCTTTGGACCTTCAGGGCACTTGGGGGAGGCCTTCCTGAGGTACTGTGCAGTGTTTGGTGTTTCTCTGACCCAGAGGGTCATGCGAGCCAGGCGTGGCTGAGTGGGCTCTGCAGGCCCTAGACAGGGAGCATCGCCTGTGCTGTGGCTGACGTCTTCTCTGGCCCTGTTTCCAAAGTCCCTGGTGGCCTGGGAGGAATGGCCTTTCCAGAGGTGTTTTTATGGGAAGTAGGTAGCTCCCTGTTGGAGTGGGGTGCTCAGGAGGAAAGGGGCCTGGTCTTAGCAGTGAAGGCCACCTCCCCAAAGTGAGGAACATCTCTCCTGCCACACAGGCCTCCTGATCACTTGCCACGTGGCACGCATCCCTCTGCCAGCTGGATACAAAGAAGAGATTGTGCGGTACCTGCGGTCAGTGCAGCTATCCGACGGCGGCTGGGGCCTGTGAGTGTGCCTGCCCCAGTGTCACTTGTGTGTTCTCATGTGGGAGATGCTTGGGTTTCCAGGCAGCTGCCAGGGGGGTAGGAGGATGGCAGCTATGGGCCTGGGGTGGGTTGGGGAGAGCCTAGCAGGAGGGGAGTGGGGTGAGGCTGTGCAGGTGGGGCCTTGGCTTCACACCTTGTGTTAAATGGGATTTGTGGCTGTTAGGACACTCTTGAGACCCACATGTGGAACCTGTCAGTCTGTTATCACTAAGGCAGAAGAAAATTGCCGTTGACGCTTGTGGGGGGAAACCCAGCAAGAGCCGAGGCAACGGTCTGAGGCCTCAGTCTACTTTCATATAAATATTGAATTAGAAAAGAATTAGAGATATAGTTACATAGTTATTCCTATGTATGATAAATAATCCCATAGCTATTCACATGTAATCATAAATATACATATACACAATCATATAATCTTCAATTTTACTAATAAGTCTCAGGTCAAGAAGTATGGAACTGAAGTGGCATTAGGAAAGAGGTGACCCTAAGGTAAGATGCTCTAAGCCCTCTGTCACGCCCGCATAAGGGCTGCTGGAGGGTGCCTTGGCTGTGCAGCAGCGCCATCGCTGTGAAAGTGCCCGCTGTTTAGCCAGCTAGGGAAGGAGACGTCCAAGATGGCTGAGATGTCTCCTTCCTTGAGGGAGTTAGGAGAAAACTCTGCTCTTCCAAGCTCTAGTGGTAGGCCTGGCGGCTGTCAGGGAGGCCTGCAGACATCTGGGGACTTAATCGTCTCTGTGCGATGCTGTGCTTCAGCGGTCACATTCCACGTCTACTTTCACGTTCTGCTTCAGCACCTGGTCCCTCTCTTTCTCAAAAGGTAGGAATTAGTAATCGTAACATAAATCTTAGGGACCTTGCTATTTCGTGACAAGTACGAAAAAAGTGCTGATGCCTTAGGTTTTCCCCTCGCCTCGGCTTCTTGAAAATCCTGAGCCCCGTCTCCAAGACAGGTGACTTACCTGACCCTGCCACTGACCACCATTGCCTCAGCCTTTCTGCCCTGCTCCCTGCTTTGTACTCAGTAAAAGTCAGATTGTCCAGGTCCTCGGGGGCCACTGCTGGTCTCTGCAGTTTGGTAGCAGTGGACCCCTGGGCCCAAACTCTCTTTTCTCTATCTGTTTTTATTTTCACAGTTTCTTGTCTTCACACCTGTAGAGAAGGACTACTTTATGACCTGAGACTTATTAGTAAAATTAAAGATGATATGATTGTATATACGTATATGTTTATGATTACATGTAAATAGTTATGTGATTATGATTATATATAGGAATAACTATGTAACTGTATCTCTAATTCTTTTCTAATTCAATTTTCATACGAAAACAGACTGCGGCCTCAGACTCTTGCCTCCGCTCTTGCAGGGCTTCCCCCCACAGACTCTGGGCTGGCAGCAGGTGGAGGCAGGGCTGGGCTGGACAGCTTTCCTGCAGTGTGGCACACACACTGGGAGCCGAGCCGTAGCCCAAAGTGGACCGCCCTCCGGAGGGTGTAGAGCAGGCGGGTCGGGTGTCGTGGGGGGTGCATGAACTCCTACTGGAGAGTGGCTGCTCAGGTGTCTCCTGTGTTGGCATGTTATGTCAGGGTGAGGGATTTCAGCATTCTTAGTTTTCTGAGGAAACTCAGAAAGTGTCGCTTTATTTCTCAGAAGTAAAGACAGATACCGATTTCTCACCTGCGCTCTGCTCCTGTAGGCACATTGAGGATAAGTCCACTGTGTTTGGGACTGCACTCAACTATGTTTGTCTCAGAATTCTGGGTGTTGGGCCTGATGATCCTGACGTGGTACGAGCCCGGAACCTTCTTCACAAGAAAGGTATGCCCCGTGCAGCACGTGCTGGGTCAAGGCTTCACGTCAGCTCTAATGAGCTCTCACAAGCGAGATGTAGAAAGGTCCACCTCCAGATGAAACAGTGGGCCAAACACATCAGCAGGGAATCTGTCAAAGCGGAAATGCGCAGAGACTGTTTAACCAATGCATCGTTTCTTAAAAAGCAAATTAAGAGCCAGGCACAGTGGCTCACGCCTGTAATTCCAGCACTTTGGGAGACAGGTGAGCCTAGGAGTATGAGGCCAGCCTCAGCAACATAGTGAGACCCTGTCTTCACAAAAATAAAATATTGGCCAGGTGTGATGGTATGCACCTGTAGTCCCAGCTACTTGGAGGCTAATAAGGCAGGAGGATCACTTGAGCCCAGGAGTTCTGGGTTGCAGTGAGCTGATTGTACCACTGCACTCTAGCCTGGGTGGCAGAGTAAGACCATGTCTCTTAAAAAAAAAAAAGCAAAGCAAATTAAGACAACCAGGTTTTTATTTGTTTCCGGAACTGAGCAAGACTTAAATGAAACACATTAATATGTTGCTTGAGGAAGAACACAGGAAGCTGCCTTCTGGGGACAGCCTGGCTGCAGGCGAGAGCAGCCCTGGAGCTTGTACCTTTCAAGCTGGCCCTGGCCTGGCTACCTCTCCTCTTGCCTGTCGGCCCTGAGGGTGATTTCAGCCAAGGGAATCCATGGCTTCTGCTGCTCCAAGAAAGTCTACATGTTGTGGCTCTGCAGAGCCTGGACTGGTTTTTGCCCCCTGCCTTTCACAGACCTTCCGTAGCCCATCCTGCCTGCCCTGCTCTCTGCTCCATGTACAGGGGTGACCTGTCAGCTCCTCAAACATCCTTACTACACCAGGGCTCACCATGCACTGCTTCCTTAACCCGGAACCTCTTACCTCCCACTCCTGCCCTGGTGGCTCACCCTTTCAGTGTTACTTCTTTGAGGGCCTCTTCCTGACCTGCCGTGCCAGGTGGAGTGTCCTGTAATGCATTCCCATGAGATCCTGCCTCCTTCCTTCGTGAGCTTATCACTGTTGTCATCAGTTCACTGTCAGCCTTTGGTGTCATTGATGCTGTGTTCCCAAGGCTGCTGACTGGTTCCTCGCCGCAGTCCTGGCGCCTGCCAGGTGGAGGAATGTGTTTGGGCTGCACTTTAGTAGCTTTGTGGGTGTTACTGACTTTTGCATACCCTTTGGGGTTTGGAGCAGGGACTCCTCAGAAGTGTGTTTAGACAGCGTGGCTGTACCAGAACCGAGTGCTGCTGGAAGTGGCTCTGGCATGTGGGGCCAGTGTGCCGGGGCTGCTCTGGAGTCTGGGGCTTGTCGTTTTTCCCGTACAGGACAGACTGGGGCAGCTGAGGCTTGGCTCAGCGTGCGAGTCCGAGTATGCGCTCCCAATTCCGCTCATTGCCTTCTCCAGGCACATGTGGATGTGGCTGCCATGTGCACCTGGGCCCCTCACTCGCATGAGCAGGGAGGTGTCCCTGGACCTTCCAGGTGTGTCTTCATGTGCTCCTTCCTGGGGCCAGGGGTTGGAAACACCTCTCCTGGGGCTGGAAACACTCCCAGGAAAGCCACTAGTTTCACCTAGGGGACGTGCGTCCAGGGCATTTCTGAGCACTTTGGAACCTGCTTCTCACATGGGATTGCAAGATCCACATGAGGCTGCCCTTGGCTCATGGAGAGGGGCACACTTGACTCCTGGGTGAAGCTTCACAGCTAGAGACATCGTGGGCTCTGCTGACAAGAAGCAGATGACACGGGCCCATTCTCTTCCCTCTCAGGTGGTGCTGTGGCCATCCCGTCCTGGGGGAAGTTCTGGCTGGCTGTCCTGAATGTTTACAGCTGGGAAGGCCTCAACACCCTGTTCCCAGAAATGTGGTATGCCTGCTGTTGAATTGGTTGTCAGGTGGCTGCTGCTTCCCTGAAGAGTAGAGTGACAGGGACCATGGGTCAAGTGCAGGCTGTTAGACAGAGAGGGGTGGTGGTTCTGTGGGTGGGTGCAGTTAGGCTCCTGGCGGGGTCCTTGATCGAGCTGAGTCCTACAGGGATACAGAAAGGGGGTTCCCAACTTGGCAGGAAGGAGGCTGTGCTGTGGATGGGGGTACCCTGAGTCAGGCTGCAGGCGGGGCGGGGTGGCTTGCATCTTGTTGTAGAAAACTGAGCATCTGTAGAAGTAGAAGGAGCTGTCCCTCCCGCAGCCTACGCGGGGGCATCCTGTGCTGCTGTGGCTACTGCTGCTGACCTTGTCTCCTTTGCTGCTGAATGTGAAGCGTGTCCCAGCATCACACCTCACCTGTGGACTCAGTGTGCATGCCTGTAAAAGATCAATGTTTGTTTTTCTAAACAGAATCGAATGCTTTTAAATACCCAGCAAAGCCAACATTAATTTCTTATTATCTAGTGTGTGACGGAGTCACTCTGTCACTCAGGCTGGAGTGCAGTGGCATGATCTTGGGTCACTGCAACCTCCGGCTCCTGGGTTCAAGCAATTCTCCTGCCTTAGCCTCCCGAGTAGCTGGGACTATAGGTACGTACCATCATGGCTGGCTAATTTTTGTGTTTTTAGTAGAGATGGGGTTTTGCCATGTTGGCCAGGCTGGTCTCAAACTGCTGACCTCAGCCTAATCTGCCAGCCTTGGCTTCCCAAAGTTACAGGTGTGAGCAACCATGCCCGGCCTAGTTTCTTTTTTTTTTTTTTTTTTTGAGACGGAGTTTCGCTGTTGTTACCCAGACTGCAGTGCAATGGCACGATCTCGGCTCACCGCAACCTCCGCCTTCTGAGTTCAGGCAATTCTCCTGCCTCAGCCTCCCTAGTAGCTGGGACTACAGGCGCGCACCACCATGCCCAGCTAATTTTTATATTTTTAGTAGAGACGGGATTTCACCTTGTTGACCAGGATGGTCTCAATCTCTTGACCTCATGATCCACCTGCCTCGGCCTCCCAAAGTGCTGCTATTACAGGCTTGAGCCACCACGCCCAGCTGAAGTTTCTTAAATAAACTATTAAAAGTAAACTTTATTATTTATTTATTTGTTTGTTTACTTCTGAGACAGAGTCTAGCTCTGTTGCCAGGCTGGAGTGCAGTGGTGCAGTCTCAGCTCACTGCAGCCACGCGCCACCATACCCAGCTAATTTTTGTATTTTTATTAGAGACCGGTTTCACTATGTTGGCCAGGATGGTCTTGGTCTCTTGATCTCGTGATCCGCCCACCTCAGCCTCCCAAAGTGCTAGGATTACCCAGCCTAGAGGTAAACTTTAAATTTTGGAATAGTTTCCAATTTCTAGAAAAGTTGAAAAGATAGCCAAGAGTATTCCCTGGGGCCCTCAGCCTATATTCCCCTTGTTGATGTTTTATGTTACTAAGGTAAATTTGTGGCAGCTAAGAAACCCACAGACAATCCTAAGCATTTAGGAGCTCCAACACCTGGCTTTAGGATATAAAATGCTAACTGAACCAGGAGGTGCAGCTCCTTGGAGAGTGCGCCTATGGCTCGACTGTCCCCCTCAGGAGCATGGTTGAGAAATGCCTGGAGGTGCACTGATGTTGTGGGGAACAGCCATCCACCAGTGTCTGTGCTTAGAAGGGCCCAAGGTGTGGATCCTGGCGGAGGGGGAGGCTTGAGTCTTGGGGGTCTCCCACTGACTCCTGCTGTTGCCCTAGGCTGTTTCCTGACTGGGCACCGGCACACCCTTCCACACTGTGGTGCCACTGCCGGCAGGTCTACCTGCCCATGAGCTACTGCTATGCTGTTCGGCTAAGCGCCACGGAGGACCCGCTCATCCAGAGCCTCCGCCAGGTAGGACCTCATCAGGGAACAAAGCGAAGGCTTCTGGGGCTGGGACCCATAGGGCCTAGGGCTCCTGGAATCTCACCACACCTGTCCACTCACCTGGGGGCCCTGTGGAACCGAGAGCCCTGTGATCAGAGTGGGCCTCCACCTTCCTCCAAGCTCTGCCCAGAGGGGACTCGTGCTATGGGACAGGCAGCAGCCGTTGCCTGGGGTTTTTAGGGGGACATCCAGGACTCAAGAGATGCAGGAGGCAACTGTTCACTGTGTCCTCAGGAAGCAGGCCCTGAGGCGGGGTTTGAGGTGCAGAATGTCTATTAGGCCTGCCCTGGGGAAGGAGGAGGGGCAGAAGGAGGAAATGAGCTTCTGGGCAGGCCTGGGGCTCCTGGAGCTGGGGAACTCCGCAGAGTGGTCAGCACATAGCCACAATGGCTGGGCCTTCATGTACCCTCAGGGTCAGTTGCTAGAGGGCCCCCACAACCCAGGAAGGGGCTGGTCCAGGGCCCTGAGGGTGGGTGGTGGGAGGCTGCCCCTCCTGGTTTGAGCCAGGCTAGCCAACTGCCCCCACCAGGAGCTCTATGTGGAGGACTTTGCCAGCATCAACTGGCAGGCGCAGAGGAACAACGTGGCCCCTGATGAGCTGTATACACCGCACAGCTGGCTGCTCTATGTGGTATATGGTGAGTGCCTCCTGAGGGGCTGGCAGGGCAGCCCGTGGTCGGGGTGTCATCCACTCATTCATGGACTGATCCCCTGCCAGTGGCACTGGGCCACCTCCTCTGTGCCAGGCCCCAGGAGGCGGGATCTCATAGCCCTGCCCTTCTGTCCCGAGAACCGGCTGGGCTGACTTCCACTCTCAGGAGCCCATCCTGAGCAAGGGTGTTATAGGAGGTGTGGGGCAGCCCCTCCTGGGCAGGGAAGGAGGAGCTCAGCAACCAAGTCTGGGGGTAGGGGGGAAGGGGAACCCTGGGGAAGGGCAAGTCCAGGCTGAGGCCAGTGTCCTGGTGCCTGGTGTCCACTGACCCCTGCCCCCTGCAGCGTTCCTCAACCTGTATGAGCGCTACCACAGTGCCCACCTGCGGCAGCAGGCCGTGCAGAAGCTGTATGAGCACATCGCGGCTGACGACCGATTCACCAAGAGCATCAGCATCGGCCCGGTCAGTGCCTCTGCCCGGCCTCTGGCTGCAGCCCCTAGGGGTTGGGGTCTGGAGTAAAGTCCGGGAGGCCAGGCCATGAGCTGGGAGTAGGGTCTCCTGGAGCCTCGTGCACCGCCATTTGAGAGGTGGCCCTCAGATCCCACAGGCGTTTGTGGACTCTTGTCCTGGCTTCCTGCACACCCAGCTCAGCGAAGCCGCCCCACCACACTCAACCCTCCCTCCTGTTCTCCAGTTGCTCTTGTCCTAGGGGGTGCCTGACCCTCTCCTGGAGCCCCTTCTCAGATCTTTCTGGCCAGCTGGGATGGGTGCTTTTTTCTCACTTGGTTCCTTCCGAATTCCCCTCCCCAAATAGTTCATTATTTGTCCTTCTCCCAGGGGGTTTAGGGATTCCCAGGGTGGGTGGGAGTAGCAGGGTCCTCAGGTTCCCCTCCTGATTCCTCCTGCCTAACCAGGGACTTGGACCTCTCTCTTCTGTGGGGCCTGCAGGGGGCCGGGTATGGGCTAGTTCAGTGACCTTGGAGGGTGCAATCCCCGGGCTGTGCTGACGCAGGGCCACCTCCTGACAGAGTCAGCAGCCCCTGGGCTGTGCTGTAGCTGCTGCGGTGTAGTGGGTTGGCCTTGCCATTCTCTGGTTGTACCCAGGTGGCACTGGGCCACTGAGTCCCACCCTGATGCCGCATCTCGGGTTTTCTGGGCCTGATGCCACCTCAGAGAATCATAAATCCTGACTGACCTTGCAGCAGGTCCCTTGTTTTCTGCTCAGCAGTGACGTGGTTCTGTGTGGGTTTTGGTTTAATCCCATTTAGCACACGTCTGTACTAAGCACATTAGAAACATGCTTGCAATTCGATCTTGACTTGTAAGATCCATAAATAAGTTGGGGCCTCTGGAAGAGTCTGCTCTGAGGAAGGAGGGGAGCAAACATTTCCTACTACTGCGGTCCCATGTTCACATCTCTTCCTGCGCCCCTTAGGCCCTGCCTCTGTCCCCTGTGTTGTTTCTAAGGCACCTGACAGCCCATGCCCCTCTGGTTGTGGGCTGGCCCCTATGGCCTCTCCTGGAACCCTTCGATTCTCATTGATGGAGTGCGGTCCCTCATCCTAAGCCAGGCCATGGCCTCGGCTGACACTGCCTGTGTCTGAGTTGGGTCCTGGGGACACGGTTAGTTGTCCATCCTTGCTCGGTCCCGCCTGTTAGAGCAGAAGGCCCCTGTCCTGGCCCTGAGTGAGCTGCATTGGGACCCTGTCCCTGGGGGCTGCTATGGGTCTAGAGCAGAGTCCTGACAGGGCCGTGTCTCCTGCAGATCTCGAAAACCATCAACATGCTTGTGCGCTGGTATGTGGATGGGCCCACCTCCCCTGCCTTCCAGGAGCACGTCTCCAGAATCCCGGACTATCTCTGGTGAGTATGGCTGGGATGTGCTGGTGAGGCCTCTCAGTGCAGCCACACGAAGACTGGATCTGAGCCTCAGCTGCATCCCAGTGAGGGGGCCACCATGGTGCCATCTGGGAATACTGCCAGGGAACACTGCCAGGGAACACCAACAAGGAACACCGCCAGGGGACACTACTAGGGAATACCATCATGGAACACTGCTAAGGAATACCACCAGGGAACACCGCCAGGGAGCACCCACCACCAGGGAACACTGCCAGGGAACACCGCCAGGGAGCACCCACCACCAGGGAACACCACCAGGGAACACTGCCAGGGAACACCGCCAGGGAGCACCCACCACCAGGGACCACCACCAGGGAACACTGGCAGGGAACACTGCCAGGGAGCACCCACCACCAGGGAACACTGCCAGGGAACACCGCCAGGGAGCACCCACCACCAGGGAACACCACCAGGGAACACCGCTAAGGAACACCACCAGGGAATACCACCAGGGAACACCACTAAGGAACACCACCAGGGAACACCACCAGGGAATACCACCAGGGACCAGCAGTGTCAGGGCTTGTAGAAGCCACCGAGGGTTGTCTTTGAATTGGAAGATTTGCCATCCAGTCAAAGAGTGGGGTGGTCCCAGAAGGTAGAGTGAGGAGGGATGTGGTGGGCAGCAGGGCAGCTGCAGGTTGGCATCAGGAAGGCCTGTGGACAAGGGGAGCTTGTCAGCCATGGAGTATGCCCTGAAGGTGAGCCCCTGTCATGGATGGCACAGCACGGTCCCACAGTGGGAAGCTCTGGTTGGTCCCACAACACCGAACACGGGCAGCAGGGCTGAGGCAGCCTGGGGTCAGGGGTCAGGGGTCAGGGGTCGGGGAGCCTCCTGCTGCCCTTAGGCTTGGGTGCGCCCTTCCTGGGTAGGTGTGTCCTGTCTTCTCTAGAGTGTGGGCCTCACGCCCAGGAGTCTAGCATCCCAGCAGCCCAGCTGGGGTGGCATCCAGGCCAGTGCCAGGCCTTGGGGGAGAGGACAGACGCCCTCTCTGGGACCTTCCTGAGTGCAGGGTCTGGGTAGCCAGCTGGGCTTCCAGCTTTCTCCTCATGCCTGACTTGGGCATTTTTATCCTCACAGGATGGGACTTGACGGCATGAAAATGCAGGTGAGGGCTGCGGGATTCCTTTGCAATCATTTCTGCCCTTCGTGACTTTTCCTTCTGGTTCACTAAATTGCAGAAATAACTCCTCCTGGACCAAGTCCCGGCAGCTTGTGACCGGAGGCTGAGTCCGTCGAGGCCTTTGGCTGTGTCCCCGTGGGTGCCCATAGTTCTTGAGTGTCTGTCTGCAGCTGTCCTGTTTGCTCTTTGCCCTGATGGTCCGAGTGGGCCCAACTGTGTAACGACAGACCCGGAGCTGCAGAAGCTCTCCTCTTGTTCCCGTGGCAGGAGGCGGCTCTGGTTAGTGGGGTCTTTCCTCCATGCACTGTTTTTGCTGCTGTTGTTGAGATGGAGTCTTGCTCTATTGCCCAGGCTAGAGTGCAGTGGCTCGATCTCGGCTCACTGCAACCTCCACCTCCCAGGTCCAGGTGATTCTGCCTTAGCTTCTAAGGCAGGAGCTGGGATTACAGGCATGCAGCACCACACCCAGCTAATTTTTGTATTTTAGTAGAGACAAGGGTTTCACCGTGTTGGCCAGGCTGGTCTCAAACTCCTGACCTCAGGTGATCTGCCTGCCTTAGTCTCCCACAGTGCTGGCATTACAGGCGTGAGCCATTGTGCCCAGCGTCTAAAGAGACTCCTTCTTAAGGTTGTGTGTGCACAGGACAGGAGCCTGGAGGGCCATGGTGGCGTGTGGCTGGGCCTGGGGGCTGCCTGGGGACTTGCCCTGAGTGGGCTGGAACCCAGTCATGAGGGGCACCAAGCACAAGGGAGAGGGGAGGCAGGCATCGCCACGTCCATGGAGAGGAGCAGGTGGGTGTGCTGGACACTTGGCCACATGGCGTTAGTTGGCTTCTTTCTGGATCCTTCCCTGAGCTTTTAGAAGATATACTTGTTTCCAGGCAGGGATGCCTGACCAGGGTCCTTGCCCTCCAGGGGTCGTGCGTCTGCCGCCACTGTGGGGAGGCCTGAGGTCTCAGATTTCTCAGAAGTCCATGGACCAGAGTAGCTGAGAGCTGTGTTAGGAAGAGCCAGCCTTGTGTTCTGCTATAGGTCTGTGACATCGGAAGCATCCGCCTGGGTGTGGCCTGCTCCGGGTGGAGGTTGTGGTCTCCAGGTCATTGCTCTACAGAGCGGGTTGGTCATTGGAGGTGGGAGGAGAACAGCCCGCTGCACAGAAACTGTGGGCTCCCTGCCTGCACTGTCTGTGCTGTGTCCTGCAGGTCCTCTGCGCCGTCCCGCTCAGCGTCTAGATTTTATAGATGGTGCTGTCCTGGGTGTGGCCCCGGGGGCAGCAGGGCAGTGTTGAGGATGGGGTCCTGGCTGACCCTGGTCCTGTCCTGGCTCTGGGGGCCCTGTAGACCCCAGTTCTGTCCAACTGGGCTGAGCCTGTGCCCCTTTGTGCATTATCACAGTGGGTGTGTCAGAAGCCCAGACAGGGTTGCCCTGTGTGTTGTGGTCTGGTGAGGGTTATGCCCTGCAGGTCTGTCTTCTGTCCCCCACCTGGTTCAGTGTGGAAATGTGGAGTCTCCAGAGGTGTCCTGGGTGTCATGTTTGGGATGGACACACAGGGGCCCAGCACTGCCTGCCCCAGGGCTACCCTTGGTGCCAGGTTTCCCCAGCCATGGGCAGCTGGCCTTGAGCTCCCCCGAGGCTCCCTGGACATGGTCCATGTTTTGTGAAATGGTTTTCAAAACACATGCAAAGTGGATGAGTTACATGAGTAATGAGCCCCAGAGCAGGCCCTGGCCTCCCTGCCCCTCCCTGCCCAGCCCTCCCGCTGTGCCCTCTCTTCAGTGCACCTCGGGCTGATGAGGGCCTCTGTGTTTTTACAGAACTGCTCTGTGGTTGTCACACCCAGCAAACTTCACGACAGTTCCTGAGTGTAATCCTCACATTGCCGTTGGTGTGTGTGAATCAGGGTTCAGGCCAGGCCCACACAGGCCTTCACGTGTTGGTATCTGAGCTCCTGTTTGTCCACAGTAGTCTCCTGTGGCCTCTTTTCTCCTCCCTGAAGGGCTTCACGTTCCGGATCTGACAGGTTGCTCCCTCTGTTCTCTGAGTTTTTGTAACTGGCCGTGCACTGAGGCTCTATCCCGTTGTGTTTCTTTGGCAAGAATGCTTTTCTGGTGGTCTCTGGCTCGTTCCTCCAGTGCATGGTGTCTGGAAGCCTCTGCTCCCGCCACCCCCGCCACCATCCCCATGTCTGCTCTCCAGCTCTGTCTCACTGGGGTTTGGTCACCGGCCCTTTAAATTGAGACCAGAGTATGTATCTGGGAGTTCAGGTCCGGGGTGACATTTGAGGTGGGGCCTTCCCAGCCCTGTGCAGAGTTTCTATCACCTCAGGTATACTCAGAAATGGGGGTCATTTCCAGGCATCACCATGACTGAGGTGCACCGCTCTCATTGGGCGAGGGCAGCTGGATGCTCTGTGTGTTGGTACTGGAGCCTCTGAGGGATTGTCCAGTCCTACAGGTGTCCTGAGAGGGACACTGTCCTACCTGGTGGCCCATGAAGAAAGGTGGGGATCCCTGACCCTTGTCTGCCTGCAGGGCTCAGCCTTCTCTGAGGCCCTTGTCAGCCATGAGAGGTGCACAGGGCTCAGAGGCTGAGGTTGAGTGTTGGCTGGATGGGAGCCCCCACACCCAGCCCTCAGGGCCTTTCGGATCCTGGAGGCCGTAGGTGGGAGTGGGGGAGGCCGCTGCTGCTGTAACACCCGTCTTTTGTGTGCAGGGCACCAACGGCTCACAGATCTGGGACACTGCCTTCGCCGTCCAAGCTCTGCTAGAGGTTCGTGGCTCATTCTCTTTTCTCAGCCTCAGCTGACCTTCCTTCCTGTGCATGTGAGACCTCGCGTCCACCTGAGGGCAGCACTGCTGGCCACACACTTGAGACTCCTTGAAGTTTCCAGTGACCTGGGCTCTGGCCTCTGGTTTGAGATAGTGGTGCTATGGAGGGGGCGGCCTTGCCCAGCAGCCCTGGGTGTTGGGCTGGCTCAGAGGCTTTGGGAGGGCAGGGGCTGGAGGCCATGTGTGGGGGAGCCTGGTGAAGGCTGTTTCTCAGAGCGTGGACAGGACTGGGACTCCAGGCTCTTAGAACTGGAACTGCTAATGGGCATTCTCCAGCCAATACTGCAGAGAAACAACAGTGGATTTTTATGCTGGTGGGATTCTGAAGGTGTTTCTGGAGTGCCCCAAGGGCTGGGCCATTCAAAGGACCTGCCCACGCCGGGGTGCTGGAGATCCTCTGGGCATAGACGCTTGCTGGGCGGTGGGGTGCTGGTATCCATAGATGGTCTCTTCTGCTCCCTTCCATCTCGTCATATTTCACGGACCTTTGATTTTTTTGTCTTTAAGGTAAGTGCAGTAAGAAACCCTTGACACTCTCTGGAGACATCTGCCAGTTTCATTCTGGTTCCCAGTTGGGGCAGGATGTGGCCAGGACCATGGGGGAACCACTCAGCCATGGTGACCGTGCAAGGGCGGCTCAGCCTCTCTGTCCTGCTGTCTCTTCCAGGCGGGTGGACACCACAGGCCCGAGTTTTCGTCCTGCCTGCAGAAGGCACATGAGTTCCTGCGGCTCTCACAGGTGAGCCCTGTGCCTGGGGCCCTGAGGGGGCTGAAGAGGGGGTTCAGGGCTGGGAGCTCCTACAGGCAGAAGTGCCCACCTCACCTCCACCCTGCCCTGTTCCCTGCACTGGTTTCTCAGGTTGCCCCTCCCCACCCCTGTTCCATCCACCTGTCCTTGGGCTGGCCTCACCTGGAGCAGCTCTGTGAGGCCTGCAGGGTGCTGGGGGCGCTGGCAGTTTCTGCATCCTGCTCCTGTTGGAGCCATGGTCTGCAGGAGCCAGGCACAGGTAGGGGCCATTTACCCTGAGCTGCGCAGCCTACACACCACCTCTGGGTCTCTGAAGCACTTTCTGCCACAGAGGTGTTGCCAGCCTGCGGACGTTCCCTCCTGAGACTGTTTGCGGCAAAAACCCTGTCCATCCCGCTAGATCAGCTGCCCACAGACGGTGCCCCAGCCCCAGTTTGACCTCAGTGTCTCACACATGCCTACACCCCAATCTGCAGCCACAGTCATCTCAAACATACGCCCTAACCTCCCATGTCTCCCACGCTGTCCCTGCCACGGCCTCAGCCAATGTCCTGCCTGGAACAGCTGCCCCTCCCCCCGCAGCCCGTTTCACCATGTCCCTTCAGATGTCATCAGGCCATGGCTTCTGCGGGGTCTCTGGGTGTTCCTGGCCTCCGTGTGGCCAAGGCTGGCACCCATCTGGGGCTCAGGCAGGGGAGGGGCATTGTCCTGCTGTGGCTGACCCTACAGCAGACTGTTCCTGCCTCCTGCCTCCTACCTCCTACCCAGGACTTGCTCTGGTTGATGGGGACTTGGGGAGGCTGACTGAACCCTACTATAGTCCAGGCCTCTGCCCTTCTCATTCCCTCAGCCCAGGAGCTGAGGTCCATGAAGCTGGGGTTGTTGAGGAGGCAACGGGAGCCCTTGGCAGAGCACACCACAGAGGCCTGGGCCACCTCCTTGCCTCCTGGCTGGTGGGGAGATCATAGGGGAGGCAGGTGCCTCCGGTCTGGGCTAGTTTCAGCCCTTGCTGGCCAGTCATGTTTCCAAGCAGCAGTGGGTGGTGAGTTCTCGGTTTGGGCCCTTGGGTGCCTCGCAGCACCAGTGGGGGCTGTAGCCGGCACTCCTGCCTCTCCAGTCCTGCCCAGTCGGTCTCAGTGATGTCCCAAGTGCTGACATGTTCTCTGCTTCCACATTTGCCCTCGATGCTGCCCAGATCCCAGATAACCCTCCCGACTACCAGAAGTACTACCGCCAGATGAGCAAGGTATGCGGGAGCCAGCCCCATCCCTGCCCCATCCCCCAGGGGAGGCTGCCCTCAGCAGGTTGGGTCCTTCCCTTTGAAGGGGGGACTCCTCCCTTGGCATCTTTGGGTGTCCTGCTGTGATAGTGCCTGGCATAAGGGCCCATGCCTCATGTTGCTGAGCTGCCTGGCACATGGGGGCACCGTTTGCTTGCACATGTGGTCATGCCTTAGGGCGGTTCAGGTGGTCATGGCACATAAAGGCTTCGGGATAGCCAAAGTGTAGCCAGGGCATCCGGGGAAGGCAGAGGGAAGAAGAGACCTCAGCCGGTGCTGGCTGTGAAATTAGGCATGAGCGCAGCTGCTCATTACAGTGGGGGTGGGGTGCACCTGTGCCCTGTTCTGTCCCATTGTGAGATCTGAAGGTGTTGAGGGTGTGAGCTGCTGCCCTGCGGGTCCCTGTGCTGGAAGTTGGAGTTCCATCTAGATGTGCCCAGCTTGGGCCCCTGGCTGCACCCACACCTTTGGTGGATGGGCCCCCATCCTGACTGGGTGCTCTGTAGCGGGGAGAGATGTATGTGGCTGTGGGGTGGCTCTGAGGACTCGGGTCACGGGTCGTGTTCTGCAGGGCGGCTTCTCCTTCAGCACGCTGGACTGTGGCTGGATTGTTGCTGACTGCACCGCTGAGGCCTTGAAGGCTGTGCTACTCCTGCAGGAGAAGTGTCCCTATGTAACCGAGCACATCCCCCGAGAGCGGCTGTGCGATGCTGTGGCTGTGGTAAGGCTGTGGTCCCAGCAGCCCCGTCCACAGCTCATGTCTGCAGATGAGCTGCGTGCTCACCTCCACTCCCACAGGCCCCACCCCACCACACACTCCGGCCGGGCTGTAGGAGTTTGTCCTTGGACGGTGTTTGCATGTGGAGAACTGTGAGCTTTGGCTGGACCCCTAGGGGCCTTGCTGGGCTGTTCGCACAGGGCCCTGCACTACAGAGCTGGTGTCCAGCTCAGCGCAGATGCTTGCGGGAGCCGGTGTGGCCCCCAGTGCTTCTCTCTGGTGGTTTCCACTGGGTGTCTGAAGAAGGAGTTTCTTTGGTTTGGGTGCCACATTCTTTCAACACATCTGGCTGCCGTGTGTGTTTCCCAGTGGAGACCCTGCACTGTTCTGGCAGCAGCACACACTTCGTTTCTAAGTCATGGGCACGTGTGGAGGTGTGTTTCCAGGTGGCTGCGCACGGAGGCCCTGATGGATGAGGTTGCAACTGCTGCTTGGGGCACCCGAGGGCTTGGTTAACGTGGAAATTGGCTCCTTGCCCCCGTTCCTGCCCCATTGGTTGTCAGACCTAGTGTTGCCTCCAGAAAGCTCTACTGTGGCCTGGGTGTCTGCGTGTGCTCATCATGTGGTGAGTTGTTGGGTGCTCTGTGATTTCAGCTGCTGAACATGAGGAATCCTGATGGAGGGTTCTCCACCTACGAGACCAAGCGTGGGGGGCATTTGCTGGAGCTGCTGAACCCCTCGGAGGTCTTTGGTGAGTGGTCAGCCAGCACCGTGGTACACAAACCCCAGAGCCAGCTTTTCCCCCTTGCCCGAGGCTGTAAGGGCCCAGGTTCACCAGCAGATCTGTCTGGAGTCCTCCCTCAGCCCAGGGTGTTCTGTGCTCTCCATCCCGGGACTGGCAGGACCCCTGTGTTGTGGATAGGAGGGCATCAGGTCAGGCTTAGGGAACGGGATGGTGGAGGGTTCCAGTGAGGTCCACAGCCTGGGCTGCTCCTGCTCAGTCCACAGGGCTGGTCCACAGCCTGGGCTGCTCCTGCTCAGTCCACAGGGCTGGTCCACAGCCTGGGCTGCTCCTGCTCAGTCCACAGGGCTGGTCCACAGCCTGGGCTGCTCCTGCTCAGTCCACAGGGCTGGTCCACAGCCTGGGCTGCTCCTGCTCAGTCCACAGGGCTGGTCCACAGCCTGGGCTGCTCCTGCTCAGTCCACAGGGCTGGTCCACAGCCTGGGCTGCTCCTGCTCAGTCCACAGGGCTGGTCCACAGCCTGGGCTGCTCCTGCTCAGTCCACAGGGCTGGTCCACAGCCTGGGCTGCTCCTGCTCAGTCCACAGGGCTGGTCCACAGCCTGGGCTGCTCCTGCTCAGTCCACAGGGCTGGTCCACAGCCTGGGCTGCTCCTGCTCAGTCCACAGGGCTGGTCCACAGCCTGGGCTGCTCCTGCTCAGTCCACAGGGCTGGTCCACAGCCTGGGCTGCTCCTGCTCAGTCCACAGGGCTGGTCCACAGCCTGGGCTGCTCCTGCTCAGTCCACAGGGCTGGTCCACAGCCTGGGCTGCTCCTGCTCAGTCCACAGGGCTGGTCCACAGCCTGGGCTGCTCCTGCTCAGTCCACAGGGCTGGTCCACAGCCTGGGCTGCTCCTGCTCAGTCCACAGGGCTGGTCCACAGCCTGGGCTGCTCCTGCTCAGTCCACAGGGCTGGTCCACAGCCTGGGCTGCTCCTGCTCAGTCCACAGGGCTGGTCCACAGCCTGGGCTGCTCCTGCTCAGTCCACAGGGCTGGTCCACAGCCTGGGCTGCTCCTGCTCAGTCCACAGGGCTGGTCCACAGCCTGGGCTGCTCCTGCTCAGTCCACAGGGCTTATGTTCATCACAAGCCCACTTTGTGGGTCCCAGAGTGCCTGCAGGGAGGTGTCTGTGGGGACTGAGGGGACCCACGTCCTGGGCTGGTAGGCTGCTGTGTGTGCGTGGCTGCCACTGTGCTGGTCTGGGGACAGGATCTCAGCCCTGGTCCACCTTTGGGTACCTCACATGCCCCCTTCCTGTTCCTCTACCCATCACACATGGCTTTTTGGGTTGGGATTGCAGCTTTCTGCTGCGTTCCCCTCATCTTTGCTCTCTCGTAGTACAGGTGTGTGTCCTGGGCCGGCCAGTGTTTGCTCTGGAGGTTGGTCGGGGAGGCAGCATCCAGGCACGGGTTCTGCACACTGCGACACTCTTGCTTGTGATTGGGCCTGAGTTGCAGGCCCTGGGCAGCCAGGGTGAGACTCAGCACTTTGGTTCTTCCTTCCCTTGCCCAGGGGACATCATGATTGACTACACCTATGTGGAGTGCACCTCTGCCGTGATGCAGGCACTGAAGCATTTCCACAAGCATTTCCCAGACCACAGGGCAGCCGAGATCAGGTACGCAAGGGTTGCTCTCACTCAGTGTGGGGGCTGCCAGGTTGGGGGCCAAGGCCCAGACGCAGCATTCTCTAACACAGCCCTGGCGGCCCATCTCAGAAACAAAACTCACGTAGACGTGGAGAGGCCGCAGAGATGATTGAATCCAGTTACATGCCCTAAAGCCTACAAAATATCTGTTGGGGCTCAGAATAGCATAATTACAACACAAGAATGGATTTTCTCCCTATCTTTTAATAATGTTAAAAAGACACTACATATGCACCTCCACCTGTGTCCCAGAAGCAGTTTTAAGGGTAGCACATATTCAGCAAAGTGTACGGTTGATCTTCTGAAGCAAACAGGTCCCGGTGCCAACATGGAACACGGCGATGCCACCAGAGTCCTCCGGCATCCCCATGAGGGGCCACCCACACGCCTGCCAGGCTGTGGGTTTCTGTGCTCGCTTTGAACCTTGTCTAGGTGGAACCCTGAGGTGTGGACTTCGTGTTGCCTTCTCCTCATCTGCTTGAGGTTAGCCCGGTGGCTGGGGTAACAGCAGCGTTCTCTCCCGCGGGCCTTTGGTTGAATGCAGGTGCTGTGCTGTCTAGCTGCCTGTCCTCAGCACCTGGGAGGACTTCAGTCTGCGTTTTTAGGAAGCATCTCCTGTGAACACTCTTGTACTTCCCTTTTCAGGCACCTGGGTACTTACTTCTCACAGTCATGTACCTAGGAGGGTCACTGCTATGTCAGAGGGTACGTTAAAGGCCATGTGGTTTTTGCAGGTTCTTCATTCTACTACGATTACAGTTTTTACTTTTGTTAAACCTGGTGTAGACTCACCTTGGTCATGATGCACTGTCTTTTTATATATTTCTAGACTCAATTTGAGGAATATTTTGTTACGCGTTTAACAGCTCTTGTTACAAGAGACACTGCTCTATAATTTTCTTTCTTTCTTTCTTTTTCAAAGATGGGGTTTCACCATATTGGCCACCAGGATGGTCTCAATCTCTTGACCTTGTGATCCACCCACCTTGGCCTCCCAAAGTGCTGGGATTACAGGCATGAGCCACAGCGCCCGGCCTATAATTTTCTTTACATAATGTCTTTACGAGGTTCTCCTGTTAAGGAGAACTCAGAAAAGCAGTTGGAAAGTGTTTTTTAAAATACTCTTTGGAAGAATTTATGTAATGTTCATAATATTTTTGCCTTAAATATTTGGGAAAAATTATTGGAAATGTCAGTTGGGCCTGGAGTTTTCTTTGAGGAAAGGTTTTAAACTAGAAGCTCAATTTTGTTTTTTTTTTGAGATGGGGTCTTGCTCTGTCACCCAGGCTGGAGTGCAGTGTAATTTCTTTACTAGTTTATAGGACTGAGTAGATGGTCCATTTTCGTATCAGTCTGGGGAGTCTTCCTTTTTTCACTCAGTTTTATACTGATGGGCGCAGTGTTCTGTGTCCTCTTGGATGGCTCTGAGCTCAACGCCGACATCCTCGTCTTTCCTCTGAGATCTTATGCTGATCTTTTGAAAAAAAAAAAGCAAAAACAAAAACAAAAACCATCCTAGTCTTTGATTCTGTTTTTTTAAGAGAGTTTATTTTTTGTTTCATCAATTTGTATTCTTTGTTATTTTCTTTCTTTTTTATATTTTTCGAGACGGAGTCTTGCTCTGTCACTCAGGCTGGAGAGCAGTGGTGTGATCTCAGTTCATTGCAACGTCCGCCTCCTGGGTTCAAGTGATTCTCCTGCCTCAGCCTCCCCAGTAGCTGGGACTACAGGTGCTCGCCACAATGCCCAGCTAATTTTTTGGTATTTTTAGTAGAGACAGGGTTTCACCATGTTGGTCAAGCTGGTCTCAAATTCCTGACCTCAGGTGATTCACCTTCCTTGGCCTCCCAAAGTGCTAGGATTACAGGTGTGAGCCACCACACCTGGCCTTTGTTATTTTCTTTCTCCTTTATTTTTCTAACTTGAATGCTTAGATCTTTGATTTCTGGTTTGTATTGAAATACGCACTTGAGGCTATAAACGAGTTTTGATCATTCAGTTAAAACTGTCACTGGGTGCTCGCTGCAGCAGCGCAAAGAGTAAACGTGTTTTCTGTTTCTGCTGTTCTCTGACCCTGAGTTATGTGGGAGTGTGCTGCTTCATTTGACATCTGAGGATATTCGGGTTGTGTTTTGGTTGGAAGCCATGGGTAGAGCAGGGGTTTGCTTGTGCTTCACAGGTGCAAGCACTGCGTTCATTGTCTCCCATGGCCTGGCACAGGCTTTGGCCACGTACTGCCCGGCGGTGTGAAATGGGGTTGGCCTGGCACAGCCCTTGGCCACGTGCTGCCCGGTGGTGTGAAGTGGGCGCGAGTTGTCCTCAGCCACACTCACAGAATTGGCCTTTTAAAAAATATATTGCCTTTTAAATATCACTGTAATAAAAGTAAAGCAGGTTCTTTACAGACAAGACTTGCAAAATAAAGAAAAGTGCAAAGAAGAGGCTAAGTCGCCCCCTCCTCACCCCTGAATAAGAATCTGCTGCTGCTGTTTGGTCTCCACTTTTCCATGGGGGTTTGCCGCCCCTCTTCAGGCCTGGCCCACTTTGTGTGTGAGTGAGGTTTCTAAAAGCCCCACCATTGAGCGGCGTCCTCCAGCACCAACCGTAATGGCACAGGTGTTGTGTCATTTCACTCACTAGCCTCTGAGTTATTTTTCAATTTTCATTGTTGTTTTTTAGCTTTTTCCCAGTTTAACCTTAACGGTATTTTCTTGTTAAACATTTATTCATGACCATTATTATTTCCTAGAGCCGTATGGCTTGGGGTCTGCCTGCCTGGGTGGGCCCCCAACCCTCCCACTTCCTGGCTGACCTGGCCTGGTCACTTCTCTGCTCATCTCTTTCCCTGCCTGGGTGGGCAAGAGTACAGCCTCGCAGAGTGGAGGGATTGTGAGAGGTGCCGCAGGGAAGCGCATGTCAGCTGTTGTCACTGTAGAAATGGATCCTGGACGTGGCGCATGGGGAGCCGCGGTGACTTCATCGTGGGTTTCCTCTGCATTTCTTTGGTGACTTCCAAGCTAGAACCTTTTTTTTATAATTTATTTTTTTAGACAGAGTCTCATTCTGTTATCCAGGCTGGAGTACAGTGGTGAAATCATGGCTCACCACAGCCTCAAACTACTGGACTCAAGCAATCCTCCCACCTCAGCCTCCTGAGTAGCTGGGAATAAAGATATATACTGTTACGCCTGGCTAATTTAAAAATGTTTTGTAGAGATGGGGTCTAGCTCTGCTGCTTAGGCTGGTCTTGCACTCCCGGGCTCAAGTAATCATCCTCCCACCTCTGCTTCCCCAAATGCTGGGGTTACATGGTAAGCCACTACCCCCAGCCGTTTTTAAAATTTTCACTAGGATGGTTTGTCTTTCATTTTTAAGCACAATAAAGTATTTGTGTATTCTGTTACAGATATTTTCTCCTCAATTTCTTTGTTCTTTTTTATCTCTTTAGGGTGTTTGAACGTAAGTGTTAAACTTTTATTTATTTATTTTTATTTTTATTTTTGAGATGAAGTCTTGCTCTGTCACCCAGGCTGGAGTGTAGTGGCGTGATCTTGGCTCACTGCAACCTCTGCCTACCGGGTTCAAGGGATTCTCCTGCCTCAGCCTCCTGAGTAGCTGGGACTAAAGGCGTGTGCCACCTCGACCGGCTAATTTTTTTTTTTTGTATTTTTAGTAGAGATGGGGTTTCACCATGTTGGCCAGGATGGTCTCGATCTCTTGGCCTCCCAAATGCTGGGATTACAGGTGTGAGCCACCGCACCCGGCCAAGTTTTTAACTTTTAAATGGTTAAATATATTAGTCTGATTTTTATATTAAGATTTTAAATTTACCTAGAGAGTTTTTGAGATACAGTATGGGGTTGCCAGTTACTTTAACACTATTTATATGGAATATTCTATTTTACTATACAGACTTAAATTCTCCCTAAATTTACAAATTTATAGAAAAGTTGCAAAATTAGTAAAAAGTGCACCTGTTTCCTCTTACTAGGATTCCTCAGGGGGTGGCATTCTACTCTGAGGGCTTCATTGCCTTCCCTCCCATGTGCTCCAGAGATACTCTTTCTGAACCATTGGAGAAGTTACAGATAGGATGCACTGTGTTTCTAACTGCTTGAGTATTTCTTAGCAGGTGTATTCTTCTGTGCAAGTGTAAGTCAGAATATTAATGTTGATGAAATACTAATCTGCAGGCCTTACTCAAATTGGCCTAATTGTTCCAACAATGTCCTTTGTGGCAAAATTTTTCCTCAAGCTTTAATCTGATATTGGGGTTGCATTTGTTTATTTTTTTTATTTTTATTTTTATTTTTTGAGACGGAGTCCCATTCTGTCACCAGGTGCCAGGCTGGAGTGCAGTGGCACGACCTCGGCTCACCGCAACCTCCGCCTCCTGGGTTCAGGCAATTCTCCTGCCTCAGCCTCCCGAGTAGCTGGGATTACAGGCGTGCGCCACCATGCCCAGCAAAATTTTTTTGTATTTTTAGTAGAGACGGGGTTTCACCATGTTGGCCAGGATGATCTCGATTCTTGACCTCGTGATCCGCCTGCCTCGGCCTCCCAAAGTGCTGGGATTACAGGCGTGAGCCACTGCGCCTGGCCTGTTTGTTTATTTTTAATTATTTTTCTTTTCTTCTTTTTTTCTTTCTTATCCTTCTTACTGTGTGCATGGGTTGCATTTAGTTATAACACTGACACTCTTTTAACCTGGAATAATTCCTTAGTCTTTCCTTGTGTTTGATGACTATGTCATTTTTGAATTGTTCAGCAAGTTATTTTGTAGAATATTCTCAGTGTTTTTTTCTTTTTTTTTTTTTCTGGTGTCTCATGATTAGATTCAGGTTATGAAGTTGTGCATTTTTGTCAGGAATATTGCAGAAGAAGTGGGGCCTTCTCCTGCATCTTATCAGGAAGCACATGTCCACTTTGACCCTTTGATGAAGGCGGTGGCCACTGTACATAGTTTCTCCACTATTACGTTGCTGTTTGATTTTAATTGGGAGACAGTCTTAGGCTATTAGGCTATGTAAATGTCCTATTTTTTTTTTTCGAGATGGAGTTTCGCTCTGGTTACCCAGGCTGGAGTGCAATGGCGCGATCTCAGCTCACCGCAACCTCTGCCTCCTGGGTTCAGGCAATTCTCCTGCCTCAGCCTCCTGAGTAGCTGAGATTACAGGCACGCGCCACCATGCCCAGCTGATTTTTTGTATTTTTAGTAGAGACGGGGTTTCACCATGTTGACCAGGATGGTCTTGATCTCTTGACCTCGTGATCCACCCGCCTGGGCCTCCCAAAGTGCTGGGATTACAGGCGTGAGCCACCGCGCCCGGCCCAAATGTCCTATTTCTTATCAGACTTATACCTGTTATTGTTAGCATTTGATGATGCTTCTTGCCTGAATCAATTATTTGCATAATGCTTGCAAAATTGTCATTCCTTCCATATGTATTAGTTGGCGTTCTTCCAAAAGCTTTTCCTTTGCCTCTGTTTATTTACTTATTTATTATCACTGTGGACTCATAGATTCCTGTGCAATTGATTTTGATACTGATCTCATAGCTGGACAGTTTGCTAAACTTCAAAAAAAATTATGCTCTTTATCTTTTATAGCAGTTTTAAATTTACAGAAAATTTGAGTGGAAGATGCCATTTTCCCATAAAGCCACAAACTCCTTGCACCTTCCACCAAGTTTCTGCTGATATTAACATCTTGCATTAAATTGGTGCCTTTGCTAGTTGATGAGTCAACATTCATAAATGATTGTCGTCCGAAGTCTGGTGTTTACATTCAGGTTCCTCTTTTGTTGTTCGTTGTGGTTTTCACAGATGTGTCATGCATGTGTCCACCACTGCAGTGTCACACAGTCATTTCACTGCCCCAGACTCCACTGTGCTCCACCCATCATCCCCTGTCCCCACCTCCGGAACCCCTTAGTAGCAAACACTGATATTTTTACTGTTTCCATAGTTTTGCCTTTCAGACTGGCCTCTTTCACTTAATAATAAGCATTTAAGGTTCCTCAGTGTCTTTCTATGGCTGGATAGCACATTTCTTTTTAGTGCCGAATAATATTCCATTGTCTGGAGGTACCACAGTTTATCCATTCACCTACTGAGGTGAATGCCTGACTTGCTTCCAAGTTTTGGCAACTATGAATAAAGTTGCTATCAGTGTTGGCGTGCATGTAAGTTTTCAGCTCATTTGGGTAAATGCCAAGGAGTGACTGCTGGATCCCATGGTAAGAGCGTGTTCTGTAAGAAGCTACCAAGCTGTGTTCTAAAGTGGCTGCACCGTCTGCATTTCCACCAGCAAAGATGAGCCTTCCTGTTGTTCCACATCCTCACCTGCATTTGGTGTTGTGTTTTGGGTTGTAGCTGTTCTAAGAGGTGTGTAGTGCTAGCTTCCTGTTTCAGTCTGCAGTTCCCTGGTGACATTCGGTTACAATCTTCTCATACAGTGTTTGGTGTTGTGTTTGTGTAGTGAGTGCTAGCTTCATGTTTCAGTCTGCAGTTCCCTGGTGACATTCGGTTACAATCTTCTCATACAGTGTTTGGTGTTGTGTTTGTGTAGTGCTAGCTTCCTGTTTCAGTCTGCAGTTCCCTGGTGACATTCGGTTACAATCTTCTCATACAGTGTTTGGTGTTGTGTTTGTGTAGTGCTAGCTTCCTGTTTCAGTCTGCAGTTCCCTGGTGACATTCGGTTACAATCTTCTCATACAGTGTTTGGTGTTGTGTTTGTGTAGTGAGTGCTAGCTTCATGTTTCAGTCTGCAGTTCCCTGGTGACATTCGGTTACAATCTTCTCATACAGTGTTTGGTGTTGTGTTTGTGTAGTGAGTGCTAGCTTCCTGTTTCAGTCTGCATTTCCCTGGTGACATTCGGTTACAATCTTCTCATACAGTATTTGGTGTTGTGTTTGTGTAGTGAGTGCTAGCTTCCTGTTTCAGTCTGCATTTCCCTGGTGACATTCGGTTACAATCTTCTCATACAGTATTTGGTGTTGTGTTTGTGTAGTGAGTGCTAGCTTCCTGTTTCAGTCTGCATTTCCCTGGTGACATTCGGTTACAATCTTCTCATACAGTATTTGGTGTTGTGTTTGTGTAGTGAGTGCTAGCTTCCTGTTTCAGTCTGCATTTCCCTGGTGACATTCGGTTACAATCTTCTCATACGGTGTTTGGTGTTGTGTTTGTGTAGTGAGTGCTAGCTTCCTGTTTCAGTCTGCAGTTCCCTGGTGACATTCGGTTACAAACTTCTCATACAGTATTTGCCACCAGTATATCTTTTTCAGTGAAGTGTCTGTTAAAGTCTTTGGTTCATTTTTAAATTGGGTTTTCTTATTGTTGAGTTTTAGTTCTTTGTATATTTTGGCTGCCAGCCCTTTATCAGATATGTCTTTCGCAGGTATTTTCTGCCAGTCTGTGTCTTGTTTCTTCATTCTATTAGTAGTATCTTTTGCAGAGCCAGTTTTTATTTTAATGGAGTCCAGCTTATCAGTGTTCTCTTTCATGTATCGTGTTTTTGGTGTTGTATCTAGAAAGTTACGGCCAAGCCCAAGGGTACCTAGACTGTTTCCTGTGTTATAGTCTAGGAGTTGTTAAGTCTTGCGTTTTACATCTGGGTCCGTGATTCGTTTTGAGTTCACTATTGTGAAGGGTCTATGGTTCGTGTCTAGATTTTGTTGTATGCGGATGTCCAGTTGTTTTGGCGCCATCAAGAAGACTTTTTTTTGCACCATTTTGTTGCCTTTGCTCCTTTGTAAAAAAATCAGTTGACTGCATTTGCGTGGGTCTGTTTCTGAGCTCCCTGTTCTGTTCTGTTGGTTTATTTGTTCTTTTCGCCAGTACCGCCCTGTCTCAGTTCCTGTAGCTCTGTAGAAAGCCTTGAACTCAGTGTCAGTGTTCTCACGTTTCAACAGTGCATTGGCTATTCTGGGTTTTTCCCCCTCTCCCTGTACATTTTAGAATCAGTCTGTTGATATTTACAAAATGCTGAGACTTTGGTTGGGATTCCATCAAATCTATAGCTCAAGTTGGGAAGATCTTTTATTTCTTTTATCAGAATTTTGTAGATGTCATCGTATATAGATATTATACATATTTTGTTGTTTATACGTAAGGATTTCAATCTTTTGGAGCTAATGTAAATGGCATTGTGTTTTAAATGTCAAAATCTAATTGTTCATTGCTTGTAGGAAAACAATAGACTCTTCTTCTTCTTCTTTTTTAAAAGAGATGGGGTCTCACTCTGTTGCCCAGGCTGGAGTGCAGTGGTGCCATCATAGCTCACTGTAGCCTCAAACTCCTAGGCTCAAGGAATCCTCCTGTCTCAGCCTCCTGAGAGTAGCTGGGACCACAGGCATGCACAGTCATGCTCAGCTAATTTTAAAAAATTTTTTTATAGAGATGGGGTCTTGCTGGTTACCCAGGCTGGTCTCGAACTGCCCTGTCTGCTTTGAGATGATTGTATATTTGTGTTGTTTGTTAATTTGTAGAGGATTATTATGGATTTTTCTAATGTTAAGACGCCTTTGTATTTCTGAGATAGACCTTCGTATTGGTCTATATTTAAGACAGTATTCAGTTTCTCAGTTTTAATTTAGAGTTTTGCATCTGTGTTCATGAGTGAAATAGCTCATGAACTATAAATAGCTCATGAACTTTTCCATAAATGTGGAAAAACTTCACTTTTCCGTATCTTATTTCTCTGGGTTTCTAGAATGAACTAGAGAGTTCCTCCTCGTTCTGTTCTCTGGAAGGGTTTGTGTGAGGTTAGAATGAGTGTGCCTGATATAATTTAGTCGAATTCACTTATAAAATTCCTAAGCCTAGAGTTTTTTTCTGGGAAAAGTTTAGATTTTGACTCATTCTTTTAGTAGTTTTAGGACTGTTGAGGTTCTCTGTTTCTTGATTGAGGCAGTTTTGATAAGTTAATTTTTCTAATTTGTACATTTTGTCTAAGTTTTCAAATGTAATACATAAAATGTTCTTATTTCTCACCATATCTGTGTAGTCCTATCCCTTCTTTTATTGCTTTTATTAATTTGTACATTGACTCTGTTTCACCTATTGCCGAGTGACAACGTTAGTACAAACCTAGTGGCTTAGAAGAACACATTTATTACTTCACCGTTTCTGTCAGTCGGAAGTTCAGGCGCAGCCTCGCGGGTCCTCGGCCTCAGGGTCTCCCCAGGCTTCAGTCAGGGTGTTAGGACTGGGGTCTGGCCTGAGCTCCCGGTGAGGAAGGCACTGCCTCAGCACACGGGGTCCGTGGCAGGATCCCTTTCCTCAGCTGGAAGCTGCTGACTGCCTTTTGCTGCAGGTGCCTCTAGATGGCATCTCACAAAAGCCAGATGGGAGACTTGGTAGAGGGAGTTTGTGAGCATGATGGGAGCTGCAGTCACATGGACCTTAGTCCCAGGACAGGCACCCATCAGCCCTGCTTGATCTGCTGGTTAAAGATGAGTCTCATGTCCTGCAGGCTGACACCAGAGTAGACACTTCACTCCAGCCTCTTTGGAGAACCGGCTGTTTTTGGAAATAACAGATCTAGGAGGGTCTTTGTCTTCTAATTCTGTTGTTTTCTCTCTAATTGATTTTTCCTGTTCTTATTTAGTTCACTGTGTTTGGTTTGCTCCAGCCTGGGCCACTGGGTCTCAGTGATGCTGCTCGTGTTTGCAGCCGCATCTGCGGGGGCTTCCTCCCGAGGCCTTGCTTTCCTTGCCATCCCTTTCTCAGGTTCTGCCCGTCCGCTTCCCGCTCTGGTGTCCAGAGTTGGAAGTTGCTTCATTTAAAAACCCTCATAGGTCTGTGTAAACTGTTTATTTTTATGTGGTTTTTAAGGGAGACCATGCTCATTCCTTTGAGACCCTGAAATGGGTGGAATTGGGATAGGCAAACTGCCGTTTTGCCGAATCGTTCATTGGGCCAATCTCGTGTGTTCCAGGGAGACCCTCAAGCAGGGCTTAGAGTTCTGTCGGCGGCAGCAGAGGGCCGACGGCTCCTGGGAAGGGTGAGTGAGCCCCGCCCATGGGTGCAGACATGCGTGGGATCCGGAGGTTTCTGCTCTCACATGCTGCCTTCATAAATGTTGGGTGGTATGATGTTGCTGCACTAGACATTTCTGGAAGTAAGCTGCCAGCCCATGACTTCTGGGGGACCTTGTTCCTTTTGGCATGCCCGGCCCCTGCCTTGGTGAAATTGCTCAGCATGTTGCTGGGTGCAGCCAGGCTGTATTGGACGTGCACTGTCGCCTGAGTGTGGCTTTTCCCCTCCAGCCTCGCTGCTGCTTCTCGGGTGTCTGGCTGGTGGGCCCAGCAGATGGAGCTGCTGTCTTCGGTGGCCCTAACACCTGAGGCACTGGAGTTGGTGGGCTGGCTGGGGCACGTGTGAATGTCGCAGAATGCCTGTGGTTTCACACACCGGCTGTGAACATGGGTTGAAGGGCTGAGGCTCTCCTTGTCTCCCTCCAGGTCCTGGGGGGTGTGCTTCACCTACGGCACCTGGTTTGGCCTGGAGGCCTTCGCCTGCATGGGGCAGAGCTACTGTGATGGGTGAGTGAGTGAGTGAGCGCCTGTCCTCCGGTGGGCGGGGTTCTCAGCCCAGTCCCCTGATGTGAGTGTTGTTTGCTTTGATGTTTGATTATAGGGGTGGTTTTTTCTTTTTCTTTTTTTTTTTTTTTATTTGAGACAGAGTCTTGTTCTGTCAACAGGGCTGACATGATCCAGGCTCACTCACTATAGTCTCGAACTCCTGGGCTCAAGCGATCCTCCCAAATAGCTGGGACCGCAGGTGCACGCCACCACACCTGGCTAATTTTTTTTTTCTTTTTTTTTTTTGTTGCACACCTAATTTTTTAAAACTTTTATGCAGAGATGGCGTCTTGCTGTGTTGCTCACACTGGTCTGGGCTCAAGCAATCTTCCCACCTCGGCCTCCCAAAGTGCTGGGTTACAGGCATGAACCACTGCGCCTGGCCTGTTTTTAATATTTTTAAACAGTGAGATAATACTGGTTTCTCAGACAAGGTCCCAGGTTGAAATGAGGATGCTTCCCTGGTCCCACGGCTCCCCAGAGCTTCCTGACATGTGTACTGGAGGAACGCGTCTGGCTTCCAGCCCCTCCAGGCACACAGATGCCTCCCAACCCTGAGTGGGAGAATTAGGGTCCAGGCCTCCCCCCCAGACCAGGTTAGAAGGCAAGAGGCCTCTAGTCCCAGCCCTGTCTCCAGCTGCCCCACTCTTTCCTGCCCCACTCCTCCCAAGCACTGCAGACCTCACTCAGTCTGACACGTCTGTGAGGCCATCTGCAGTACTCGCATGTCCCTTTGTCACCCCAATGACTCTGGGAGCCAGGAGTATCTGTTCCCAGTTCACACCTGCGGAAGTCAAGCTCAGGGATTTCAGTAGTGGTCCATGGCCCTTACATAGGGTAACCCTATAGTGTAGGCTCCTCCCCAAACCCTAAGGCAGCCTGCCAGGGTAAGAAGCTAGGGGTCCTTCCCTGGGACCTTCCCTGATGTGATGGTGTCTGCTGTCTCTGGTCTCTACAGGACTGCCTGTGCAGAGGTCTCCCGGGCCTGTGACTTCCTGCTGTCCCGGCAAATGGCAGACGGCGGCTGGGGGGAGGACTTTGAGTCCTGCGAGCAGCGGCGTTACGTGCAGAGTGCCCAGTCCCAGATCCACAACACCTGCTGGGCCCTGATGGGGCTGATGGCCGTTCGGTGGGGATGATGGGCCCCATCCCTGAGTCCTGGGTTTGGGTGGAGGAGGGACACTCAGCTGTGAGCAAGTGGCCTGGGCTGAGTGAATGTAGAGAGGAGTAGGGGAGGCCTATGGGCCAGAGGCGATTCAGCTGCCACTCAGGGAACAGAGACGTCTACCAGAGCCACGTGCCAGGTGACTGCGGCAAGGAGATGGGTCGTTCTGACCACGTGGGGCCCTGCAGAGAGGCTTGCCTCTTAGAAGTGAACCACTCCCCATTAGCAGTGTTGGCAGCAGAGCATCGACCCCTGGAAACGGTGAGGTGGGCTGTGATGAGGACGCTGCTTCCTGATGTGGTGGTGATGGTGGCCATGGCAACTGCTCTCTGTGGCCTTCCTGTGTCCACAGCTGGTGCTGAGCCACATATGTGCCTGGTACACACATGCGCAGCCGCACGCAGGTGTTCATGTGCACACACTGATGTGTACACACAGACATACGTACATGGAGACAGATGCACACACACACAGTATGTATGCACACATGTATGCATGCACAGGTACCTGTGTACCCACACACATACACCCACAGCATCCCATCTGTGCTGCACATAGACATACGTACATACATGGAGACATGCACACACACATAGGTCTATGCACACACGTACACGTACACAGGCACCTGTGTACACACACACACACAGACGCACCCACAGCATCCCATCTGTGCTGCCCTGTCAGGTTTGTGGCCATCTGGGGAATCTTCCTAAAAGCTGAAGCAGGTCTGTTTGAGCAGGAGCAGCAGGGTCTGGGGGACCCCTGAGGGTAGGATAGTCACAGTTGAGCTGGGCCCACTGAGCCTTGGGTCCTGCTTGGTATCTCATCCTGGCCAGCAAGCAAGTATGAGCTCCTGTGGCTTCCAGAGGCCCATGAGGACCAGTGGGCCGGGTGGGAACAGTCTTGGGCTCCTCTTTGGGGGGAACAGAAGAGTGTCTTGTGCTGGAGCCACCAGCGCAGGCCTGAGGAGGCCTGTGTCCCCAGCCTGTCATCACTGTGGCTCCGCTTCTCAGGGAGCCTAGGAAAGGTGCGGCAGGAGCCCGAGGTGCTGACTGCGCCTGGTGGGCCCGTGGGTGTCGATTCAGGTGCATCCATTCTCACTGCAGCGTTCCAGGGTTTGTCCTTAGACTCAGTGGTGTGAGGGTGAGGATGGTGCTCGGGGGGCGTGTTTCAGCCTCCTCTTCCACCAGGCATCCTGATGTCAAGGCCCAGGAGAGAGGAGTCCAGTGTCTGCTTGAGAAACAGCTCCCCAACGGCGACTGGCCCCAGGTATGCCACCAGCCTCCATCATGCGCGGCTGTTTCCTCATCCTCTTGCTCTGTGTCTTCTGTGGGGTACTTTGGATGCTTGGGAGGCGTCAACTCTGCCAGTGAATGCCAGAGTTGGTGGCAGGTCTGTGGTAGGTTGTTGGGTCCTAAAGTCCAGGTCTTGCTGTTTTTGCAAGTGATGCTCTGGCTGGGGGAGGAGCTGGATGGGAGAAGCTAGTAGGGCGGGAAGCCGTTTCATCCAGGACAGACCCTCCGACTCCAGACGACCTGGTGGCCCCTCACTGAGCCGGAAGGGCAGGAGGTGTCCTCTGCTTATCACTGTGGTGTGGGTGTCATGGGATCATGTAAGGCCAACTACCCACCCCTGGGATGAGGCTGAGTTGGTGGAAGCTGAAGTGGTGGTGAGGGGCTGGTGACCCCGGATGAGTTTGCTGCAGGGTGGGGAGTCTGAGCTGGGCCGATGGTGCCTGACTGACGTGGGATGGACCACCTGCTTTCCCATGCTCTCGCTTAATTGGCCCTTCCCAGGCTCACCCACGAGCCAGCCAAGCCAGTAGCCAGGCTACAGTTCAGGGACTAGCCCTCAGCTGACCAGTGGAGCCTTTGTGTTTATTTCTCTGTGTTCTTTCAGGAAAACATCTCCGGGGTCTTCAACAAGTCCTGTGCCATCTCCTACACAAGCTACAGGAACGTCTTCCCCATCTGGGCCCTCGGCCGCTTCTCCCAGCTGTACCCGGAGAGAGCCCTTGCCGGCCACCCCTGAGAACATGCCTGCCTGCTGGGTGCTGTCTGTGCAGTCCAGTAAGGCCAAGGGGTCCTGGCCGGGTGGTGGAGCCCTCCCATAACCCTGTCTCTGGCTCCAGGCCCTCAACCTCTGCCTCACAGATGTGAGTCTGGGGACCAGGCTGGAGGCGGGGATGGGGACAGGGGGGGTGGCTTAGACTCTTGGTTTTTAACATAGGTTCATTTCTGAGAGTAGCTTGTCAGGCTTGGGTGAGGAGCCACAACCCTGAGGAGACAGTGCCTTTTGCCTCCTCTGGGCACAGCCTCCCCAAGGGAGTGAGGCTAGCAGGGTTTTTCTGACCAATAGCTGAGTTGGGAGAGGAACAGCTGCACCTGTGCGATTCCTACCTGGCACTGTCATGTGGGCTCTGGGCAGGCTGCTCCTGCACCTTCTGTCTGCCAGGCTGAGGGGTACGAGGGTGATTCTGACAATGGCATGTACAGTGCGCATCCATGAACAGCCCAGTGCAGGGGCGCTCATGGAGCATCTCGAGGCTGTGCAGCAGGGAACCCCATGCCCCTGGGTTGTGAGCTCGCCTGCAGAATGGTGGGTGGAGTCTCCATACCCACCCTGGTCATGGACTCGCCTGCATTTGCGGCGGGGGGGTGTCAGGGAGCATCCTGAGGTTGTTTAGCGGGGAGCCTCCATACCCCTGGATCGTGAACTCAGCCGTGTGGAATGCAATTTGTGAGGTGCCTACAGGGTTTATAGTGGCCTTATGGACAGAAATGCCCATGGGAGGCACAGCGTAACCAGGGGTGAGGGGCAGACAGCAGTCATGGTCACTATCACAGGGCACTGCTCTGTATAGGGAGAGCCAGCGTCCAGCCTATCACCGCTCCCTGGGCTGGCTGGGCAGGATGGCACCCTGGGGGCCTAGCATATGCCCAGGGCTACCCTACAGCTGCCGCCAGTCTCACGCCCAGGCAGGTGCTCTGGGCTGGAGTGAGGGCTACGTGTTGGGGGCAGCTTCTCTGGGTGATCCTCTCAGCTCCCTTCTAGCTTCTGACCCAGCTGGTCTGGCTTGCATGGATGTAGGGCTTAGGGTAGGAAGTTCAGGTCCTGGCTATGCCTTTGACTGATGTGGATGAGCCGTTCACGTGCTCAGGGCCACCCTGAGACTGTCACTGTTCTCCCTGGCCGTCGGGAGGAGTCACTGAGAACTTCGTCACCACTGCTGCCTTGCCCAGGGCACACCCTACGCCTCCTCATCTGCTCTTCCTCCCCCCCCGCTGCCTCCTGGGCAGGTGGCAGCCCCTGGCCCCTACCCCTGGCTGACTGTCCTCCCTCAGGCAGTGGAGGTCTGTGTCTGGACAGCCTTGGAGCCTGTCATTTCCTGCCTGGAGTCCTTCAGGGCCACCCCTCTGCCTTGGTGCGGGGTCCAGGGCTCTCACCCAGGCTCCGTGCCCTCTGGAGCATCCTGCCCAGCTCCCTTGCCCCATGTGCTGTCACTGACTCTCCTTGGGACTCGCCTGCCTGCTCAGAGCATGCAGGGCCTGGTCGGCTGCACGTGCAGGCAGATGCCTGTAGAGTGTCAACACATCTTAAAACTAGGCTTTAGTTTGGCTGAAGGAACCGTGTTGGGACCCTTGGCATCTGTCAGGTTTGCACGCGCTGTTTTTTTCCTCAGCCCATGTGTTCTCCCCCCCGGGGCAGCAACAGGACAGACAGTGAATCCCAGAGTCTGCCTGGAGCCGCGGCTGCTGTCCCTGGGCCTCCTAGCCACGGCCAGATCACTGTACAAAATAGCTTTCCGGAAATGAAATGTAAATCCATCTTTATACTGAAAATGTTACTGAAGACACTTTTATGAACAACTACTTTAATAAACAGGCGTTTGATTCCCTTAGCAGAAGCCTGTCATGCTGTTTCTTTCATCCTGGGGAGCAATGGCAGATCTGGGCTTTCTGGCTGTCCTGCCTCACCCACTTGTGGGGTAAGTGGGATGCCCAGCCTCGTTCAGGGACCAGGAGTAGTGTGAGCAGTCTCAGGGTGCCTCTCCAGCTATCTGAGGAAAATAGTGTCTCTCTTTTAAGAGATAATAGCTAGCCTATTTTAATATCTTTTAAAGCCCATAAACATATCTAGAAAGATAAATGAGAGACATGTCCACATAGGAGGAACCTTTCACTGCACAGTTTTCCTTCACAGTGGCCTTCAAGTCACAGGACACAGCGGTTCCCTGCCACCTTCAGTGTTACTAACACAGGCGGGACTTAAGGGTCACTGTCCTGCCCTGTCTTCTGCTTTATAAATCACATCCGTGTTCAAGCTGTTGTTTAAAGCAAGTGTATTTTTCCTGTCCCACGAAGAGGCCTTGTTCACAATTGGATCATGACGCAGAGAGTCTGTTCCTCCCACTGGCGTCTCTGGGTGCCAGGAGGATGACCTGGGCTCTTGGCAAAGAAGACCAGCAGGAAGAGATGGCGGCTGCACCTGTGCAGCCTCTGTCTGAGGGGACACTTGCCTCAATGTGATTAAAAATCAAGTTTGCTATCCTGAGTAAGTCATTAGAGATTTCTGAGTTCAAATTATTTTTATCAGGGACAGATGTTGAACATCCTGAAATCTTTTCCCTGGTGCCAGCCCAGGTTTTTTTTGTTCGCTATGATGTAAAGTTTCAGACTCTTGATATTTTTAATATCAACATAGACTGTAGGACAAGGAATGATACCAGAAATAAGGGACAAGGTTGATAAGAGGATCAGTTTATCCAGACGTAACAATCCTAATGTATCTGCACTTAATAACAGCTTCAAAATACATGAACTAAACTGCAGAATTGAAGAGCGTGACATAAATTCACAATTTTAGTGGGAAAAATTGAACATCATTACCCACCGACACTGGCATGGGCTTTTGAGAGGATACTTCTAGCAGTGGTGAAGCACACACTTTTCAAGAGCCTGTGGCCCATGTGCTCAGGTGGACCGTGACGGCTCATGAGATGAGTCTCAGGATGCTAGAAAGGACTGATGTCACGCGGAGCATACTTCCCACCACGGCAGACTTGAGCTGAACCGCGGAGCGAAGGCAATTCAGTGCCGAAAGGGCAGTGTTCCACAAATGATGCTGAAACAAGCAGACTTCATTCGTAAAGAAATGAACCTTGGCATACCCGTCACATCTAGACACACTCGAGATGAATCAGAGACCTAAATGTAAAACACAAAACTATAAAACCCCTAGAATGTCACATGGGAAATCCCGGTGACCTTGGCTTTGGCAGTGACTCTTTAGATCTGACACCAAAGGCAGGATCCACGCAGGAAAACATTCATAGGTTGCGCTTCATTAAAATAATAAATTTCTGGCTCATGCCTGTAATTCCAGCACTTTGCGGGGCCAAGGTGGGAGGGTCACTTGGGCCCAGGAGTTTGAGACCAGCCTGGGTAACACAGTGAAACCTCATCCATACAATACAATCAAAAAATTAACCAGGTGTAGTGGTAAGTGCCTGTCGTCCCAGCTACTTGGAACACTGAGGTGGGAGGATCACCTGAGCGTGGGAGGTTGAGGCTACGGTGATTGCGCCGCGGCGCTCTAGCTTGTGTGTCAGAGGGAGACCCTGTCTCAGTAAAATACATTAATTGAAAGTTTCTGCTCTGCAAAGACTGTCAAGAAAAATGAAAAGACAAGTCTCAGACTGGGAGAATATATTTGAAAAAGAAAGGATCAGTATCCAAAAGAGCTCTTCAAACCCAACAGTAAGAAAATCTGGTTAAAAAATGGGCCAAAGACCTAACAGACACTGCACCAAAGAAGATACACAGTTGTTAAATAAGCATTTGAAAACATTCCGCATCGTATGTCATCAGGGGACTGCAGATTAAAACTATCAATATACCCCTTAGAGTGGCCGGAATCCAGAACCTGACACCACCAAATGCTGGTGCGGATGTGGAGTGACAGGAACTCGGTGGTGGGAATGCCAGTGTGGCCACTTTGTTTTTTTTTTTTTTTCCCCTTCTGTTTTGATAACTGGGTAGTTACAGCCACTTTGGAAGGCAGCTTGGTGGCTCCTTACAAAACTAAACATACTCTCATATATCCAGCCGTTGCACTCTTTGGTATTTACCCAAAGGAGTTGAAAACTTATGTCCACACAAGCACCTGCACACAGATGCTGAGAGCTGTTTATTTGTAGTTGCCAAAATGTGAGGCCAACCAGAATGCTGGTGAATGAGTAGGTAAATGAGTGAGTAAACTTTGGGGCAGTGAGTGGAAGATGATTCAGCACCAAGAAGAAATGAGCTATCAAGCCGTGAGGAGACACGGAGGACCCTTAAATGCATGTTACTAAGTGAAAAGCTTGCGCAGTTTGGAAAGGCTGCATACTGTGTGATTCCAAACAGATCACATCCTCAGAGGCAAAACTGGAAACAGTAAAAAGGTCAGTGGTAAAAACACTTCAAAAAACAAAAAAGATCAGTGGATGCTGGAGTTAGGGCCAGGAGAGGGATGAAGAGGCAGAGTGCAGAGGATTTTCAGGGCAGCGAAACTACTCTAGCCTGACACCTATCTAGCCATCCGTGATGGCGGATACAGGACATTGTACATTTGTCCAAAGCCAGAGAATGTGCAGCATCAAGAGTGAGCCCCGATGTAAACTGTGGGCCCTGGGCATCGAGAATGAACCCCAGTGTAAAGTGTGGGCCTGGGGCATCAAGAGTGAACCTCAGTGTAAAAATTGTGGGCCTCGGGCATCAAGTGAAACCCAGTGTAAAGTGTGGGCCTCGGGCATCGAGAGTGAACCCCAGTGTAAAGTGTGGGCCTCGGGCATCGAGAGTGAACCCCAGTGTAAAGGGTGGGCCTCGGGCATCGAGAGTGAACCCCAGTGTAAAGGGTGGGCCTCGGGCATCGAGAGTGAACCCCAGTGTAAAGTGTGGGCCTCGGGCATCGAGAGTGAACCCCAGTGTAAAGTGTGGGCCTCGGGCATCGAGAGTGAACCCCAGTGTAAAGTGTGGGCCTCGGGCATCGAGAGTGAACCCCAGTGTAAAAAGTGTGGGCCTCGGGCATCGAGAGTGAACCCCAGTGTAAAGTGTGGGCCTCAGGCATTGAGAGTGAAACCCAGCGTAAAGGGTGGGCTTTGGGTGATGACGTGACCATGTAGGTTCATCAGCTGTAACAAATCGGCCGCTCTGGGACTGAGCAGGTGTGCGCGCCTATAGTCCCAGCTACTTGGGAGGCTGAGGCAGGAGGATCTCTTGAGCCCAGGAATTCGAGGCTGCACTGAGCTGTGATCATGCCACTTTCTCTGCAGCCTGGGCAACAGAGCGAGACCCTGTCTCAAGAAAGTACCACTTTGGTTCGGGAAGTTGATAATAGGGCAGGCTGTGCATTTGTTGGGGCAGAGAGTAGGGGAATCTCCATACCTTCCTCTCAATTTTGCTGAAAAACTAAAACTCCTGTTTAAAAAGCGTCTTGAGAAAGATGAAAGCACAAGGGAAACTGGAGAATATTTGAAGTTGAATGAGAATAAAAATGACATTAGAGTTTGTGGGACGTGGTTAAAACTTGATGCTGGTGCCCACAGCCACGGGAAATGGACGTAGTGCCCACAGCCACGGGAAATGGACGCAGTGCCCACAGCCACGGGAAATGGACGCAGTGCCCACAGCCACGGGAAATGGACGCAGTGCCCCACAGCCACGGGAAATGGACGCAGTGTCCACAGCCACGGGAAATGGATGCAGTGCCCACAGCCACGGGAAATGGACGCAGTGCCCACAGCCACGGGAAATGGACGTGGACGCAGTGCCCCACAGCCACGGGAAATGGATGTGGACGCAGTGCCCCACAGCCACGGGAAATGGACGTGGACGCAGTGCCCCACAGCCACGGGAAATGGACGTGGACGCAGTGCCCCACAGCCACGGGAAATGGACGTGGACGCAGTGCCCCACAGCCACGGGAAATGGACGCAGTGCCCCACAGACACGGGAAATGGACGCAGTGCCCCACAGCCACGGCCTTCAGCAAATAGAAAATACGAGTAACCTTATATCTACTGAAGAAATTGATTTAGAAATTTAAAACTTTCCCAGAAGTCTAGGCCTAGGTAGCTTCACGGGTGACTTCTGTCTGCCATGTAGGAAGGAAAGAGCAGCTAGAAGATGGCGTGGAACACCTTGCGGGGCCTTTTAAAAGGCCAGTGCTCTAAAGCCAGACCAAGACATTACAAGACAAGGAGATTCAGATCAGTTTCCCCTGTGAGATAAAAATACTTAACGAGATACTAACAAACCGAATCCGGCAATATATTAAAAGGATAACGCGTCAAGATCAGAAAGCTGTCAGAGCGTTGACAGGTCTGTGGCCGGAGAGCTCGTGATGTCCAGAGAAGGTGTCCTTGGAGAGGGGAGAAGATGGCATTTAAAATGCGATGGGAGGAGCCAGCGCAGGAAAAGCCATTCAGCGCCCCACTGGCCTCAGCTGGGACGAACCTGTGACTTAACCCTCACTTCTCTCCCTGCTCTGCATCCTGGATGCCCTGCACCCCTCTTCAGTGGGCTGTATCAGGCCCCCGTTGTCTTCATCTGGGGCGTGAGCCCTGTGCGGCAGCACCAGGCTGGCTGGGTTGTGTAAGGAATGCTGGGGTGTAGAAACCCTTTCTCCACAAAGTCTAACTTGAGACCTTCTCTCCTGGAATCAACATTCCCCTAATCAGGCCGAGGGCTGAATGAAGACTGTTTTCCTGGGGCGTCTGCACCTGAGTGCCCTTGAACATCACATAGGACGAAATCCAGGTGACCTTGGATTTGGCAATGACTCTTTAGATATGACACCAAAGGCATGATCCATGCAGGAAAACGCTGATTAAAATAATAAAATTCTTCATTAAAATAATAAATTTTTAGGTCATGCCTATAATCCCAGCACTTTGGGGGCCCCAGGTGGGAGGCTCTCCGTCACAGGGCCGGAGGTCACAGGGCGCCTGTCACAGGGCTGGAGTGTGGTTGGCCCACTGGTTTGTGTTTTACGTCCCTTCCCACAAGGACAAGATGACCCGTCTGTTGTGTTCTGGCTGCTGATAAAACAAGACCCTCAGAGCCAAGAAACAACACTGAGGTGATTGATTTTCCCAAGTAATTGGAGACAGGGGGAGTCAGGGTGGGTTTCAAGATGATCACACGGACCGAGGACAGATGCCTGCCCTAGTAGGACCCCATGAGCCACAGCCCTGTGTGACAGCCTGAGGGGCCACGCCTTGGTCAGGGGTGTCTGCAGTGAGGTGCAGGCAGGAGCAGTGCAGTTGGGAACAACTGGTGTCTTAGACACGGGTGCTCGTGGTCCGAGGGGTGGACACACACTGCTGAACCCTTCTCATGGGGGAGTGACGTCAGGTGGTCTCCGGCCCAGCCTTCAGGGCCTCCCAGTGCTCCTCAGGGTGTGGGGACCATCGTGGGGCTGCCCCAGGCTGGTGTCCTCCCCCTACACTCACCAGCCCCTCCATCCTCAAGTGTGGGTCCCAAGGTCAGGCCCTGATGAACACCCGCACACCACATGCTACCCTGAGTGCCAGGGCCTACGGGAAGCTACACTGGGTCCCTGTGTCGTGGGCAGGGCCTGTGGGAAGGGCGGCCCCACGTGCCACTCAAGGAAAGGCAGTGTCCCCACCTGGCCTGAGGACTCCACATGGGGTGAATGCCTGACCCGGGCTGGGCCTCCCTTTGCGGAGTGGCTCAGATGCCCCCCCTGGAGTGTGGTCCCCACATCCCATACCTGCCTAAGGTCCTTGGCATTCTCGGGCTCTGTCGTGGTGCAGGAGTGGCTGCCTGTGCACCCCACGGGCCTCCAGCTTCACTGCCTCAACGTGGCCACGAGCTGTCGCCAGGGCGGGCAGGGGTGCCTGGCACCTGGTCGCTAGGGCAGCGACATCACAAGGTTCGGAAGGTGGCAGCGGCCACGGAACTCTGTGGCCTTGGGCTGTTTCTGTGGTGCCTGTGGGCTCTGGGCTTCCACCTCTGTGGGGCTGCAGGAGCTGTGAGGGACGACGAGGGACGTGCGCCCGCCATGGCTGAGGGCGGTGAGCTGATGAGCCAGCTCCTGAGTGAGAACGCAGACCTGAAGAAGCAGGTGCGCCTCCTGAAGGAGAACCAGATGCTGCGGCGGCTGCTTAGCCAGAGCTGCCAGGACGGTGGTGGCCGAGACCTGCTCCCCCAGAGGGCGCCCGCCTACCCCGAAGCCAGCTCCCCTGGGAGCGGAGGTGAGGCGCCACCCGGCTCAGTTGGCCCAAGGGTCTGGCCTGGTGGATGGGGGGGTCAGGGGACGCCTGCTCCTCAGGTGTCCCTGGTACAGGAGGTCACGGGTACCTTCCACACCCTCGGATCTGAGTAAGCAGCACCAGGTGGTTCATTCCGCTGTTGTCCTCGGGCGAGGCCCCTCCCCTACAGGCCCGCTGCGGTGAAGTAGGGGTGGTCAGCCACTTGCAGGTGGACTGGTCAGCTGCAGTCACGGAAGTGCCGCCGTAGGGGCAGAGCGGGAGGCGTGCAGCCTCGTGGGCCTCCAGAGACCCAGGCAGCTCTTCCAGGCTGGGCCCGGCTGGCACTTCGCTCGGCTGTGTGTGTCTCTTCTCCTGGGGCGGAGGGGGCTGTCAGACGCACCAGCCACACGAGTCCCATCCACTCACGTCCTCAGCCAGAGTCAGGGCAGCCCCAGGGTGGGAAGGGCCTACCTCGGGGAGGTCAGGGGAGTGGGTGGGGATGATGGGCACCTGTCCCTGGGGCGGTGGGAGTGTCGGGTCACGATCCACCCACCACATAGTATTGACTCCAACCTTCTGTGGCTTTTCACTGAAAAAAAAAAAAAAAAAGGGGGGTTTGATCACTTTCTGCAAAGTAGTAGGTTTTATTCTAAAAATTTTGGGAAAAACATTCCCTGTTTCTGCATGTGACTTGGGGTATGGCTGACAGGTGTGCCCTTGACTTTGTTAGGATGGTGGGCAGTGGACAGAGTCCCTGACCCAGCACTGCCTGGGACTTCCACGGCCAACCTCAGCTTCCCACCAGGCCGGGTGGGGACAGGATGTGGTCAGCCTGCCTGGTCCTGGACGATGGAGCAGGCAGCCTCACCAGTGCCTGTGAACGCTGCTGTCGGGAAGCACGAGCCATGCCTGGGAGGCTGGTTCTGCCACCCACCGAGGGCACACTCTGGGACCTGCGCAGGGGTGGTCACTTCCTGAGTCCTCAGACGCCAGCCACCACCCTCATCTGTGCGCCTCTGAGCGGGCACAGCCTGCAGGAGGCACTCTCCGCTGCTTGGAGCTACTGTGTACAAAGCCTGAGAGCGAGCACGTCGGGAAGTAAAGAGGGGAATCCTTGGCAGCATCTCCATAGCTTCGGTGCCTGCAGGGGCTCCTCACGGGGAGCTGGGAGGAGAGCACCTCGCCAGGAGGTATGGGGACAGTGTGGCCAGAGGATCCAGCGCCGGGGGTCCCTGCTGTGGGAGGCCCCAGGTCCTGCATCCCCGTTGGTGGCCACTGAGCTCCCCCACACTCACCACAGGCCATTTGCTGGGTGGACCTGTGCTTACGGCGGCACTGCAAATGGTCCCGTTCACAGCACTTGTTAGCCCCGGGCACTGTGGCTGCAAAAGAGCCCCTAGTCTGCTTGGTGCCTGAGGAACTGCCACAGGCTGCATGCCCGGCCTTGTTGCCATCGTCCTCCTCAAGAAGGAATTGCACTGGGCTGGACACAGTGCTGGGGCCTCCCTTGGCGGGAGAGCGGCAGACCCTCCACCCTTGCTCAGGCTGTGCAGTCCCTGGAGGGACCTTTGTCAGGGGCTGAGTCAGGTGGGGTCTCCATGGCCACGGTGAGTGCACCTGCCCTTGGGTCACCTTGGCAAGCCCAGGTCTGGCTGGACACAGGTCTTGGGAGGATCCCCAGCCCGAGGCCATCAGGCCTTCCACAGAGGGCCTTGGAGCCCCCATGCAGGGTGTGGGGCAGGCTCAGTGTGGCCCGGGCTGCCAGTGGGGAGGGGCCTGGACAAGGCCGCCTTCTAAACTGTGCCACCTCAGTGGCAGCGCGTGGTGCACCCTTGATGCTCTGGGCCTCAGCATGTGCTTGGGAATGTGCCTGGGTCTGCGGGGCGCTGCATTCAGCCCCAGCCCTCAGCAGGACGGGGGTTTGGAAAACCACCACTGAGCTCCTGCCAAAAAGGGGTTTAACACCGCGGAGGACATGTTTCCGGCTCAGGCCACGCCTCTGGACCCACTCCCTAAAGGCAGGCACAATCAACGTTTTCTTGGGTTTTCTCTGGAAGTTTGATGGAGGTCCGTGTGTCTCTCTCTCTCTTTTTGGTCCACCCAAACAGGACTGCGCTGTTCCCCAGCCTGACTTTCGCCCTGAAACTGTCCATTTCTCTATCATTCCCCGTCAGTCCTCAGCTGCAGACATCCCGGCACACAGAGAAGCTGGTTCCTTCTCTGGGGCCCCTGGCAGGCAGCACCATTCCCGGTCTGTGACCGCGGATGCTGTGGCCGGGAGCAGCCTGCACAGGCACCCTGTCGCCTTGGGTAGGGGATCCCACACGTGGGTCCTCGGGTCAAAGGCTGTGTGCATTTGAGATGTCGGAAGAGACACTCAAACACTCTCCTGAAAGGCCCCTACACCCCACTAATGGAGGAGGCGGGCGCCATGCTGGCATTGTTCCAGCACACACACACCCCCCCCCCGCCTGGTGCTCTCCACACCCCCCCCACCTGGTGCTCTCCACACCCCTCCCCGCCTGGTGCTCTCCACCCGCCCCCCGCCTGGTGCTCTCCACATCCCACCCCCGGCCTTGTGCTCTCCTCACACCCCTGCCTCATGAGTCTGTTCCCTGACCTATGCTTGGATGATACTTGATGCAGCTATTTCTGGCCCATCTATGGTATTTTTCCTAGGGGTTATCTTTGTAGGAATTTGACGTTAGAATTGTGACAAATTTTGAAACCTAATTGAGCATGCTTTAAGCGTTCTGTGGTTCCAGCTTCATTTGTATGATGTTGGGATTATGACTTGTTGGGAACTTGGCACACTCACGAACAGAACACCCAGGCCTGCAGCCCTTTTTGGGGAATAATAATTTCCTGACTTTGAGACTTTCCTTCTTTGTGTGTTGGTTCATTTAGGTTTTCTATCTATTATTGAGTTACTTAAAAGTAACTTTCCAGGTTCATCCATGTCCCTACAAAGGACACGAACTCATCATTTTTGATTGCTGCGTAATATTCCATAGTGTATATGTGCCACATGTGTGTACCTATGCAACTATCTTGCATGTTCTTCACATGTACCCCAAAACCTAAGATGCAATTTAAAAAAAGAAAAAAAAAGTAACTTTCCAGAAGATACGTCCTTTTACTGCAATTTTAATTAATACAGAATTGTACATGATGCTCTTTTATAATTTGAAAATACCTGGGGTGGGAGCTGGTGCAGCCCCGAGGACTGACCAGGCCTCCCCCGTGGCAGGAGGCAGGGCACACACTGATGACTTTGCTTCTTTTGAACACTTTTTTTCCTTGGAAAACATTTCTGAGGGAAGATTGGTTGGTTCCTTTGTAGGCACATGACGTTTTGATATAGCTCTTCACAGCGTTTCTCAAATATGTATTTGCTTTGTTGCTAGGAGAATACTCACGACATGGAGGTAGAATAGAATTTCATAAGCCACAAAGGCATTGATAAATTTGACCAGGGATTAGGGAAATGCCACATGACCTCATCAGCCTGGTTAGGGAATACCGAGTCTTCATGAGGCTGTGGGGCCGGGAGCAGTTGGTGGGCATGGAACCTCCCCCTCATCGTGGAAAGCAAAGAAAGTTAAACATTAGCCCAGCGCAGGACCACAGGGGACGCTCACGGAGGGAGGAGGCTGAGCCCAGCGCTGGATCACAGGGGAGGCTCACGGAGGGAGGAGGCTGAGCCCAGCGCTGGACCACAGGGGAGGCTCATGGAGCGAGGAGGCTGAGCCCAGCGCTGGATCACAGGGGAGGCTCACGGAGGGAGGAGGCTGAGCCCAGCACTGGACCACAGGGGAGGCTCACGGAGGGAGGAGGCTGAGCCCAGCGCTGGACCACAGGGGACGCTCACGGAGGGAGGAGGCTGAGCCCAGCGCAGGACCACAGGGGACGCTCACGGAGGGAGGAGGCTGAGCCCAGCGCAGGACCACAGGGGACGCTCACGGAGGGAGGAGGCTGAGCCCAGCGCTGGACCACAGAGGATGCTCACGGAGGGAGAAGGCTCATCCTGGGAGCTGTGCGTTTGCAAGGAAATGTGGGAACAGCCTGTGCCCATCGACAGGGCAAGGGTAAAAAGCCACTGTGTGTGTGTCCATGTGTACAGAGGTGCCAGGAAACAGTTAAATGAACTGGGAGCTACCAGATGGCTCAACGTGGATAAATCTTAGAGACAGAATGCAGCAGCAAAAAGTTCTGTTGCAGAATAAAATGTGTAGGGTGTCACCATTTATGTAAAATTTAAAATGCATATAAAAGTCATTCTCCAGTGTGTGTGGGTGCACAGGGCGGGAGGAAGCACGCGGAGGCCTGCCCGCTTGCTGTGTCCATAAACAGACGCAGCACTCCCGTGGGCATGGCGGGCACCATAAACAGATGCAGCGTTCCCATGGGCATGGCGGGCACCATAAACAGATGCAGCACTCCCATGGGCAAGGCAGGCACCATAAACAGATGCAGCTCTCCCGTGGGCATGGCGGGCACCATAAACAGATGCAGCGTTCCCACGGGCATGGTGGGCACCATAAACAGCCCTTCCATGGGCATGGTGGGCACCATAAACAGATGCAGTGCTCCCATGGGCATGGCGGGCACCATAAACAGATGCAGTGCTCCCATGGGCATGGTGGGCACTATAAACAGATGCAGCACTCCCATGGGCATGGCAGGCACCATAAACAGACGCAGCTCTCCCGTGGGCATGGTGGGCACCATAAACATGCAGCGTTCCCACGGGCATGGTGGGCACCATAAACAGCACTCCCATGGGCATGGCGGGCACCATAAACAGCACTCCCATGGGCATGGTGGGCACCATAAACAGATGCAGTGCTCCCATGGGCATGGCGGGCACCATAAACAGATGCAGTGCTCCCATGGGCATGGCGGGCACCATAAACAGATGCAGCTCTCCCGTGGGCATGGTGGGCACCATAAACAGATGCAGCGTTCCCACGGGCATGGTGGGCACCATAAACAGCACTCCTATGGGCATGGCAGGCACCATAAACAGACAAAGCGCTCCCGTGGGCATGGCGGGCACCATAAACATGCAGCGCTCCCATGGGCATGGTGGGCACCATAAACAGTACTCCCATGGGCATGGTGGGCACCATAAACAGCGCTCCCATGGGCATGGTGGGCACCACAAACAGACAGCACTCCCGTGGGCATGGCGGGCACCATAAACAGACAGCACTCCCGTGGGTATGGTGGGCACCATAAACAGACAGCACTCCCATGGGCATGGTGGGCACCATAAACCGCTCCCGTGGGCATGGTGGGCACCATAAACAGACAGCACTCCCGTGGGTATGGTGGGCACCATAAACAGCGCTCCCGTGGGCATGGCAGGCTCCCACGGCCACTTCACTACATCTAGCATCTCCTTTTTCACTCGAGGTCCAGAGGGGCAGGAGGATGCTCTGAAGCCAGGGACACCCCAGCAGGTGCTGAAGCTTGGGGTTGGGCACACAGGGTTTGTTAACATGTTCTTTGCACTCTGGAGGATGTTTTAGGCACTTGACCTGACGCCTCACCCCTTTCCTCCCTGCTCCAGTTCCAGATTTTGGAAGGTTCACCAGTGTCGCTGACACACCCTCCCAGTTGCAGATGCCCTGCCTGGAGGACCTGCTGTGCTCACATGCCCCCCTGCCCAGTGAAGACGACGCCTCCCCAGGCTGTGCAGCCCCTTCCCAGGCATACTTCAAGGCCTTCTTCAGTCCCTCGGAGCTGCACAGCCACCGAGGCACTGACAGGAAGTTGTCCCCACTCCTGAGCCCCTTGCAAGACTCACTGGTGGACAAGAGCTTGCTGGAGCCCAGGGAGGTGGTCCGGACTAAGAAGGTGTGCTTCTCGGAGAGCAGCCTGCCCACCGCGGACAGGACCAGGAGGGGCTACTACCTCAATGGTATGGCCGGTGGGGGGGCAGCGGGTGAGCCCCGGGGGAAGGCTGGCAGCCGTGGGGAGGGCACGTCTGGGTGGTCACGGAGTGGAGGGAGGATGGCCAGGCTGGGAGGCTGGGGCCCAGGACAGTGGCTGTCCCAACCTTTTGCCCATCTTTAAAGAAAAAACGGGTTGCTTATCTTCTCCTTGGGAAGTTGCGAGAGTTCTTTACCCAGGTGTGAGTCCTTTTGGGCACAGGTGTTGCAGATATGGTCCCCCCTTCATGGCTTCCACTTTCATAGTAACGTCTTTTATGAGCAAAACTGTTTAATTTAATGAAGTCCAGTTTATTGATTTTTCTTTCGTATTTTATGCTTTTTATGTTCGGTTTAAGAAATCTTTGCCAAGCCCAAGGTCACATAGATTCTCTCCTACGTGTTGTTCTAGAAGTTTTATAGTTTAGGTTTTCCAGGCAGGTCTCTGATCAATTCCAAGTTACTTTTCATATATGGTGTGAGGTTTGCATGTCGATATCCACCTGAGGCTCAGGCCAGCCTCCCGCCTCAGCCTCCCAGGTAGCTGGGACTGCAGGTGTGTGCCTGGCTAGAATAAAATGGCTTATTTTTGTTTTTTGTGTTTTTGTTGTTGTAGAGATGGGATTTTCCTACACTGCCCAGGCTGGTCTTGAACTCCCAGCTGAAGCAATTTGCCTGCCTTGGCCTCCCAAAGTGCTGGGATTGCAGGCACGAGCCACCATGTCTGGCCTGTCCATTTTATTTATCTTTTCAAATAACCAGCTTTTTGTTAGATTGATCTTTTGTATTGTTTTCTTCATTTAAATGTCATTTATTTCTGCTCTGATCTTAATTGTTTTTCTTCTAATTTTGGGTTTGGTTTGCTCTTGCTTTTCTAACTTTTTAAGATGAATCATTAGGTTGTTTATTTGAAGTTTCTCTACTTTTTTTGATGTAGGCACTTACAGCTGTAAACTTTCCTCTTAGTAAGGCTTTTGCTGTGTCCATGTAGTGTTTCCAAACATTAGCATTTGTTTCAAGACATTTTTTTTTTTTTTTTGAGACAGAGTTTTGTTCTTGTTACCCAGGCTGGAGTGCAATGGCGCCATCTCGGCTCACCACAACCTCCGCCTCCTGGGTTCAGGCAATTCTCCTGCCTCAGCCTCCCGAGTAGCTGGGATTACAGGCACGTGCCACCATGCCCAGCTAATTTTTGTATTTTTAGTAGAGACGGGGTTTCATCTTGTTGACCAGGATGGTCTCGATCTCTTGACCTCGTGATTCACCCGCCTCGGCCTCCCAAAGTGCTGGGGTTACAGGAGTGAGCCACTGCACCTGGCCTGTTTTAACACATTTTAAAATTTCCTTCTTAATTTCTCCATTGATAAGCTGGCCCTTCAGGAGCATATTGCTTAATTTCTGCGCGTTGGTAGAGTTTCCAAAAGTCCTTTTGTTGTTGATTTCGTTTTATTCCATTGTGGTCGGAGAAGATAGTTGATGTATCAATGTTTTGATTTTCAAAGACTTGTTTTGCAGCCCGACATGTGGACTGTCCTTGGGAACAATCCATGTGCTAAGGAGAAGCGTGTCTATTCTGCACCTGTGGCATGAATGTCCTGTAAATATCCATGTGCTAAGGAGAAGCGTGTCTATTCTGCACCTGTGGCATGAATGTCCTGTAAATACCCATGTGCTAAGGAGAAGCGTGTCTATTCTGCACCTGTGGCATGAATGTCCTGTAAATACCCATGTGCTAAGGAGAAGCGTGTCTATTCTGCACCTGTGGCGTGAATGTCCTGTAAATACCCATGTGCTAAGGAGAAGCGTGTCTATTCTGCACCTGTGGCGTGAATGTCCTGTAAATACCCATGTGCTAAGGAGAAGCGTGTCTATTCTGCACCTGTGGCGTGAATGTCCTGTAAATACCCATGTGCTAAGGAGAAGCGTGTCTATTCTGCACCTGTGGCGTGAATGTCCTGTAAATACCCATGTGCTAAGGAGAAGCGTGTCTATTCTGCACCTGTGGCGTGAATGTCCTGTAAATACCCATGTGCTAAGGAGAAGCGTGTCTATTCTGCACCTGTGGCATGAATGTCCTGTAAATACCCATTACATTCATCTGGTCTGCAGCGCAGGCCGAGTCTGCTGTTGCATTTTGATTTTCTGTCTTAAAGTTCTGCCCAAGGGTGAAAATCGGTACTGAAGTCTCCAGTTACGATTGTATTGGGGTCTGTCTCTCACTTTAGCTCTGACCATATTTGCTTTACATATCTGGGTGTTCCAGTGTTGGGTACATATATATTTACAGCTGTTATATCCTTTTGCCGAACTGAGCCCTTCATCCTTATATAAGGGCTTTGTCTCTTTTTATAGTTTTTGTCTTGAAATCCACTTCGTCTGATGTGAGTGTGGTCACTGCTGCTCTTTCTTGGTTCTCATCTGTCTGGAATATCTTTTACTATCACTTCATTTTCAGCTAGTCTACGTGTGCTTTCCTGGTGAAGTGTGTTTCTTGTACGCAACAGAGGGTTGGGTCTTTCTCTTTTTTAATCCATTCAGCCCTCCTCTGTGCCTTTGGATTGGAGAGGTTAGTCTGTTCACAGTCAAAGTTTCGTGGCTGTTTTTGAGCAGACTTGCACACCATCATTCATTGAGTTTACCATGCTGTATTCATTTTTTTTTGAGACAGGGTCTCACTCTGATGCCCAGGCTGGAGTACAGTGGTGCAATCTCAGCTCACTGCAACCTTTACCTCCAGGGTTCAAGTGATTCTCATGCCTCAGCCGCCCCAGTAGCTGGAATTACAGGCGTGTGCCACCACGCCCAGCTAATTTTTGTATTTTACTAGAGATGGGGGTTTGCCAAGTTGGCCAGGCTGGTCTCGAACTCCTGACCTCAAGTGATCTGCCCACCTCAGCCTCCCAAAGTGCTGGGATCACAGGCGGACTATTTACATCCAGTTATTATTGATAAGTGAGAACGTATTCCTCCCATTTTGTTATTTGCTTTCCCCTTGTTTTGTGGTCTTCCCTCCTCTTCAGTTATCTTGAAGAGTTTGTGTTGAATTGGTGTCACATGTTCCTTAAGTGGTAGAATCCACCACTGAAACTACCTGAGCCCTGAACAGTCTTTTTGGAACATTGTCTCCCTACAAATTCCATTTTATTGATAATGTCAGCTGAAACTAAGGCTGTTGAGACCGAAATAATTCGATAAAGGTTTGTGGGAAGCTAAGTGTGAGGATCAAGTAGGGGGACGCACCAGCAAAGCTGGAGTGTTCTGGAATCTGAGCCAGCGGCTTTTATGGGAGACTTCGGGAGAACGGAAAGGGACTTCTCATACTCCTGTTGTCCTTTCCTTTGGAGGGTGCAACGCAGAGGGCCAGTCGTTGGCTACAGGTGACAACATACAGGCTAAAATGTCTCCATGCAGGACAATCAGTAAAACTTCATGACTCAGGGATAAACCGTGTCCTTTCCGTGTCATTAGGCTGCGCATTAATGAGTACAGCAGCATCTGAGGAACTTAGGGACCGTGGACCACAAGACCTTCCCAAGGCAGGCCACTTTGGAAGTCTGTTTACTTTTAAACTGTCAAATGTCACCTGTAAGGTTATCAGATAAAAGGCTATTCAGATTATCCATTTCCTCCTGAGGGAACTTTCGTAGTTCGTGTCTTTTAAGGAACCAGCCAATGTCATGTAGGTTATTGAATTTATTGGCATAAAGTCATTCCTAAGACTTCCTTAGTATCCTTCTTACATTTGTAGAGTCTGTGGTAGGGGCATCTCTAATTTCTGTTAGTGGTAATTTTTGTGTTCTTTCTTTTTTCCCCTAAGTCTGGCCAGAGGCTTATCAAAGTATCACCGTTTTCCTTTGAAGAACAGGTTTTTGGCTGGATCTTAGAGACCCAAGGTTGGCTAGAAACGATTTCCAGAACATGTCGCCTGCAGGATGTTTCTTCCACCTCATTGATGCCTGTGGGGCGGTGGGGGGCGGGGGCGGGCGTGCAGAATGGGAGAGAGAGCTTGATTCTTGAGGAGAGAAATGCATTAATACAGGAGAGTTTACACCTGCTCCTCAGCGCCCTATGCTTCTGTGCAGTGTGCTGCTGTACCTCTTCTGCAGCCTTGAAAAGTGGTTGGGAAAGAAATGCACTGAAAACTACAAACGTTGTTGAAAGGAATGAAAGACATTAAGAAACAGAAAATTGACCAGCCACGGTGGCTTACACCTCTAATCCCAGCATCTTGGGAGGTTGAGACGGGCAGATCTCTTGAGCCCAGGAGTTCAAGACCAGCCTGGGCAACATGGTGAAACTCGATCTCAAAAAAAACAAAAAACAAAAATTAGCTGGGTGTGGTAGTGTGTGCCTGTAGTCCCAGCTATTCAGGAGGCTGAGGTGGGAGGATCACTTGAACCCAGAAGACAGAGGTTGCAGTGAGCTGAGATCATGCCACTTCACTCCAGCCTGGGTGACACAGCAAGACCTTTTCTCCAAAAAACAAACAAAAATAAATAAATGAGTAAACAGAGAAACATCTTGTGTTCACAGATTATAAGACTTTATGTTGTTTAATAATCAATAATTTTGATAGAGATTGCATTGGATCTGTGCATTTATGCAATTCCCATCGCAATCCCAGTGTCTTCTTTGCAGAAATTGACAAGCAGAAACTTAAATTCATATGAAAGTGTAAGGAACCAGAATAGGTAAAACAATCTTTAAAAAAGGAGAACAAAACAGAAGGATTCATACTTCCCGGTTTCCAAACTGACTGTAAAGCTTGCAGTCACCAACACGGTGGTACTGCCGTGGGATGGAAATAAGCCCATATGTAGACGGTTTTCCACAAGAGTGCCAGACACTTCAGTAGGGGCAGAATACTGTTCAGTGGTGCTGGAACACGTAGGTCTCCACATGCCAAAGAATGAAGCCGGACCTTACTCCACACCACATACGAAAAGTAACTCAGAAGGGATCAGACCTAAGAGATGTCAGGAGCTTGGGCCGGAAAACTTGTGGGAAAACCATACAGGCAAATCTTCGTGACCTCGGATTTGGCAGTGGATTCTTAGAGATCGCACAGAAAGCAGGAGCAAAAGAGAGAAACAGACAAACTGGACTGCATCGAAAGTAAGAGAATAAACAAACAAAAACCACACGACTTTTGTGCTTCAAAGGACAATACTGAGAAAATGAAACCAACCCAGAGAATGGGAGAAAAGGTTTGTAAATTGTGCATTTGAAATGGGAATAGTATGCAGACTATTTAAGAACTCTGACAATTCAACAGTAAGAAGACAAACAATCCAATTAAAAATCCGTATAGGACTTGAACAGATATTTCTCCAAAGAAAATACAGTATATACATGGCCAAAAAGCACGTGAAAAGATGTTGGGTCACAGTCATTAGTGAAATGAAAATGAGATGCTGTTTCTCATCCACCAGGAAAAAGATGGACGAGGACATGTGCTGTGATGGACTGGGATGCCATCAGAGGCCACCCTGGGGAGGGGGACGTTTGAAGCAGGTTTTGTGGGGGCACTGGAGCCTCCTGAGTAATGTTGAGGAAGTAATTAAAATAGAGTGGCCTGGTGCGGTGGCTCACGCCTGTAATGCCAGCACTATGGGAGGCCGAGGAGGTCAGCAGTTCAAGACCGTCTTGGCCAACGTGGTGAAATCCCGTCTCTACTAAAAATACAAAAAATTAGCTGGGCATGGTGACGGGTGCCTGTAGTCCCAGCTACTTGGGAGGCTGAGGCAGGAGAATCGCTTGAGCCAGGTAGGTGGAGGCTGCAGTGAGCAGAGACTGGGCCACTGGACTCCAGCCTGGATGATGATACAGGGAGACTCGTAAAAAAAAAAAAAAAAAAAATGCTGCTCATCCAGCAATCCTCTTCTCAGAGGTAGGAAAAAAATGAAGTAATTGTATTAATCAACATGAAAGCAGCCTTTGATGCCCAGAGGCTGCCAAGACAGAAGGAACCCCCCCCCCCTTCCTCCCAGCCAAGCCGACTGGCCCTGTTCCTCACTGGAGGGGACCCATCTGAATTCCTGCCTCCTAGGGCCGGGTTCCTCTGTCCTAGCAGGGGCAGATGCTGGGGTAAGCTCCCTTGTGACAGGGGGCCAGTTCCCACCTGCGAGATTAAAGGGTTTACCTCACCCCAAAGGGACAGAGAAGGGAGCTGCCTCCCAGTTTCCCGAGAGCACCGAGGACAGGGAGAAGGGAAAGCTGAGCTGCCCAGCGGCACTTTCTTACTCTCCTTTTCTTTTTTTTTTTTTTTTTAATTTTTTATTGGATTATAGGTTTTGGGGTACATGAGCAGAGCATGCAAGACAGTTGCGTAGGTACACACATGGCAGTGTGCTTTGCTTTTCTTCTCCCCTTCACCCACATTTGGCATTTCTCCCCAGGCTATCCCTCCCCACCTCCCCCTCCCACTGGCCCTCCCCTTTTCCCCCCAATAGACCCCAGTGTTTAGTACTCCCCTTTCTGTGTCCATGTGTTCTCATTTTTCATCACCCACCTATGAGTGAGAATATGCGATGTTTCATTTTCTGTTCTTGTGTCAGTTTGCTGAGGATGACGTTCTCCAGATTCATCCATGTCCCTACAAACGACACAAACTCATCATTTCTGATTGCTGCATAATATTCCATGGTGTATATGTGCCACATTTTTCCAATCCAGTCTATTATCAATGGGCATTTGGGTTGATTCCAGGTCTTTGCTATTGTAAACAGTGCTGCAATGAACATTCGTGTACATGTGTCCTTATAGTAGAACGATTTATAGTCTTTTGGATATATACCCAGTAATGGGATTGCTGGGTCAAATGGAATTTCTATTTCTAAGGCCTTGAGGAATCGCCACACTGTCTTCCACAATGGTTGAACTAATTTACACTCCCACCAACAGTGTAAAAGTGTTCCTTTTTCTCCACATCCTCTCCAGCATCTGTTGTCTCCAGATTTTTTAATGATCGCCATTCTAACTGGCGTGAGATGGTATCTCAATGTGGTTTTGATTTGCATCTCTCTGATGACCAGTGACGATGAGCATTTTTTCATATGATTGTTGGCCTCATATATGTCTTCTTTCGTAAAGTATCTGTTCATATCCTTTGCCCACTTTTGAATGGGCTTGTTTGTTTTTTTTCCTTTTCTTTCCGATTGTATTTGCCGGACAGTGGGGGGTGGCGGCAGGCGGGGGAGGGGGAGGAGGAGTCGCCTCCACGTGCCGGGGGGACCCTCGAGGGCAGTGGATCCTCACACCCCGCCTTGGCCTTCTCCCGGGCCTTTCCTCCCGCAGAGATCCAGAGCTTCGCGGGCGCCGAGAAGGACGCGCGCGTGGTGGGCGAGATCGCCTTCCAGCTGGACCGCCGCATCCTGGCCTACGTGTTCCCGGGCGTGACGCGGCTGTACGGCTTCACCGTGGCCAACATCCCCGAGAAGATCAAGCAGGTGCGCCCCGCGGGGAGCGCGGCCGGAGGGGGCGGGCGCTCGGCGTCCGGGGAGGCTCCCCCTTCTCGGCTCCTGCCCTGGCGGTGGCCGCGGAGGGAACCCCAGAGCCCCGGCGGGCGGGCAGGGGTGGGCTCTGGGCCGGGAAGCCCCGTCTGAGGCTCCGAGGCCGCCCCCCCGCAGACCTCCATCAAGTCCCTGGACGGCTCCGTGGACGAGAAGCAGCTGCGCGAGCTGACGCAGCGCTACCTGGCCCTGAGCGCGCGCCTGGAGAAGCTGGGCTACAGCCGCGACGTGCACCCGGCCTTCAGCGAGTTCCTCATCAACACCTACGGGATCCTCAAGCAGCGGCCCGACCTGCGCGCCAACCCTCTGCACAGCAGCCCCGCCGCGCTGCGCAAGCTGGTCATCGACGTGGTGCCCCCCAAGTTCCTGGGCGACTCGCTGCTGCTGCTCAACTGCCTGTGCGAGCTCTCCAAGGACGACAGCAAGCCGCTCTTCGCCTGGTGAGCCGCCCCCGCCGCCCCTGTCCGCAAGCCGCTCTTCGCCTGGTGAGCCGCCCCCGCCGCACCTGTTCGCTCCCGCCGGGCCGCGCCCCAGCGCGAACTCGCGGAGGGGAAGGGCTGCGCCCCCCACGCGCGAGGCCGGAGCGCGAGCCTCTCCCGCCGCAGCGGGGCCCCCGCCGCCCTTCATTAAAGTCACCTGTTTGCTTGTCCGCCTTGACCTCTGGCTCCCGGAGGGCGTGAAGGGCGCCTGGGCCGTGGAGGAGCCCGAAAGAGCCGCCGCGGCAGCGCCCCCGCCCCAGCTCTCCTGTCCCTGGAGGGCGGCGAGGCCTGTCCCAGCGCGGGTTTCCCCGGATGAAGCTGGGGCGAGGATTTGGTTCTGGCGGAGGGTCACGCGCTCCTGCCGGCAACTTGGAAACGCAGCCCCTTGTTCAAAAGCGAAGAGAATTAGAAAGGGCAACAGCAGAGCCTTACGGTGAAGCGGGGCCTGAGGACTGAGAAGGTGACAACACAGGCTGGGGAGCCCCGAGACCATGCGGGTGCCGGGGGTGGGCGAGCGCCGGGGAGCCCGGAGACCATGTGGGGTGCACCTGGCACCATCCCAGAGCGGGAAGCAGGGAAGCTTACCCATCAATTCCCCTCCCCGGTCATCTCCCTGCAGGAGGCCAGAACATCGAGGGGACAGGGCCCTCTGAATTGTCCGGGCCTTGGAGCTGAGGGGATACCCGGTTCCACGCGTTTTGAGGGAGTCTTGGCTCATGACGCAGAGGTCAGGGTGCTCAGCCTGGTCCTTGCACTGTCAGCAACAGGGCGGGGAAGGCAGGGCTGTCACACTCCAACAGTTCAGAGCTCTACACGACACAGGGACAGCTGGGGACCCAGCTCTGGCTGGTAGTTACAACACTCAGGTCCCGGGTGCAGGTGGGCTGGATCCTGGGGTGGGGCCCAACCTTGTGCCCAGGAGAGGACAGGCCAACTGGCCTGGGAAGCTCTGGCTGGGTGTTGATTTCTGGCCTTACCTTTGGGGGTTGCCTGTGGCCACACCCACACTGGGCTGGCACTGTGGCTGGGCCCGGAGCTCTGGGCCCCAGGACTAGGCTGCAGTCACATGGTCTCAGCCAGGTGGTCCATGTCCCCTCGGGGCCAGCGAGTGGATGCTTCCAGCAAGCCTGGGTAGGAAGGGCTGTGATGGAATTTTTTTCGGTTGGGTGTGGTGGGACACAGACACAGTACCTGCCTCGAAAGAGAGTCTGTCACAAAGTACTGCAGACCCAGCAGCTTAAACCACAGAAACCTAGAGGGGGAGGGCACCTATCGCTCCACGCAGGCCACTGGGGAGCGCCGAGATGACAGGATCCAGAAGGTGAGAGGGGAGAGCGTTGCCAGAGGCTGTACAGGGGCTGTATGGGGTTTCCCTGGGAAGGAAGGCCAGGGAGGGTAGGCACGGAGGAGCAAGTTCAGGATTGGACAGGTTAATTTCCGTGGGCTCTGGGCTGTAGCGGCATCTAGCTGACCACCGTCACGTCCCAGGGTGATTGAGAGCAGGGGAACATCGGTTTGGTCAGTGAGTCAGATAAGGGGTGGTCGGGTTTACAGCTGCAGATGGGTTGACTTGTGCATTAAAGGGGAGCTCTGTTTGCTGCCTCTATTAGCTGGTCCTGGGAGGGCAGTCTCCACCCAGCCAGTAAGGGGAGGGCAGTCTCCACCCAGCCAGTAAGGGAGGGCAGTCTCCACCCAGCCAGTAAGGGAGGGCAGTCTCCACCCAGCCAGTAAGGCGTCCGAGAGGTCAGAGTATCATAAACCGTAGGTAATACAGGACAGTCCGGTGGGCAGGTGGCATTCAGCCCCTGTGCTCTGGGTCTCTAGAAGAATGGGGTTCTCAGCCTGTGGCCATGGGTCCCCCAAACAGCCTTGGTGTTTTCCAGGCTCTCGGGCTTGGCTTGGAATGGCCCCTGGGGTCTTTGGCTGGGGCGGTGCTATGGCTCACCCTCATCCATATAGTGGAGCCTAAGGTGTCCACTGTGCTGGGCCAGCCTGGGGAGGCCCAGTGGTCAGAGGCTGAACCCCACCTGGCAGTGCCACCCCCTAGGCTGCAGGTGCATGTGGAACTTTCTGGAGGGCTCTCCTGCAGAGAGGGTGGAGCCCATGCCTGCATTTTTTCTTACTGTGCTATTAAAATGAGGAGAAATGGGAACGGGGCGAGGAGGGTGGCCCTGGGGTGGCTGGTGTGGCTGTGTCTCCTGGGGTCTCACCTGCGCCCTGGGCACCCATCCTTCTGTCTGTAGATGGGAGGGCAGAGAGCTTCTGGGGACAACGCCCACCTGCTACGACGCAGGTGGGCACCGGCCCAGGTAGACTCTGGGATTCTCTGAGTGGGACACCTCTCTCCTGCACACAGGGGCTGTATTCAGTCATTTACTTACTGCACAATTCTGTCTCATACTCCGGGCTAGAAAAGTGCTCTGGGTTCCCTGCGTGTGTGGCCTGCCTGGCCACTGGGGAGTGATGGTGGAAACCCTGGTGTGGGCACGGCTGAGATTCTTTCTCCTGTAAGTGGGGTCCCTTAGGGTCCCCTATTCAGCAGCTATTTACAGCACCTGCCAGCATTTCTAATGTCTCAGAGCTGCCCCCGAGAACCAGCGCTGGCCTCATGACAGGCCCCGTTTCCTCTCGTGTTCTCAGCTGTAGCCAAGCCCTGGCACAGCCACTGGGTCAGAATCGCATGCAGCCCCCGTCGGGGCCTCCCGCCCGCAACCCTCTCCCCTGAGAGGCGGTTCGCTGGGCCTGAGGACAGGGCCAGGTCTTGCGTTGGCGCCGGGTCACAAGTGGATGGTTCCGGTCACTCTGCTGTGGCGCGAGGATGAAGGTGCCAGCCCAATGTGGGCGACCCGTGTAGCTGGCATGTTCCAATGCCCTGCACCTCGGGACCCTGGATACCTGCAGCTGCCGTCACAAAGTACCGCAGACCCAGCAGCTCAGACCACAGTTCTGGAGCCCAAACTACGGGATCAGAGTGTCTCTGTCTGTCTGAGGCCTCCCTGCCTGTCCTCTCCTGGTCTTTTCTCTGTGCCTTTCCCTCTTCACCTCCCATCCATCGCCACATTCAGTTCAGTCTGCAGTGCTGGGGGTCAGGGCTTCAGCAGATGGTTTCTGGAGGGGATACAGTGCAGCCCTCAGCAGACTCCATCTTCCCCTCCCGGCCTCCACAGAGCCCTGACCCATCCTCCCCTCCTGGCCTCCACAGAGCCCTGACCCCATCCTCCCCTCCCGGCGTCCACAGAGCCCTGACCCCATCCTCCCCTCCCGGCCTCCACAGAGCCCTGACCCATCCTCCCCTCCCGGCCTCCACAGAGCCCTGACCCATCCTCCCCTCCCAGCCTCCACAGAGCCCTGACCCCATCTTCCCCTCCCGGCCTCCACAGAGCCCTGACCCATCCTCCCCTCCCGGCATCCAGACATGGATCCCTGACCCCATCCTCCCCTCCTGGCCTCTGGACATGGAGCCCTGGCCAGGGAACTCTGTGCGCCCCTAGCTTTTGAAGGTTTCTGGGCTTACGTGGCTCCTCTCTCACGCCAGGTGCCCTGAGTAGCCACAGAGGTGGGTCCCTTAGGCCCCTGTGGCTGGGGAGTCCATTAAGAACTTGGAGTGGGGCTGGGCTCAGTAGCTAACACCTGGAAATCCAGCACTTTGGGAGGCCAAGGCAGGAGGATCGCTGGAGCCCAGGAGTCTGACCAGCCTGGGTAACATGGTGAGACCTTGTGTGTATTAGTCTGTCCTCATGCTGCTAATAAAGACGTACCCAAGACTGGGTAATTTATAAAGAAAAAGAGGTTTAATGGACTCACAGTTCCACGAGGCTGGGGATGCCTCACAGCCATGGTGGAAGGCAGAGGAGGAGCACAGGCACGTCTTCTGAGAGTGTGCAGGGCACTGCACTTAAAAAGCATCACATCTCACAGGACTGTTCACTGTCAGGAGACCAGCACGGAAAAGCTGCCCCATCATTCACTTACCTCCTCCCGGGTCTTCCTGCTACAGGTGGGATTATGGGGGCTACAGTTCGAGCTGAGATTGGGGCGGACACAGCCAGACCCCGTCACCATGTCTACGAAAAACTGAAAATTTAGCCGGTGTGGTGGGGTGTGCCTGTGGTCCCAGCTGCTCAGGAGGCTGAGGTGAAAGAATTACATGAGTCCAGGGGCCGAGGCTGCCGTGAGCCGTGATTGTGCCACCGCACTGCAGCCTGAGCGACAGAGTGTGGCTTTGTCTCAACAACAACAAAAAAGAAAATAATAAAAGCCCTGCAAGTGGGCAGCAGCCAAACGTGGAGACACATGAGGTCTCCCCTGGTGCCACTGATTTTGTGGGGAGCCTCCAGCCAGGGGAGCAGCTGCTGGGGAGAGCTGGGGCCTCAGCATCATACATGCCCACGCTCACTCTCACATGTGTGGTCCCCTTCCCCACACTTACACATATCCACACTCACACATGTGCTCCCTGCCCCATGCTTACATGTATCCACCCTCACATGTGTTCCCTGCCCCACGCTCACGTGTATCCACGCTCACTGTCTCACGTGTGCTCCCTGCCCCATGCTTACACATATCCACACTCACACATGTGCTCCCTGCCCCATGCTTACATGTATCCACCCTCACATGCGTTCTCCCCGCCCCACGCTCATGTGTATCCACGCTCCCTGCCCCACGCTTATATATATCCACTCTCACACACATGCTCCCTGCCTCATGCTTACATGTATCCACCCTCACATGTGTTCCCTGCCCCATGCTTACATGTATCCACCCTCACACACATGCTCCCTGCCCCACACTCATGTGTATCCACACTTTCTCACGCGTGCTCCCTGCATTGTGCTCACGTGTATCCACGCTCACTCACGAGTGCTCCCTGCCCCACGCTCACACGTATCCACACACATGTGCTCCCTGCCCCACACTCACGTGTATCCACACTCTCACGTGTGCTCCCTGCCCCACGCTCATGCGTATCCATGCTCTCACATGCGTGCTCCCTGCGTTGTGCTCACTCGTGTGCTCCCTGCGTTGTGCTCACGTGTATCTGTGCTCACTCTCACGCGTGCTCCCTGCATTGTGTTCACGTGTATCCGTGCTCACTCTCACGCGTGCTCCCTGCGTTGTGCTCACTCTCTCATGTGTGTTCCCTGCGTTGTGCTCACTCTCCTCATGTGTGTTCCCTGCGTTGTGCTCACTCTCTCATGTGTGTTCCCTGAGTTGTGCTCACTCTCTCATGTGTGTTCCCTGCGTTGTGTTCACGTGTATCCGTGCTCACTCTCACGCATGCTCCCTGCGTTGTGCTCACGTGTATCTGCACTCACTCTCATACATGCTCCCTGAGTTGTGGTCACGTGTATCCGCGCTCACTCTCACACGTGCTCCCTGCCCCATGCTCACTCTCATACGCCTGCTCCCCTGCACACTCCTGTCTGAGCTGAGCTGATCTCGGTTGGGTGTTGCAAGCCAGGGCCTCACACCGGCCTCTTGCCCTCCACACAGCCCTGAGTTCCAGGCTCCTTCAGGAGCAAGCGCAGGCCCCAGGGGTGGCCTGCAAGGTCTCTCAGAAGGCAGCACAGGGCCACAGGGGTCACTGGCAGGGGCACAGGGAGGCCTCGTCACGCCGGGATTCCAGCCAGGCTGGCCTGATGCTCCTGGGGGCCCTCAGCGCCCACCCCTCCACCCCGGCACACACTGCTTTCCAGGGAACCCACACTCTGGCTGAGTGGAGCTGTCCCCTCCGGGTGGACAGCACCCAGCGTGGCTCTGCAGCGCCCGCTCCGCGCCTGCGCAGGGACCGTGGCCCCACTGCTCCTCATGGTGACTCGCTGGTTAATGAGAAGCTGTGGGACGTGCTGCCGGAGGGTGTATAAAGGTCCTGGCTGTGGCTGGGAGCCCTGGCCCCTGCTTCTGTCTGCCCCAGAGAGGAGCATCTAGATCGAGGTACCGGCCATGTCCCAGCTGGTGGAGTGCGTCCCCAACTTCTCGGAGGGGAAGAACCAGGAGGTGAGGCCCTGAGGAGCTGCTGGAGCATCCAGGGGCTGGTGGGCAGCTGAGGCCCAGGCCGTGGAGGGGTGGTGGGCTTGGTGTGGCGTGGGCTGGCAGGGGAGGAGCCACTCTCCATGGGCCTTAAGGACATCGTGTGGTTGGGGGGACGTGGGAATGCCTGACCCAGGGGTAGGTGGAGCACGACGGCGGGTTGTAGGCGCTGAGGCCTGGCTGTGGCTCCAGGAGCCTTTGGTGCTTCTGGTGGGGTTCGGGCAGATCTCTGGGCCTCAAAGAGCCTTGCTCCTCTCCTGAAAGTGAAGCTCCTAACACTTATGAAAAGGGCTGCATGGGGTCACATGAGGTTGCCCAGCATGGCCCCTGGGGCCACCCTGCCTCCCCTGGAGCTTGCGTAAATGACTGAGCCCCGCCCTGCAGCCTGGTGAGGTAGCTGCTGCCACCATCCCCACTGGACCCGACAGGAGACAGCACAGAGGGGTCAGGCAGGCCCCCTCTCGCCCTCCATGGTCCTGAGGTCCAGGCTCCTCTGGGAACAAGTGCAGGCCCTACAGGCCACCTGGAAGGCCTCTGAGAGGGCAGCACTGGGTCACAGGGGTCACTGGCAGGGGTGCAGGGAGGCCTCATCATGCCAGGATCCCAGCCCCCACCAGGGCCCGGGGACGTGAAGATTTGGGGCCGAGCCCCGCTCCCAGCTGTCCTGCTGCCCGGAAGCTTCCAGGCCCTTCTGGCCCCTCCTCTGCTCGGGGGTTGGAGGCCTGGCCCTCCGTGCCCTGTGCCTGTGGTCACCTTCTTGGTTCCCAGCCATGCCTCCAGCATCTGCCTGTCGGGGCAGAACCTGGGGCGTTTCTCCTGTAGGCACCGCCTGCAGCGCTGCCTTGTAGGGCCGGGCTTGGGCCTCTGTGAAAGTTTTGGGGCAGCCACTGTGCAGGTGTTTGCGGGGGCAGGGGCTCAGCTTGTCGGGGGGGTCCCCAAACGCTTGGCCCGTCTCCTCAGCCCACGTTTGGGTGTTGGGTGCAGCCACCTCCAAGCTCCTTTTCCTTCTTTCAAACGGGGAGGCTGAGGTGTGGGTGCCGGGCCTGTGTCCAGGTGATTGATGCCATCTCAGGAGCCATCGCGCAGACCCCGGGATGTGTGCTGCTGGACGTGGACGCCGGCCCCTCCACCAACCGCACCGTGTACACCTTTGTGGGGCCGCCAGCGTGCGTGGTGGAGGGGGCCCTCAATGCGGCCCGCACTGCCTCCCGGCTCATCGACATGAGCGGGCACAGAGGTGAGGCTCCGGGCTCTCCCCTGGCCGCCGAGTCTCAGGGTGTTGGGGCTGAACTCTGTCCCGGTATCCTGGGAGGGGCAGGAGGCCCAGGGCCCACGTGCAGAATGTGGGGTCCAGTGGGGCTGGCTCTGGCTGTCCTTGGAGGACCCTGAAGTGTGGGGGTCACAGTCCCCCGACTGCAGGGCTGTGCTCTGGGGACCCCAGGTCGCCATGCTCCCGCAGCACAGGGCCACCTCCAAGGCTGGGTGGGGGAGGAGCCATGCCGGGGAAGGTCTGTGGGCTCCTCTACCTGCCCACACACCAGGGGGGCCGAGAGCCGGTCTTGGAGCAGGCCCTGGATGGGGAAGGGCTGCCCGGAAGCTGACCTGTCAACAGCCCACAAGCCAAACACCTCGGTGGGCGGGCAGGGTCAAAGGTGTGTGGTCACGCGGGTGCTGGCCAGGGGCTGGGCGGTGGGCTGCTCCTGAGAGGCCAGGGACTCACAGTGACCCCTACTGTGGACGGACGAGAAGCTTATCTCAAAGCAACCAGCCCTGGGCAGTGGAGGCAAAGGCGGGGCTGGCGTCCCCAGGGATGGGCTCTGCCCCGCAGCCTCATGTAGCCACAGCAAGGGACTCAGCTAGTGAGAAGAATGCTCGGGAAACAGAGTGGATTCCCTGCTTCCGGGAGCCTCCAAGCCTGGCCAGGGGCTTCCCTGCTTCAGGGAGCCTCCAAGCCTGGCCAGGGGCTTCCCTGCAAGAGCTGAGCATTGCAGCCGTTAGAAAATTATTCCTGTGACTCAGGAGAGGGAGAGGTTTCTCCCAAAGGTGCCAGGCCACATGCTCAGGCTGCTGCCGCTCCTGCACTGAGCGGCCCCGACACTGGCTGGGAGGACTGTCCAGGAACGTCCGTCGTCCCGGAGGGACTGATGCTGCCGCTGGGGCAGGGTTGGGAGTGCCCAGGGCCGGCCTCCTCCTTGTGGTCAGTGTGAGCAGCTAGCTGGGTGTGTGGACGGGGGGCTGCCCAGGCCGGAGAGGACAGAGGGTCCGAGAGCCCCATGGGGCTCCCACCCACTGCCACTCCCGGCCTCCTGCCCGGCCTTGCCGTCTCTCTGCAGGGGAGCACCCTCGCATGGGGGCCCTGGATGTCTGCCCCTTCATCCCTGTGAGGGGCGTCAGCATGGACGAGTGTGTGCTCTGCGCCCAGACCTTTGGCCAGCGGCTGGCAGAGGAGCTGGCCGTGCCAGGTGAGAGTGCCCCACCCTCCTTGCTCCCTCCCGTCTCATTGGTGTGGGTTCAGTGCCCGCAGTTCTCTGCCCTTGACTGCTTTCGCCAGGGCAGGTTGTTCCAAAAAGCCAACCTGCAGAGTTCAGCTCTCTCAATACTGAAAGAAATGCAGCCTCACCGTGGCCGTGCAGGCCGGGGGCCCCTCACACTGTACCGCGGCGCAGCTGGGCCGGGGAGCCAAGAGCCTTCTAGAGTACAATCATTTCACCTCGAGAAATCAACCTGAGCAAGAAAATGATACGGAACACACAGAGACAAACCCGGGCAAAGTGCACACCCACCCCTGGGCTGCGCCAACCCAGCGCCCCCCGGAAGGAACCCCGAGGCAGGGGCATATGTCACTGTCACGCAGCCATGCAGGGCCTACGTAACCCATGTCACAGTCACGCAGGCGAGCAGGGCATACGTAACCCATGTCACAGTCACACAGGCATGCAGGGCATACGTAACCCATGTCACAGTCACACAGGCGTGCAGGGCATACGTGACCCATGTCACATCACACAGGCGTGCAGGGCATACGTAACCCACGTCACATCACACAGGCGAGCAGGGCCTAGGTAACCCACGTCACAGTCACACAGGCGTGCAGGGCATACGTAACCCACGTCACAGTCACGCAGGTGTGCAGAGCCTACGTAACCCACGTCACAGTCACGCAGGTGTGCAGGGCATACGTATCCCATGTCACATCACACAGGCATGCAGGGCCTACGTAACCCATGTCACATCACACAGGCGTGCAGGGCATACGTAACCCACGTCACATCACGCAGGCGTGCAGGGCATACGTAACCCACGTCACATCACGCAGGCGTGCAGGGCCTACGTAACCCATGTCACAGTCACGCAGGCGTGCAGGGCATACGTAACCCATGTCACAGTCACGCAGGTGTGCAGGGCATACGTAACCCACGTCACAGTTATGCAGGTGTGCAGGGCATACGTAACCCACGTCACAGTCACGCAGGTGTGCAGGGCATACGTAACCCACGTCACAGTTATGCAGGTGTGCAGGGCATACGTAACCCACGTCACAGTCACGCAGGCGTGCAGGGCATATGTAACCCACGTCACAGTCACACAGGCGTGCAGGGCATACGTAACCCATGTCACAGTTATGCAGGTGTGCAGGGCATACGTAACACACGTCACAGTCACGCAGGCGTGCAGGGCATATGTAACCCACGTCACAGTCACACAGGCGTGCAGGGCATACGTAACCCACGTCACAGTCCGCAGGCGTGCAGGGCAATGTAACCCACGTCACAGTCACACAGGCGTGCAGGGCATACGTAACCCACGTCACAGTCACGCAGGCGTGCAGGGCATACGTAACCCATGTCACAGTCACACAGGCATGCAGGGCATACGTAACCCACGTCACAGTCACGCAGGCGTGCAGGGCATACGTAACCCATGTCACATCACACAGGCGTGCAGGGCATACGTATCCCATGTCACATCACGCAGGCGTGCAGGGCATACATAACCCACGTCACAGTTATGCAGGCGTGCAGGGCATACGTAACCCACGTCACAGTCACGCAGGCGTGTAGTGAACATGACTTTTTCCTTTTCGCTCTGGTTATATTTATGTGGTCGCTTGTGGTTCTGTTTATTATACAAGGAAAACAGAAGCACGAGTGTCTGGCATCACCATGTCCACGTGTTCTGCCCTAACCCTGCAACCTGACTTTTCAAGGCCTTGTGAGCCGGGGGTGGCTGGGGTGCTGGCTGAGGGTCCACCGGGACCACCCATATCCATCTGAGGCGGAGAGGGCATGGTGGGGCCCATCCCCAGGTTTAGACTGGAGGGAACCCCTCCGCCTGGGGCCTCCAGGAAGTGAGTCCTGGAACCCCTGGACTGCCTGCCACCACCTGACCACTGGGCTCCCCTGCAGTGTACCTGTACGGCGAGGCGGCCAGGATGGACAGTCGCCGGATCCTGTCGGCCATCCGGGCTGGGGAGTATGAGGCCCTCCCCAAGAAGGTGCCCCCATCCCAGTGGTTGGGCCTGGGAGGGAGGGGGACCTGCCCCTTTGTCCTGGCTGGGGTGGCTGGGCTGGGACCCTCCTTCCCAAGACCTGGGACCCTGGTGGGGCTGCTCCCTCCCATGGGGGTCGTTTCACCCCAGGGTGAACTTGCCCACAGCTCAAGCAGGCCGAGTGGGCACCTGACTTTGGCCCCAGCTCCTTCGTCCCCAGCTGGGGGGCCACGGTCACAGGGGCCAGGAAGTTCCTCATCGCTTTCAACATCAACCTACTCAGCACGAAGGAGCAAGCCCACCGCATCGCCCTCAACCTTCGGGAGCAGGGCCGAGGGAAGGACCAGGTGACCCCTCACAGCCCCCACCCAGACCCTCCACCTGCGGGAGCAGGGCCGAGGGAAGGACCAGGTGACCCTATTCACTGACCCCCACCTGGCCCCTCGGGAAAGGGTCAGAGGCTGAGAGCCTGAGGCAGGGCAGTCCGGGTGTGGACGGGGCACTGGCCAGACGGGGCTTGGCCTCCCGGCTGCAGACTGGCCCAGCCTCAGCGTCCGCACCCTGCACCCTGCGGGGGCAGCACAGGTCGGCAGGTCAGCAGGGGCAGGTCGGGGTGGAGTGAAGCTGGGGACTCCGGCTCCAAGGGGATTTTCCATGGAAGGAGGCGGGGCTTCCTTTTGTTAAAACGCGGCAGCATTTCCATCTTCCTGGGAAACAGCTGCTTTCAGAGTCCCAGGTGCCCTCAGGGGCCCCCCACATCCCTGCAGATGCCTTGGGGGCCCCAACACCCTGCAGACCTTCAGGTGCCCCCAGGCCTTTCTCCTCCGTCTGCACAGCAGAGGTCACCCAGTCTGAGCATCACCCTGGCACACATGGTGTAGACACCTGGAGACAGAGGTGGAGGGACTCCCTGCCCACCTGTTCCGCACTCAGAGACCCGGGTCCCATAGGCAGCTGAGGTCCTGGGGCCTGGCTTCCCGACCTGTAGACTCAGCACAAAAGCACAGTGACCTCCAAGTCCCCCTTCATGCCCCAGCCGAAGGCGGAGGTCAGAGTCCCCCCATGTGGACTCAGTCACCCTGAGGAGTTCAAGACTGAGGGGACGTGTCAGGGAGCAGGTGGGATGGGAGAGCGGCTTGGGGGTCCATGGGGCCCCACCCTGCAGCATTCCCCCACATCTAGGGCAGAGTGTGGCTGGGAGGCAGGGCCTGGGCCGAGTGGGGCCCACAGGGGTGGGTGCCCGGCATCTGACCCTTGTGGTCAGTTTCCCTGTGGCAAGCGAAGTCTCTCTGCCCCTCCTTGGCCAACTCGGGGAGGGAGGGAGGAGAACCACAGCACCCACCCGGGCACAGGCTCTGCCCCATCCAGTTGGGGGATGCAAGCACCAGGAGAAGCTGGCAGGGCCAGACAGGATGAGCTTCTAGCCCAGGCTGGGGAATGCTCTTCCTTTGCAGCCGGGACTTCTGAAAAAGGTTCAGGGCATCGGCTGGTACCTGGCTGAGAAGAACCTGGCTCAGGTGTCCACCAACCTCATGGACTTTGAGGTCACGGCGCTGCACACGGTCTATGAGGAGACTTGCCGAGAGGCGCGGGTGAGCCCGCGGTGTGGGGGGGGCAGCCACTGCTGCTGTGAGGGGTGTGCAGATCCCTCCTGTGGGCAGGACGGGGGCCCCACATCCCGTTCTCCAGCCAGGGCGGTTCTCAGCCTGCCCCACGTGCCGGTTCCCCGGCCAGGGTGGTTCTCCGCCTACCCCACGTCCCTGTTCCCCAGCCAGGGCAGTTCTCCTCCTGCCCCCACGGGCTGACACTGCCTGTGCTTTGGCAGGAGCTGAGCCTCCCGGTGGTGGGCTCACAGCTGGTCGGCCTGGTGCCCCTGAAGGCTCTGCTAGATGCAGCTGCGTTCTACTGCAAGAAGGAGAACCTCTTCATCCTGGAGGAGGCGCACCGGATCAGGCTGGTGGGCCGGGCTGCCAAGGATGGATGGGGCCTGCGGGGAGGGTGGGGAGGCTGCGGCCAGGGCTCACACGGGATCAGGCTGAGGGGCCGGGCTGCCAAGGATGGATGGGGCCTGCGGGGAGGCTGGGGAGGCTGCGGCCAGGGCTCACACGGGATCAGGCTAAGGGGCCGGGCTGCCGCCCGACTGTTCAAACAGGGGCATCTGGGAAGGTGGGGAGGCTGCAGTGGAGCTCACACCCCTGGGGCCCAGCTTTCCTTCCCCTCCCCGCCTTCGTTTTATTGACTTTTGTTCAGAAGATGAGATTTCACTTTTCATTTTCATTTTGGGAACTTTATTGAGGTTTTTTTTTTTTTTTGTAACCTATAATATGTTCACTTGGGCAAGTTCCACAGAGAGGACAGCACCCCTCTCTGCCGGGTCTCGCCTCCTGGGTTGGCTGTGCTCCCGTGGAGGGACCTGGGCCTCCTCCCACCACCTCCACAGGGGATCCCTGCACCCCCAGAACGGGCGGCTTATGGATGTGTATGGCTCTAGCTATGGCGTGCAGATCTCCATCCACGGAGCGGCTCCTTCAGAAAGTGATTCCCATTGTCTTGTGGACACCTAGGCCTCAAGGCTCCTGGAGTCTGGGTTCCGGGGGACCCAGGTCCTGCTGGAGTGTGGCAGTGTCTGCAGAGACGCTTTCCACCCTTATCTGTCCTTTCACTCGAGGCCACTTTGCGTCAGATGTGTCTTTCACAATAAGCATAAGCCACTTGATGGGATGTTTTGGAGATGTTTTGTTTTCTGGTGGTTGGTTTTGATCCTGCTTATGATTTACTGATGTGGCTCTCGTGGCTGGTGGACTGGTCCTTGTGTCGGCTCAGGCACATTTTCTCCTGTGAGATCAATCGCTGAGCCAATTACTTAATACTGTAACTTAGGGACACTGTGAGGCCACGCAGCTTTGACGTGTCTCTGCCTCCGCCTTCACTCTTCTGCCACCTCTTTCTCCTGCATTCACGGCGCTTTTCCGAAACCTAGCCAGCCTCTCCATCACTGCATGTTTGTGGCCTACTCTGTTGTATTCCTGGCTGTTATAATTCGTTTTTTTTTTTTTTGAGACGGAGTTTTGCTCTTGTTACCCAGGCTGGAGTGCAATGGTGTGATCTCAGCTCACTGCAACCTCCACCTCCCAGGTTCAAGCAATTCTCCTGCCTCAGCCTCCTGAGTAGCTGGGATTACAGGGCGTGTGCCACCTCGACCAGCTAATTTTTTATATTTTTACTAGGGACAGGGTTTCACTGTGTTAGCCAGGACAGTCTCAATCTCCTGACCTCATGATCTACCTACCTTGGCCTTCCAAAGTGCTGGGATTACAGGTGTGACCCACTGTGCCCGGCCACAACATTTTTTGTGACTTTAAATTTTGTATAATTTCTTACAGAGAAGATATGGGTGGCTCTCTCTCCACTCCTGCCTTCCACCCATGTTTTCCAAGTGCTTGCATTTTGCCCCATGTATTTGTGTATAATCATATTATACTTTTTTCTGGACTATTTAAAAGTTGGGTTGAAGACACTGTGCTCTTTTACCCCTAATTTATTAAGGCTGTGTTTCTTAAGAACAAAGGCATTCTCTTACATAACCCCACGGTAATGATCAAAATCAGGAAATCCAACACTGACACAACCCTACTGCTTAGTAACCATCAGGCCGTAACCAAACCGCGCCAGCGTCCGAGTTATTTGCATCGTAGCGGTTTCTCCTCCAGCCCCTGTCCAGCTCCCGGGACACAGAGCACCGAGCCGGCCTTGCCTCCTGTGGTCCAGAGCTATTCCCCGTCTTCCTTGACCCTCACTGGCCTTGGCATAGTTTAAAAGGACGGGCTTTTCAAAGCGCCTCAGTGAGGACTGGTCTGACGAAGCTTGTGACCAGATGTAGTTGTGCATTTTAGATTTTAATTAAATTAAATTAATTAATTCTTTTTTTTTTTTTTTTTTTTGAGACGGAGTTTCGCTCTTGTTACCCAGGCTGGAGTGCAATGGCGCGATCTCGGCTCACGGCAACCTCCGCCTCCTGGGTTCAGGCAATTCTCCTGCCTCAGCCTCCTGAGTAGCTGGGATTACAGGCACGCGCCACCGTGCCCAGCTAATTTTTTGTATTTTTAGTAGAGGCGGGGTTTCACCATGTTGACCAGGATGGTCTCGATCTCTCGACCTCGTGATCCACCCACCTTGGCCTCCCAAAGTGCTGGGATTATAGGCGTGAGCCACCGCGCCCAGGCAGAGTTTTGTCTTCTTTACCTGAAGGGTCCCAAGCCTGCGGCCTGCACGGGTCTTGCTGCGCCCGTGGCTCCATGCTGCCTCCTGGTGGTGAGGCTGCTTTGCTTTCTGTCCTGTGATTTTTGGTTGTGAATTCAGGTTCTTTGGAATTTTATCTATGGTAATTCTTGGACTCCTGGGTTCAGAGTTTTCTCCTCCAAGGAGGGTTTGTGCTATCACTCTTGGATACTGTGCCGCAGGACCCTGAAGCTGAGCTTTTGGCTTGGAGCCTTGGAACCACACAGGAGTGAATTCTGTGTCGTCTGAGGTCCTAGCCCTGTCAGAGATTTTTTTCCCTGCTTCACCCAAAGGGAAGGCAGGGACTGGGAAGTACCTCACTGTTTCCTCTGGTGGGTGCTGTTTCTAATTCATCCTTGGGGATGTCACTTTCCAGGGGTCTTCAGTGGTACCCCAGTCTGAAGGCCAAGACCTCTCCCACTCATGAGGGGCTGCCAGTGGGGGACAGTTGCCCCAGAGTGGACCCAGCTCCCCCAGAGTGGACCCAGCTCCAGGCTAGCAGGCCGTTCAGACTTTCTGGTCACGTCTGGTCCTGGATGACTTCCTGTCTGTTAGCTTGGCCAAGCCTTTAAAAGGCCAGACGTCTTCCTGGGGTTTCCTGCTGAAGGAGGCTTTGCTTTGGGGTTTGCTGGTCTGTGGCCACCAGGGAGGTGGGGGAGGTGCCCTCCACCCACCCGGCCACTGCAGCAGCCCTGGCCGCTGTTCTCCTCTGTGGGGTGGGGGTCGCATAGCCAACGCGTTCTGAATGGGTTTCGCAGAATGAATTCTAATCTTAAATGGCACTGTTGCAACTTTATCTTGAATGTGGGTAAAATTCCCTTTTCTGGGTAAGGGTTTCTGTGTGGGTGACGCGGGGCTGTTCCGGGCTTTTAGGACCTGTCAGATGTGACGACGTGGAGAATTAAATGTTTGCCCGCGGCTGACAGTGATGGGCTGAGCTGCGTGGGGGGGCTGTGAGGGATGAGGGGCAGTTAGCTTAGGGGTCATCGGGGTCATCAGGGGACAACTTTCTCTGGGCCTCAGTTTCCCCAAGGGCAACCCAGGGTGAGTGGCTGTATGGGGTGCCTGCTGGGGGGGGCACAGAGCTCCTGGTGGGGCGGGGGTGAGGGTGGGGGGTGCCAGCCACGCTTCTGCCCTGCTCCCTGCAAAGCGCCCGTGTGCTCAGGAAGGTGGGGGCTGCAGGAAGGGTGGGACCCGCACGTTGGAGGCTGTCCTGGGGGTGGAGACGCGCCGGGCCGTTTCTACTCTAAGCCGCTTTTCCAGGTGGTGAACCGGCTGGGCCTGGACTCCCTGTCCCCCTTCAACCCCAAAGAGCGGATCATCGAGTGAGCCTCTGCCCTCCCCGCTCTTACCCCTCCCTGCTCAGCGCCCCCTCCCGCCAGGCCCCGGGTTTCCGCGTGGAGACGGCTCAGTCCTCCCAGAGCCTCCCCGCGGGGGCCGACTCCGCAGCCGGTGCCAAGCCCGGGTCTGGGGGTGAGGGGGGCGCAGAAACCCCGCGGGTCCCGCTGCTTCTTCCCTGAGGGGCGCCTCCCCGCACGGGGCAGCCCCGGGGCACGGGCGGGGGCGGGGGCAGCCCTGGGAGGATGCGCTCCCCCCCACACCCTGGAGGACCCGCTCCCCCCACTCCCCGGAGGACGCGCTCCCCCCACTCCCCCGAGGACGCGCTCCCCCCACTCCCCGGAGGACGCGCTCCCCCCACTCCCGGGAGGACCCGCTCCCCCCACTCCCGGGAGGACCCGCTCCCCCCACTCCCGGGAGGACCCGCTCCCCCCACTCCCCGGAGGACGCGCTCCCCCCACTCCCGGGAGGACCCGCTGCCCCCACTCCCGGGAGGACCCGCTCCCCCCACTCCCCGGAGGACGCGCTCCCCCCACTCCCCCGAGGACGCGCTCCCTCCACTCCCCTCTCCGGGATCCCGCCCATAGCTGAGCCGCGCCCACCCCGCAGGTACCTGGTCCCTGACTCCGGGCCTGAGCGCGGCCTGGGCGACAAGTCCCTGCGCGCCTTCGTGGACGAGGTGGGCGCCCGCTCGGCGGCTCCCGGGGGCGGCTCAGTGGCGGCGGCTGCTGCGGCCATGGTGAGCCCGGGGGTGGGTGGGGGGCAAAACGGGGTGGCAGGGAGGGGGCGGGCGGGAGGGGGCGGTTGTGGGGAGGCGGTGGGGGAGGGTTGGGGCCGCCCCGGGGAGACGCGGGGCCACACGGGCGAGATCCCCTCGGCCGGACGCACGCAGGGAGCACGCGGCCCCTCTCTGTTCCTGGGGCGTCCCGGCAGTCTGGGGTCCCCGCGCCTCCAGCAGCCGCGCCCCCCACAGTCTCCCCTCCCGCAGGGCGCGGCGCTGGGCTCCATGGTGGGGCTCATGACCTACGGGCGGCGCCAGTTCCAGCCCCTGGATGCCACGATGCGGCGCCTGATCCCGCCCTTCCGCGAGGCCTCGGCCAAGCTGACCGCGCTGGTGGACGCGGACGCCGAGGCCTTCGCCGCCTGCCTGGTGAGTGGCGCCCACAGCAGGGCTCCGGGGCTCCCAACGACAGCAAACCCACAGCCGGGCCCAGTGAGAAGCGGGTCAGCCTCCGGCCGGGGAGGGGGTCACAACTGGCCGCCGTCCGGGCCTTGACAACCAGCTCCGCCCTCACCCCTGCGGGTGCGGGGCCCAGCGGGGTTTGCGGGTTTGGCCAGGGTGACCCCACACTCACAGACCATGGCCGAGGTACAAGGAACTGGCACCTCCCAGCAGGGGAGCCCAGGTTTGAGGGGGGCAGCTCTCTGATGTGGAGACCTGACGGCACCGAACTGGAGCCAGGCGAAGCCCCTAAAACCCTGCAATTCCTGGAAAGGGAGGCCGTCGAGAATCTCAGGAAAGTGGTGATCCGTGTTCTCAGGGGGGCCAGAGCGCCCCGAGTCAGGCTCAGCACAAAACGAAACACCATCTTCAGATAACACCCAGTCAGGCAGTGACCGCACCTCCCTGCAAACGGACAGGAACCTGAGCATCAGCTGGGAGGAGGTGCCCACTGACAAGTGCCGGCGCTCAGAGCCCAGGGCAAGGGCCAGAGGGCCCGGGAAACGGCAGAGAAAGGTCAGGAAGCCCCTGAGCAGTTCCAGCTCAGGAGAGGGCAGGAGAGGACAGAAGGAAAGGGCAGAAACAAAGAGGGAGGGAGGGAGAGGGAGAAGTGGGGAGAGAGGGGAAAGGGAAGAGAGGGAGGGAGAGTCACAGAGATGGGAAGAGTGACAGGGAGGGACAGAGAGGGAGGGGGGAGAAACCCGTGCCCCAGCCTCCGGAGCAGGGCAGTGAGGAGGCCTGGCCTCTGTTTCTGGGAGCTCCACAGACCTGCAGGCAAGGCTGGGTGAGGAAGGCAGGCCCCAGACTCGGGTGGAATCCACAGCAGGCAGAGGGAGCCAGGATGAGGGTCTCGGCTGACCAGTCTGGATCTGCAGAGGGAGTGGCCTAGCTCCGTTCTGGACCTGTGTGAAGGGAGGTGTAGACACGGAACACCTTTTCCCGTCATTTTTAAAGCTCAGGTTTCATTTATTTCCTTTTACAATGGATGGCCTTCAGGGGGGGTCACCCTCTGTCTCCACAGCCCCTCGGCACTGCCTCTCGCTCCCCTTACACACAGCCCTGCAGGCTCCCAGCTCTGTCCCTCGAGTTCTCTGAAGCCCCCAGGACGCTGCTCACGGAGCCTGCTGTTCTGGGAGGTGCTTCCCTTTACCAGGGAGGGTGAGCATTTTCCATACCTCAGAACACGTTTCAACCCCTTTTCTCTTAGGTTTCTCCTGGGGTGTTCCCTGCGTCGTAGGACTCCTTTATTTACTAGGGGATTCAGGCCTCGTTCTGGGTTCAGCTGCCTCCCCACCCCGGACTTAGCTTGTGGGGGCTTCTTAATCTTTAGACTGTCAAACGTGCCAATCCTAACTCTCTCTTTTCTGGGTCTTGTATCACAGTTTAAACAGCCTCCCCAGGACAGGATGATCTTTTCTGGGAGGCCAAGGTGGGAGAAGACCTTGAGCTCAGGAGTTTGAAACCAGCCTAGGCAACCCTGTGTCTATTAAAAGAAAAAAAGAAAAAAAAGAAACAGCCAGGCGTGGTAGCAGTTGCCTGTGGCCCCAGCTACTCAGGAGGCTTAGGTTAGGGCGGGGGTAGCGTGAGGGCAGGAGTCTGAGGCTGCGGTGAGCTGTGATCGCACCTCTGCGTTCCAGCCCGGGCGGCAGAACGGGACCATCTCTGCAGTAAATATATATGTTTATATATATATATGAATGTAGGGACAATTTTAAACTTAGAAGTAAAATAAGAAATAAGATGAATAATTGGATAATTAAAAACAAATAGAAAAAGTATGTAAATCAAAATGTAACCAAGAGGCAGACAGAAATATAAGGCGTATAGTTTAGAAAACACGGGTGGGGACGGGGAGACTGCGCCAGGCATCAGCGGTCACTCCAGCGGGTGAGCGGCTGAATTGATTACACTCTCTGCGAACAACACGAAGCTGGACTTTTGAAAACAGTGAGGAGACATCCTTACCTTGCACCAAATACATAAGTGATTTCCAGATGGAATAGAAAGCTGTGTTTCCCCATCACCAACAAAAGCTAGCCTCACGATGAATCAGAGGAAACGCTGCCGCCTTGGCGGGCGGCCTCGGTGGGACACAGACGTGGCCACGTGAAGCACATGCTCAGCCAAGCTCTGCGCGGGGAGGCTGTGGACACCGCAGGGCCTGGCCGAGGGGGTGTTCATAGCGCTAATCACGGCGTGGGGATGGCGTCCTGCCTCTGTGTGAAACTCCGCAGACCCTGGCTTGGGAGAGGGACTTCAGCCAGGAGGCGTGGTCCCGACAACGCCCAACCGGCCAGGGAGACACCAGGCATTTCTGCTTCTCGATCACCGCTGCTGGGACGGTCACAGAATCCAGTTCTGGCCGGGGCCCAGGGAGCATTTGCTCCCATCCATGGCAGGGGGAAGGGGCTGTTGATGCTGACTTTCTGGCGGAGATTTGGCTGAATCTTCCAAGATGAAGTGAGCACATTTCCCACCAACCGCCCCTGAGGCTGGGGCTCTGGCCACAGCGGGGTGTTAGCAGGGCTCCCAGTGGGTCCTTGTGCTCGGTTTTGTCCTAGGAAGTCGGCCTGTGGCCCCAGCCAAGCTTGCCCACATGGGGTGGGTCTGGAGAGCCAAGTGCCTTGAGGTGATGCCGTGAGCCATACCTGTGAGCCCTCAGAAAGGCCAGTGCCTGTGGTTCGGGAGGGGTGCGCGGGGCTTTGGAGTTTGCCTAGTCCGTCTGCACAGTCTGAGCCTCTTAGACCCCGGCTTGGGGCGCTGCAGCTGCTTGTGTTGGAGACCCCAGCCCAGAGCCGCTCCTGCCCCACAGGTTCCAGGGCTCAGGGAACCTCCTGGGCCCTCAGGCTCCTTATCTGAGAATAAGGGCCCTGAGGGAACTGCCTGCCCCTCCTCATATCCCCGGTCTCTGACCACCTGCTGTGCCCCTGACCCCACCCCACCCCAACCATCCACCAGGCCTGACGCCAAGGACTGTAAACCACAGGCCCAGCAGATGTAGAAGCTCCGTTTGCTGAGAACTTGCCCCTGCCTGGGACACAGTCCTCGCCCACAGCCCCTTGTGGGAGCTCAGAGGGCGTGGCTGCTCCCCCCCGAGGTCACTCGCCCGGTGGTTCTGTCTGTTTCTGGCAGGAAGCAATGAGGCTGCCCAAGAATACACCTGAGGAAAAGGACAGGTGAGCCCGGCCGCCACCCTGGGGTCTCTGTGTCTAGGGAGTAGGCAGCCAGGATCCCGGGTGTCTGGGCCTCTGCGTCGGGGGAGTGAGTGGCCAGGACCCCGGGTGTCTGGGCCTCTGCGTCGGGGGAGTGAGTGGCCAGGACCCCGGGTGTCTGGGCCTCTGTGTCGGGGGAGTGAGTAGCCAGGACTCTGGGTGTCTGGGCCTCTGTGTCGGGGGAGTAGGCAGCCAGGATCCCGGGTGTCTGGGCCTCTGCGTCGGGGGAGTGAGTGGCCAGGACCCCGGGTGTCTGGGCCTCTGCGTCGGGGGAGTGAGTGGCCAGGACCCCGGGTGTCTGGGCCTCTGCGTCGGGGGAGTGAGTGGCCAGGACCCCGGGTGTCTGGGCCTCTGTGTCGGGGGAGTGAGTGGCCAGGACCCCGGGTGTCTGGGCCTCTGTGTCGGGGGAGTGAGTGGCCAGGACCCCGGGTGTCTGGGCGCTGTGACGGCTGTGGTTGCCCTGGGCATGCTGGGTGTTTGGATGACTTTCAGTCGCCCACGTCTGCTGCCTGCTTAGCCTATTGGGGTGCAGTGTGGCCACTGCCTGCCCATGTGGCCCCTGTGCCCAGGCTCTCCTCTTTCCCCTTCCAGGCACACGGCAGCCCTGCAGGAGGGACTGAGGCGGGCAGTCTCTGTGCCCCTGACGCTGGCGGAGACGGTGACCTCACTCTGGCCGGCACTACAGGAACTGGCCCAGTGTGGGAACCTGGCCTGTCGGTCAGACCTCCAGGTAGGGGGACCCTGGGAACCCCAGGTCTCCTGCTGTAGAGCAGGAAGCAAGTGTTGGGGCTCAGTCGCTGGAGAGCAGGGTGGTTTGCTGGGCTGAGCCGGGCTGGAGACCTCAGTTCACAGACTCAGTCACTACAGAGCAGGGTGATTTGCTGGGCTGAGCCGGGCTGGAGACCTCAGTTCACAGACTCAGTCACTACAGAGCAGGGTGATTTGCTGGGCTGAGCCGGGCTGGGAGACCTCAGTTTGCAGGCACTTCCCGGGACTTGGGCCTCCTTCATCAGTGCTCACGTGTCTGCTGAGTTCTAAGATCTCATTCATGGTCGCACCACAGATAGGCAGAAACCCAAATGTGTCTGCTGAGCCCACCCTGACCACTGTATACGCTGCTTCACCTCCCCCAAGACCCCCGTATCACCCCAACCTCTGTTCTAGAAGCCACTGGGGACGGTGGCTCAAGCCTGTGGTCCCAGCACTTTGGGAGGCTGAGGCAGGAGGATCACTTGAGTACAGGAGGTGGAGAACAGCCTGGGCAACATAGCGTCCCCTGCCTGTACAACAGATATGTGCGCCAGGCATGGAGGTGCCTGTGGTCCCCGCTACTTGGGAGGCTGAGGCAGGAGAATTGCTTAGCACAGGAGGTCGAGGCTGCAGTGAGCTGTGATCATGCCACTGCATTCCAGCCTTGGTGACAGAGCAAGACCCTGTCTCAAAAACAACAAAACACTAAAAACACACAAGACAACTCCTGGCAGTGGACACATCACACTGACAGGCGCCAGGGCCGGGCAGTGGCTCCGGGAAGAGGAGCGTCCATCTCACGGGCTCTGCACTTCCTACAGCCGCCCTGAGACCTCGTGATCTTCAGGTTCTTTACAGGAAAGACTGTTTTCTGCGTCTGGTCCCAGAGAACTGTCCCGCTCAGTCCCCGGGAAGTGGCCCTGGGCAGTGGACGGGCCTTTAGCCTGAGGCTGCCTCCAGGAGATGGCTTTGCCTCTAGAACCGTGGTCCTGGCTCCTAGAGTGGCAGAGCCACCATGAGGCCTGCTTGGGTAAGAGGTGTCTGAGCTCAGTGACGGAGGAAGCCAGGAGCCCTGCTGAGCTTGGTCTCCCCTCTGTGGGGTGAGCCTGGGGACTGTGCCGGGCGCCTTGTCTCCAGGGCACTGAGGCAGAGACCCTCCTCCTGGCAGTTTTTGCAGTCTTATCTGTGTAGGCCAGCTCTGCCCTTGGCGAGCACGATCCCTGGGGTGCTTGCAGGTGGCGGCCAAAGCCCTGGAGATGGGTGTGTTTGGTGCCTATTTCAACATGCTCATCAACCTGAGGGACATGACAGATGAGGCATTTAAGGACCAGGTGAGCAGGAGGCAGGTGTGGTGCCTGGGACTCGAGTGGGCTGGATTCACAGCCTCAGGGTGGATGTTGACTGTTGCTGCCGGCAAGCCGGGCTAAGACTGGACCCACCCCTTCTTTCCGTGTGTCTGTCAGATCCGCCATCGAGCCTCCAGCCTCCTGCAGGAAGCCAAGACCCAGGCTGCGCTGGTGCTGGACCGCCTGGAGGCCCGGCAGGAGTGACCTCGAGGGAGGCCTCTTGGGGTCTATGGCCCCTCCCTTACCCGTCCCCAGAAGGCACAGCTGTGACTTTGGTCGGGGCACAGCTTGTCTGTGTGGGCCCTGGAGGATAGGAGGGTGGGCAGCAGGCCGTCTCCTGGGAATGGAGGTGCTGGCAGGGACAGGTGACCCCTTAGTCTCATGTGACCTCCAGTAAAGTCTTGGCACCAAACTTGCGTTGTGTGTTTGCAGTTTTGGGGGCAGGGCTGAGAGCTGAGCTTCGGGTCTTGGGGCAGGGGCAAGACACATGGTCAGGGGGCCGTGGGAGATGGGGTTGGAGGGAGTGGGGTCGCAGCGTGAGGAGACAGACCCCAGCGCCAGGGTCCCCAGACACCCGGTGCAGCCGCAGGTCCCTGGGCCACGAGGCCCCTCATCTGTGGGAAGGGGCCTGGTTGTGCATGGGACAGAGGCCCTGGGGACAGCAGGACTTTCGGTGCTGGAAGGAGAGCCCTGAGTCACAGGTGCAGCTCCTGGCAGGTCCGGACAGCCCCATGGAGCAGCACTGGCCCGGTCCTCCATTTGAGTCCACCCTTCAGCCAGCAGCTTCCTGGGGACATTTCCTACCCACTGGGCAGCCTCCTGCTTCCGGAGAAATTCTCCATTAAAAAATAACTTGAAAAATCACTGTACCCTCAAATGACTTCCAGATGGACAATGACACGTGATAGACGAATGTACTTGTTAGCCAGCACTGCAGGATATTAAAAAGATTATTGGGGAGTCTGTCCTTGAGTGAGGCAGAAAACTCAAATGCCTTATTGCAGAGATTTCCCATGCTGAAAACAGAACACACTCGCTCCTGGAAAAAGATGCTGTCACTAAGACAAATGGCAGGAATCCTACCGGGAGAAAAAACACCCAAGGTGTGTGTGGGCACCGGGCCACCGTCACTCGGCATCTAGTTTCCACACGTCCAGCTGGGAGGGAGTGCCGGGAGGGGAAACGGGTGAGGGGACGTTGGTGTTGGGACGGTGAGGGGACATGTGTGAGGGGCACTGGTGAGGGGACATTGGCGGGCTGGCCAGGGGACATGTGTGAGGGACGCTGGTGAGGGGACATTGGTGTGGTATAATTATTGGTGAAGGGCCAGTGGTGAGGGGCAGTTGCTGGGTGGAATTGTGGGGTGGAGCCTGCGGGTATCCGAAGTCCCTTCCAGTGGGACTGACATTCCTGCCCTGTGGGATCTGAGGCTACACACACAGGAGCTGGTACTACGGAGGGGAGTGCCCTCTCCCTGCAGAGGCCCTGGGCGCCCTCCTGTGGGCGGAGCTTGTGCACCTGCAGGGGCCTCTGCCTCCTCCACCTGCAGGAACTGGGTGTTCACCTGGAGCACGGGGATCTGAGGGCTGGCGCTCAGGGTGCAGGGTTTAGCGACACAGGCGGGCTCTCTCTTCCTGGTACTTGCATAGCTTTTTTGTGGGCTGGGAAAGAAGGAGAGAAAGAAAATAACTGAAGTCCTTCCCTGGAGCTGCAGGATGTGTGGTCAGATGAGGAAGAGGTGGAGTATGAAGAAAAGAGTGAGTCTTCCCAGAGGACAACAGAGTATCGGGGTGTATTGGGGTGAACTGCATCCCCCAGGTTTCACATGTTAACCCCTAACCTTAACCCTACCTCCAGACCTCTGGCTGTGACCTTGTTTGGAAACGGGGTCTTGTAGAGGCAGTGAGCTAAGGGGAGCTCATCTTAGAGCAGGCTGAGCCCTGGTCCAGTGTTATGACTTGTGTCCTTATCCAAAGGGGACTTGGACACAGAGACACACACAGGAGTGGGCCATGGTAGGCTGGAGCGAGGGTGCCAGGAGCTCAAGAACCCTGGGACGTCAGGGAGAGACCGGGGTAGGCCTTTCTCTAGGCCTCCAGAGGGAGCCCAGCCTGGCTGAGGCCTCCAGAGCTGTGGCCAATGCCAGGAGTTGTCCAAGCTGTGGTCTGTGGTGCCCCGTAATGGCCGCCAAGACCACTCCTGCCAGGCTAGCCCCTGCCCATGGAGCCTGTGGTTCACCGAGGTGCTACTGAGCTGAGCCTGAAGGACCCTGGGGATCTGAACAGAAAAACATCACTGAGACGGCCACACAAAACAAAACAAGCCCAGAACCTGCTGTCTCTCTGCCGGCTGTCAATCGTGCGTCCACCCACAGAAGACCCTCCCTGTGCAGTGCTGCTCTCAGAGCAGGTGGCCCTGGCTGGGCTGGAAGGAGAGTTTGCTGATCAAGGCTGTGGGGTCAGCCAGCACCTGTGGGTGATGTCCTAGGAGGGCAGGGCTGGGCCGGGGGAGCCATGGACCCTGGTGGGTGAGTGACAGCTGGAGCGTTCCCTCCTGGGCGCCTGACAGCTTGGGGTCCCTCCTGAGCACAGATGCAGCGAGCGGGCACGCAGTGGGTTCAAAGCGTTTTTATTGGATCAGGGCTTGCTCCGGAGTTCAGGGCCAGGCAGGTCAGGAGCCTCGGGAGGGCTGCAGGGGTGGGAGGCCGGGCTAGGCGGGGGCTGCGAGGGACCCCGCGGGGGATCTGGGCCTGGGGCGGGCCCGGGGCGTCCTCCGAGTGGGCGCGGGACCCGGCGCTTAGCACCATGGACGGGTCGGCCCGGGCGGCGCTAGCAGATCCAGCGGATGAAGCGGTCGAAGAAGCCGGGCCGCGCCAGGCTGTCGAAGTCCTTCTCACGGAACACGGCGGCGCGGTCGCCCAGGCTGAGCGTGGTGAGCACGTCCATGTCCACGTCGCCGCCCACGGCCACCACGGTGGGCACCACGTTCTGCTTGCGCATGGAGTGCACGGCCTCCTGCAGGCTGGCGTTGCCCGTCACGCCGTCCGTGAGGAACACGAACGACAGCTCCGCGTGCCTCCGCGCCCCGCCGCGCGCCCGCACGATGGCGTTGACAGCGTGCACGACCCCCGCGCCCACGTGCGAGAAGGAGTTGAGGTAGCGCGCGGCCTCCAGCGCCTCGTGGATGGCCGTGAGGTTGTGGCTCAGCGGGAAGGCCACCTGCTGCTCCCCGGGGCCCCCGAACTGCAGCAGCGCCACGCGCGCGTTCAGGGGGTCGTCCTCCCTCCGCGCCAGGGTCAGCCGCCGCGCCGTCTCCTCCACGAAGCGCCGGGCCTTGTGGAAGTTCTGCTCGCCCAGCCTCTCGGAGCCGTCCAGCAGGAACACGACGTCCACGGGCCGCTGAGTGCACTGCGCCACCGCCAGCTCTGCGGGGAGACGGGGTGCGGGCTGGGCGGGGCGGCTGGCAGGACCTGGCAGATGCCAGCCCTGCGCCCGCCCCTCCACCTGCACCCGCCTGATGGGCCCCATGGACGGCCAGGCTCTGCGGGGGGTTCTGCAGGGCAGTCCTGGGTGGGGGTCCTCGGCCCTAGCCCCTTCAGACAGCACTGTCGGGAGCCACCATCTCCCCTGCGGGTGCTCCCAGGCCCGAGACCCGGACACAGGCCCCAGGCCCTGTCTGCCTGCTGAGTGCCATCTCTGCCCAGCTGGCCTCTTGGGAAGGAAGGGGCCCCAAGGCATCTTCTTGTGGCCCAAGAATTTGCTGCCCACCAAAGGGTCACTGTCTATGTGGTGTGGGACTTCAGGAGGACCCTCACACCCCCAGCCTGACTGCCTGCTGGCTGGGTCCCGGAGCTGCCCAGAACCCCTAGAGCTGACTGGGGCCTCATCCTTCCCAGAAAGACCAGGAGCCCCTGTCCCAGCCGTGGTGGGCGGCAGTGGGCACAGGGGCAGCCCAGGCGGGCTCTGCCCTAAGACTCCTTGTTACTGAGAGGGGCTGCCACCTGCCTGGGTGATCACCAGCCCTGGGCACCCTGGACAGTGTGAGGGTGGGCCACAGCCACAGCCCAGGCCGCCCACCACATGTGTGGGTGTCACGTGGGGCCAGAGACCACAGGATGGGACACGGACAGTCCACACGCATGACCCGGCCCTGCAGCCTCACTAGCACCTCAGCTCCTGGGATGGGGGAGGGGAGGGACAGAGCCAATTTCCCCAAGGGCATCTGCTCCTCAGCCCACCCACTGCACGTGGTCACAGCTGGTACACGGACCCCCAGGAATCCCTCAGGAGCGAGGTCCTGACCCTACGAATGCGCACGGAGGACCCTGACCTGAAACTCGGCTTCTGGGGGCCCTGGAGGTGCAGAGTCCAGGCCCTGCCCGCAGTGAGCACAGCCCTGAACACAGCAGCATGACCTCACGGGCACTTCAGCCTTTACAGAACACCCAAGACAGGCAGACCGCGTCTAAGCACGCACGAGCTGGCAGTCGGGTTCTCAGTGAGCTTATGAGGGATGCAGCTTATTCAGTGAAGGGAAGGGCAGCCTCCCTAGTGAGGCCCACACCTTGCTCCCCGGGGCCCCCGAACTGCAGCAGCGCCACAAACAGCAGCATTGGAACATGCTTAAATGTCCAGAAAGTTCTCAGGCACCGCTGGGCTTCCCAAACCTCCTCAAAACTAATAAACATTTTCACAATTGTCACTACATACACGGAGACCGATGTGTTGGGGGGACGGCTGGTTTTGGGGGTCTCTCTCCAGGCATCAGTGTCTGTGGGGCCTAGAGGACATGGGAGGCCATGGGGGCTGGCTGGGCACAGGGAGGCTGAGGCTGTCGGGTTGTGTGTGGACTCTGCTCTCCTTCTGTGGGGGATCCTTTATCCCCACAGTGGGAAGTCTGGCCTGGCCCACCCTGTGGGGTATGGGGCCGAAAACCTGGCCATGACAAACGGCCACAACTCTGCCTGGTGGGAGCCCAGCCTAGATGAACGTCAGGGTCCGAGCTCGACGTGGGGGCCACACCCTTTGGATGGTGACCCCTGCCACTCCCCACGTCGTGGCCCCTGGGGCTCCCTGCTCAGGCCTCCGAGGACAGCAGAGGCCATGCCTGGTGAATGCTCTCCCAACTGTGCTTCTGAGAACCCAGAAGCTGGGCTGGAAGGGTGCAGGCACCCCAGGTCCGCAGCTGCTGGCAGGCAGCTGTGGCCATTTGCCCCAGGGGGCATGACACCAGCTGAGATACCTCATGATGCCAGGACTGCCAGGTCCCAGGAATATCTGCTGCCCAACCTGAATGCCTTCACCCACCACCAGGTGGGCTGAGTGCCCACACCGCAGCAAGCTCTCCAGCCTCTGGGGCCTGTTTCTGAGGCTCCACTGGAACCCAGAGGGGGAGACATCCCCAGCACTCAGGCTGCACCCCTCCTTCAGCCCCACCCTGACACATGCAGCCCAGCTGGGTCACTAAGTAAAGGCCCCAGAGATTTCCACGCCCAAACCCTGGAGCCTGTGAGGGTGACCTGAAGGAGCAAAGAAGGACTCTGCAGACAGGAGTGAGTTAAGGGTCTTGCGAGGACGCATCCTGGACTTGGGGTGGACCTTAAATTCAGTGACTGGCGTTCTTGTAAAAAGTGGAGAGGCCACAGGAAGGAGGGAGACGGGAAGATGAAGCCGCAGCCCAGGGACACAGCGGCCACCAGGGTGGGAAGAGGCAGAAGGCACCCCAGAGCCTCTGGAGGGACTGCGGCCCTGCTGACCCTCCGATTCCAGACTTCAGCTTCCGCTGAGAGCCAGCCTGCGGGGGCAGCCCTGGGAAGCTAGCACGACAGGGAGGGGCCGGCCGGGCTGTGCGGCCGCCAGGGCTTTAGCAGAGGGCCAGCGCAGTCTCGGGATCGCCCACGATGTCCCTGTGCACCAGCTTAAAGGTGTCAATAAACAGCTCCATCCAGTCCTGCCGCTCAACCCCGGTGGCGAACTTGGCCCGCTCTGCAGTGTAGACCAGCACGGCCACCAGCTGGGAGTAGGCGGCTGGGTCCTGTGTGAACTCCGTGGCGTTTAGCAACTGTTGGATCAGGGGGATGGTCCTGGGGAAGGTGGCGTCCGGCCCCTCTTCCGTGCGGAGGAAGGTGACCAGGGGCTCGCCGCCAGGCCACGGTGCATCTGCAAGGGAGTGTCCAGAGAAGACTTTAAGGCCGGGGGGGTGGGCGTGGCGTGCAGCTGCTCCTGGAAGACCCACTCTGCGAGACCAGACAGAGGAGAAGCACCTGGGCTGGCGAGGCGGTGGCGGAGACGCATGCAGGGCATGGGGCGGTGTGTGGCTCGGCCTTGGCAGGAGGCATGGGGGCAGTGGGGGGTGGCGGGCAGTGGGCAGACGGAGGACAGGGAGCTAGGAGAGGAGGCCAACATGGCGGCACCTCTGGGGGACACCACAGACCCCAAGAAAACCTTTCAGCTCAAACCAGCTCCATTCAAACCTGTGCTGAGAGATGCACCAAACTCCAGCTGGCTCCCAGTGCCCGAGGCCCTGTTGCCGGGAAGACCCTGGCAGGCCCCCCTTCAGGAGCCCACCTGGGGAAGCCTGCAGTGGGAAACCCTTCCTCAGCCCCTGAAACGCCTTTGCTTTTTCTTTCCACGGGGCAGAGCTCAGGTTGTGCCTCGGCCCCATGCAGCTCCTATCGCTGAGGCTCTGCCTCGACTGCCTTCCACTGCATCTGTTTCTCCAGCACCCCCAGGCCCCCACGCAACTGAGACATCCACAGGCTGGGTGCAGGCCCAGGAGGGCCGGGCTTTGGGGTGGACGGGGCTGTCTGGAGAAGGCCAGGGCCAGCCCACAGCCAGCAGCATCCACACAGTGCCCAGGAGGGCCAAGGAGGATGCCCAGGCGTGCACCCTGGTGAAAGCCAATTTAACGCTGACCCTGCTGTAGCTCCTGGAGCTACAGGGTCAAGTTCACTTTGAAATTGCAAATAGTTTGAATGGAGGATGTGCCCTGGGTGTACTGCAGGGGTCAGAGAGGCTGGGGGGAAGGGAGAGGCTCGATGGGGGCTGCTCCAACTCACTGTCATGTCCTGGAGGCCTCAGAGGAGGCCAGAGCTTCAAGACCCCTGTGTCCTTCCTGGCTGCTTTCCCTGTGGTGCTCTGGTGGCCTGAGTGACCCACTCCCAGGAGGGAGAACTGGCTCACCCCAGGTCACCGTCTTGGGGGTAGTCACCATGGAACCTTATGAGACTTGGGTCACCCTGAGGCCTGAACCAGAGATATCACAGGAAAGGAAAGTGCAAGCCGGCGTCACCGATGAGCACAAACCCTCAGGAAGGCCCACACGCATAAACAGAGCTGCTCCCCACGCCCAGGTGGGTTATCCCAGGCATGCAAGGTTGGCTCGACATCTGAAAACCAACAAAGCTCAATGGCTAACTCCCAACTGCAATGATAGGCCAAAGAGGAAAGGTAACATGACATCCACAGACGCAGGGAAAGGACCTGCCAAGATGGCAGCACCCACTCACGGTAGAAACCAGAGTGGAGGAAAAGCTTCCAGCGCCCATTCACGGCAGAACCTGGAGTAGAGGAGAAGCTCCCAGCACCCACTCACACTAGAACTTGCAGTGGAGGGAAGCCAGAGCACCCACTCATGATAGAACCCTGAGTGGAGGGAAGCCGCAGAGCCCACTCATAGAACCCAGAGTGGAGGGAAGCCTCCGCCCAGCAGAGAGCAAAGAGTCCACAGTGAACGTTGCCATGTCGCCCATCATGGGGCCTGAGGCTTCCCTGCCCCGTCAGGAACGAGGGTGGAGGGGCCAAGGTCTGGCTCCTGCCTTCAGTGTCCAGCTGTCCTGGTGCTGGTGCAGGCCCTGGCGGACCTGGGGAGGACGACCGCACCCCAGCAGAGGCACAGCCCATGTGTTGTGGGGCCTGAGGCTACCCACCTGCTGAAGGGCAGCCAGACCCAGGAGCAGCCTCCAGTGTGGCGAACCCTGGCCCCAAGTCCACAGCTCCTCCCCTGGGGTGGCCTCAGGGCCTGTGGATATGCTCCATGGCTCTCCTCACCCACTAGGAGCTCCCCACGAAACGGCTGAATGCACACCCTGACCCACGTGTGCGAGGAAGTGCTGACTTCACACCGCAGACCCTGAGAGATTTCCTCCCCCTGGTCCTTCAGGTCAGACCCTCCCACCCTGTCTCCATGGTGTCCCCACCTTACACTCTGGGAGGGAATGGCTCATGGAGGGGGACTCAGCTCCTTATGCCCCCGGGCACCTCCTGTGGGCCCAGTTACGGTGAAGCAGTCACCGTGGGGGCAGCGCCACAGCCAGCAGAGCCTGGACAGCACCCTAAGCCCTGGACACGGGCAGAACCTCTGCCTCGGGCACCCCCAGACCAGCTTCACACCCACATGGACCATGTCCAGGACAAGGGCTCCCGCGAGCGAGCCGCCTCCACCCCAAGAGATGAGAGCCACGGCCGAAGCTCCGAGGCCGGGCAGGGTGGGAGCAGGATGGGCTGGCGCTGGTGGGTGTCAGTGCCTCTGACCATTCTGAACGGGATGGTTCTGTACCAGCCATTTCATTCACTGAATCCAGGGCTTCCTCCCAGTGCCACGTGCACAGCCAGCCCATGGGAGCTGGGGGATGGCTGGGGGGAGACTGTAGGGCCCATAGTGGGCTGAGACCAGTGGCCACACGCCTAGCACAGCCCCAGGCCAGCAGCCCCCGAGCCGGGCCTCATGATGCCGTCCTGAATTCCTTCCCCTGTGTCGCCCTCCCAGAGCCCCTCCTCCCCTGTGCCCTGGGTGGGGTCGGAGGTGGGCAGCGTGTCATTGAGGAGCAGCCTCAGCAGCAGCTCCTTCGCAGCCTCTCCCCTGGCCCAGCCCTGGAGGAAGAAGGACGTGGGGCTGCTCTGCTAATCTGGGGTGCCCTGCGTTACCTGTTTGGCAGGGAAGGTCTGGGCACACGATCTGAGGGTCTGGAAGAGAGGAGAGAGGCCGGGGCGGGTCATTCCCTAGCTGGCCCTCAGCGGCCGCCCACGGATCTGCCAGACAGGCTCAGGGTGCAGCCAGTCTCGCCCTGCAGCCTGAGAGGCCGACCGCTTCCCACCCAGAGCCCCGTACCCTGGGCTGCACATTCGTCCCTCAGGTGAGGGTGCCCTGGGGCCTGTGCTCTGGGGCCGGCTGCCCTGCACCGACGTGCTCACCCGGGCAGAGGACATCCTCCATGTCGTCGATGAACTTCTCCGCCACCAGGTCGGAGAACAGGGTCATGTTGCGCACCTGCTGCGGCTTGTCGCAGGCGATGGAGTAGAGGTTCTCGCTCTCGTGCTTCTCGTGGAACATGTCCCCGATGCCGATGGCCGTCACCGTGACGTCGCGGTCGCACAGCGCCCGCAGGTTGAGGTCATCGTCCCGAGGGTCGTGGCGCCCGTCCGTGATGACCACCGCGAACACGCGTGTCTTCTGGCGCCGGCTCTCCTTGATGAGGCGGTCGTAGGCAAACTTGAGGGCCGAGGGCGTCCAGGTGCCTCCCGCAATCCACTCGAGGTTCTTCACGGCCTCCTTGAAGCTCGACAGGGAGTCGATGCGCTCGTCGTCCAGCTGGATGGCCTCGAAGGTGCCCTCGTGGCTATACTGCACCACGCCCACGCGTGTCCCTGCAAGCCGCACGCGGGAGGGCGTCACCTGCGGCCTCGGGGTCTGGGGCGTCGGCCGGGCGGAGGTCCTCATCGGAGGGACGCGTCTGGGCTTCTCCCATCCCCTCGCCTCCCTTGTCCTGTCCGCCCGTGCCGTGCCCGCACCCGTCCCTGTCGCGCTGACCTGTCTCGGACTTCGGGTCCTTAGCGATGGCGCCCAGCCTGTTGACCACGTTGATGACAAAGTTCTTCTCCAGCGTGAAGTTGGTGTACCCAATGCTCTCAGAGCTGTCGATGACGAACACCACGTCCAGGGCGCCACAGCGCTTCTCACAGTCTGGGGAGTGGCAGGGTCGGCGGTGCGCACCGGGAGACCTCAGACCCCAGGGCCAGGCGCACATGGGGGAACCCAGGGATGCCCTGCCCTGCTGCGCTCCCGCCCTCCACCCGGTGGGTGCCGGCCAGACCCCACCGTGGGCAGTGCCTCACCACAGCACCCGCAGGTCTCTCTCACGTAGGTCATGACGTCACACTCCTGCAATGCAGGCATCAGTCAGGGCAGTCCCCCACGAGCCCAGAGGAGTTTCCACAGCAAGGTCCTGGCCCGGGGGCCCCAGGACACTCCAGCCCATGCGTGGAGGCAGCCAAGCAGGGAGGCAGGCAGGTTCTGTCCCTGCCAACGTCACTGCCGCCCTCCTCCCCCACCATCCTTGCCCTCTGACCTCCTCCACTGATCTTTCCCTCTGACCTCTCCCTGCTGACCCCCCCTGGCCCTTGCTGCTTTTGGTCTCTAGATTTGCAGGGAGAAGGACAATAGTCCTGTCCCATGTGACACCTACCGTGAGGCCAGGGTCTCCAGGAGGGCCGGGCTCACCCTGAGGAAGGAAGGATGAGGCTGAGATGCAGGGTCCAAAGCTGGGTGGCAGAGTCAGTTACAGGCCATTGCCCACTGTCCACCGTGGGCAGAACCATGAGGCTCAGGTGTGCGTTGGCTTGGCAGTCTGGGGGACTGAACTCTGGAGGGCATGGGGACTGGTCTCGCACCTACCTCGGGTCCTGGGACTCCTCTCGGCCCCCGGGGGCCTGGCTCACCAGGGGGACCAGGATCTGCCTGAGAAGGAACAAGGGCAGGTGGCTTCAGTGGCCACAGGGACGGTCTCTGCATACAGCAGGCCCCAACCACAGGTCCTGCCTTGGGGGGCCTGACAGCTGCATGGAGTGAGGCGAGGCTGTGCCCCCACCTTCCCTGTGCTAGCGCCAGAGCTGGGCAGGCCATGAGTGGCCACTGTCAGAGCCTGGCCCACCAGAGGGGTAGGGGCCTGGCAGAGCTGGGTGTCCCAGAAATAGCAGCCAAAATAGCTCATTCCAATCCATGGTTATTCCATCCACTCATCCATCCATCCATTCACCCACCGTTTATCCACCTGTACATCCTTTGTCCACCCACTCATCTACCCACCCACCCACTCATCCATCCACCCACCCACTCACCCATCCACCCATCCCCTATCCGCTCACCCTCCCATCCATTCATCCATCTATCCACCCACTCATCCCTTCAGCTATCCATCCGTCCACCCACCATCCACTCACCCACCCACTCACTCACCTATCCATCTACTCACCCACCCAGCCATCCATCTCATATCCATTCATCCATCCATCCATTCATCAATCCATCCACCCACACACTCCCTCACCTATCCATCTACCCATCCATCCATCTATCCTTCCATCCATCCATTCGGTCACCCATCCTCCATCCATTCGTCCACCCACCCACTCATCCATCCATCCTCTATCCACCCGCTCATCTATCCATCCACCCACCCATCCATCTTTGTATCCATCCTCCATCCATCCATCCACCCACCCATTCATCATCTCATCCATCCACTCATCCACCCATCCATTCCATTCTCCACCCATCCACCCACCCATTCATCATCTCATCCATCCACTCATCCATCCATTCTCTATCCTCCCACTCACCCATCCACCCACCGCTCCATCTGTCCTCCCATCCACCCATTTGCCTGCCCCCACCTGCCTGCCCATCCATCCATCATTATCCATCCCTTGTCTTGTGCTCAGTCAGTTCCAGACCAATCTGCAGTCCTTGTTAAACAAGGCTAGGGATCTGGAGGTGCAGAGCACCTGCTGATGAATATCTGTGTGTGGGGGACACTAGGGAGGGGATGCTGGGAAGGGGTGCTGTGGGGGATGCTGTGTGTGGGAACTCTGAGGCGGATGCTATGTGGGGGGATCTCTGGGGGAAGGGACCCTGAAGGGATGCCATGTGTGGGAACTCTGAGGGGGATGCTATGTGGGGGGATCTCTGGGGGAAGGGACCCTGAAGGGATGCCGTGTGTGGGAACTCTGAGGGGGATGCTATGTGGGGGGATCTCTGGGGGAAGGGACCCTGAAGGGATGTCGTGTGTGGGAACTCTGAGGGGGATGCTATGTGGGGGGATCTCTGGGGGGAAGGGACCCTGAAGGGGATGCTGTGTTGGGGTTGCTCTGGGGGGAATGCTGTGTGGTGGTGGAGGGGGGCACTGCCGGAAGGGGACCCTTGGGGGATGTAGGGGGAGGGTCATGGGGGAGGGGACCCTTGGGGGAGATGCTGTATGGGGGAGGGGAAGGGAACCCTGGGGGATGCTGGAAGTGAGGGTGGGTGGAGGGAGGAGGCCCTGAGCCAGCCATCCCCTCAGGAAGGTGGGAGTGGTGCTCACGGCTGGGGCCAAGCAGCCTGGTGTCCTCCCACACTCTCAGAGGCACCTGCTCAGCCTCAGGGCCCCTCCCCGCCTCTGTCCAGCTGCTGTGGGCTTCAGGGTGACGACACTCACAGGCTCTCCTTTCTCTCCTTTCGTCCCAGGTCCTCCTTTCAAACCAAAGTCACCTCGGCTTCCCTGTGACAGGGGACACATGTTAGACTGGGATGGAGGAGCCGCCTCTACCAGGGACACTAGTGTGCTTTTTACGTGGAAAGATCGATCTGGCATTTTGGGGTCCTTTAAATGGCAACATCTATGTGGTTTTTTTTGGCAAAGCCTGAACTTGGGTTGGAAAGGGACCAGCTGGTGGCTGGCAGCTCCCCCAGAGCTCAGTATGGGTGGCATGGCTGGGACTTGGGGAGCGAGGACCATCCCGAGGCAGTGTGTTCCCAGCCACAGTGGGGGCATGCAGACCCCACCCCAGGTGGGCACAGGAGGCCAGGACCCGCACGCACCTCAGGGCCTCGTGGGCCGGGCTCGCCTTTTTCCCCCTGTGAAGCAAAGAGAAGTCAGAGAAGCTCAGCCTCAGACCCCAGCGCTCCTTCCTCTCTCCCGGCACCTGCAGCCCCATCTCCCTGCCCCACAGGCACACTCTGGGCAAGGCCTCCGGGCCTGCGTTCTGAGCCGCACTCTTCTGATTCCGGGCTGGCCCTGTCCTTCGCAGAGACACCCAGAGCCTTCTCTCCCCTCCGACCCCCAGGAGGGACCTCACTCTCTTCTGAGGCCTTGAGGGAACTACCAGGAACCTCCAGGGCCCTTGGGACAATATCCACCCCCTGCTGGGAGCTGCTGTCCTAGCCTGAGACTCACGGGTGCTCCTCGGGGTCCTGGGTAGCTGAATCCAGGCCTGCCAGGGTCTCCCTGGAAGAGGAGGGTGAGCGGGTCAGTGTGGTCATAGGATGGGGTGGGGCTGGGCGGCTGTGCTGGGCAGGGTTCACGGTGCACACTGGGGTGGAACGGGGCTGAGGTGCTGTCCAGGACTAGTGTGAGCAGGGGCCTGGCAGCCTCACCCCTTCCACCTCCAGTGGGGGCTGGACGTGCCTAGAGGCCCAGGACTGCTGCCTGCCCACACATGCGGAGAACCCGGCTGCCCTCAGGCCCTGCCTCAGGAAGGCTGTGCTGCCCACACCCGAGGCTCACTGCTGACGGGGAGAGCCGGGAGGGCTCCCTGGCCCCACCCCACCGATGCACCCCTCACTCCAGAGCTGAGAACAGGAGGCACAGGCGCAGCCCAAGGCATGTCTGCAGGCCACAGAGCCCCCCAAGCTGGACCCCTGGTCCTGCTTTTCCCGAAGCTACCCTGAACCCCCAACACATCCTGCTGGGGGGAGGGGCACATACCTTGGGGCCTGGCTGTCCTGAGTCTCCACGGGGCCCTGCATCACCGGGGTCTCCCCGAGATCCCTGAAGGCAGGAGAGAAATTCAGAAGTCAGCACAGGCAGGGACCGGCTTGACATGCCCCGTCTAGCCCTGACCACCAGGTCATGTGGCCCCAGCTCCTCCGGCCTCCTGGGGGACTATGGATCCCTGTCTTGAGGGACTCAGCTCCTCCTCTCCCCTTGGCCCATGCAGGCCCTCAGGCCCACCGCCTTGCCCCCAACTCCCCAACCGAGGTCCTTGAGGGCAGGACCAGGGGCTGGGGCTGAGGGTGGGTGTGAGGTATGCAGTGCCTAAGGAGCAGGTCCTCGCTTCTGGCGCCAGGACCTGCTGCCTGGGTTTGCTATGGGGACGGTGGCTGGCACCAGTCTGCCCTCCACGGACAGGGAGACCCAAGTGGTGCCACAAAGAGGGCATGGGCCCACTGCTAGCCTGGGGCCACAGGGGTCCTGCACTGACCTGCTTTCCCGGCTCCCCAAGAGCCCCCTGGGGGCCTCTTGGTCCAGGCAAGCCTCGGTCTCCCTGGAAGAAAAGGGAGGAGGTTGGGGTCCTCTTGACTGACAGCAGCATCTTGGAGACCCCGAAATCAATCCTGTGGACACGGGCAGGGCCTGGGGTGTGAGGCGGGTCTGGCCCCGGCCCCCATGACCCTCCTGGAGGCTTTGGCTCCTCCTGACCCTCAGCCCTGCCACACTGCATGGAGCAGGCTGGGTTCTGGGTGCAGCTCCTGCCTACCGTGGGGTACAGCTCCTGCCTACCATGGGGTACAACCCCTGCCTGGGTCCCTTCCCTTGGGGTGCAGCCCCTCCCTCATTATCTTGGAGTACCGCCCTACCTTAGGGTGCGGCCGCCTCCCCCTTTGGGGTTCTGCCCCCTCAGCCCCCCACCTTAGGGTACGGCCCCCTCCCCCCTTGGGGTGCTGCCCCCCTCAGCCCCCCACCTTAGGGTGCGGCCCCCTCCTACCCTGGGGTGCAGCCCCTGTTGTCCCCCTACCTGGGGGTACAGCCCCACCCTCCTTGGGGTGCAGCACCCACCCTAGGGTGCAGTCCCCTCCTACCTTGGGGTGCAGCCCCCGTTGACCTCCCTACCTTGGCTCCTTTGTTGCCGACCTCTCCAGCCAGGCCTCGGGGCCCCTCAGGGCCAGGGTCCCCCTGTGGGAAGGGAAGGGAGGCCCCATGGGTCTCAGCTGAGGCCTTGGACCTGGGTCTCTGTGAGAGGTGGGTGTGTCCAGGGGCGGGGGAGGGGCCCCATCGTAAGCGGTGCCTCAGTGGGCTGGGGGTGAGTGCTGCCTGCACAGCTGTTCGAGGTGTGCCTGGCAGGTGGGGGAGCTCCCTCAGCAGGGAATAGGGTGTGGGGATCTCAGGGCTGCGTTCCCAGCCTCTGCAGGGAGTGACCCCTGATGGGTGAGGCCCTGGAGCTCTGTTCTAGGGCGGAATGGGGCTAGGCCCTCACCAGCAGGGCCACGGGCAGCACAGCGGACCCCGCAGTGCCTCCAGCAAGGACTCACCTTCTCCCCCTTGGTGCCATTGATGCCTGGGCTGCCCTTGGTGCCGGGGTCTCCCCTGCGCCCCTGCAGAGAACAGGTGTGTGGGTGGGTGGGGCTGCAGCCAAGCCCAGAGACCACAGAGGGTGGAGGGCACTGGGGGCCGTGCCCGGACTGGTGCCCCGTTCTCTCCAGGAGGCTCCGGTTTTGGGAGCTGAGACCTGGATCTCTGGGCTCTTCCCGATGGCCTCAGCCTGCACCGTGCTCTGCTGCCAGCCCTCCGCCCTTTGCTGGGTGCCTCCCGCCCATTCGAGGATTTAGGAATGATATGGGGAGGCTCCAGGTTGAGTTGGATGTCCTGGGAGTGGGTTTGAGGTGATGGGCTGGGGCCCAGCAGGGACCTGGTGCCATCCAGTCACTCTGGTTACTCTCAGGCAGGCCCCGAGCTTGGACTGACTTTGAGTGGAGGGGTCAGCACTGGACGGGCCGTGCCCACCCCTAGAGGAAGCTCTGGGAAGCTGGTGCTGGGTTAGGGAGCGCCATGGGGGACCCACTTGGGTCTCCCCTCTAAATTCAGCCCTGGGGGTTTGTGGGGTGGTCCAGTCCCATGTCTAAGGATGGGGGCCTGGCTGTGGCTGGCCAGCTGGGGGTCCTGCCTACAGCCTGGTGCCCCTCCCCGTGGCCCTCCTCGAGCTGCAAGGGGGGTGCAGGGGCACAGAGGGTGCCCTGAGGCAGGGGTGGGAGGGACTCACGGGCTCGCCTTTGGGTCCTCGGGGCCCGGGCCCGCCCTTGGCTCCTTTCAGGCCTGGACTTCCTGGGGCTCCGTCGTTGCCTTGATAGCCCTGGGGATGGAGGGGGCAGCACAGTCACGCAGGGGTAGGGGCAGGGGCCATGGCTGGGCCCTGAGGTGCAGTCATGCCTGGTGTGTGGCGTGAAGCCCCTGCTGTCTTCAGCAGAACCTGATTGCCGGGCACGTGGGGGCCCTGCAGGGCTCCCTGGAGCTGGCTCGGCCTCGTGAGGAGGGCACAGGTTGGAGGGGCTGGTGGCTCAGGGCACGTGACCCATCCTTCCTGTCCCTCTCCACGTCCCCAGAGTCCAAGGGGCATCATGGTGACAGCAGAGATGGTGGCCAGTGTGACCATCTACCCAGGTCATGGGTGTGAGTGTGGCCAGCTCAGCTGCAGGCAGAGAGGCAGAGGAGCTCACCTTGCTTCCCTTGGCCCCGCTGTCTCCTGGGGGCCCTCTGCGTCCTGGGCGGCCAGGTTCCCCCTGGAAGGGTTTGCAGAATCAGTTTGACGTTTTTTGGCGGGGAAAGGGGGTGCAGGACCCATGATTAGGCTTGGGGCTAAATCCAGGATGCCAGATGCTGGTGGGGGCTGCTGGAACCTCCATGCTGGCAGAGGACAGAGTGTGGGTCAAGGGCAGGGCCTCAGTGCATCTGCACAGTGGACTCAGCCCGATTTGGGCTCAGGCTGAGGGAAGGTGGACAGGAAGTGGGTGGCCCCAGGTCCAAGAGCTCCCAGAGAAAAACCGCCCATGGGGATCCTGGGACAGCCAGGGACAGGGCAACACTGCAGGCGGCCCAGAAGGACAGAGCCCCGTGGCACAGAGCATTCCCATGGGAGCTCCAGGAGATGCTGGGGGGTTTCCTGGGGCTCCACCCAGGAGGAGGTGGGCTTGCTGCTGAGGCTGAGGTGGGCAGCCGTGGAGCTCCCCAAGCTGGATGTGCAGCCCCCGGTGAGAAGCAAGTTGATGAAGTCCCGGGTGGGCACCCCTGCATCTCACGGCCATTGACTCCTCACTGATCAGTGCTTCAGGAGAGGCCTTCTCTGCTCAGCTTCTCAGCTGGGCTGCCTCCAGGAGGCCCCTCCTGGGGTCAGGGAGGCCCCTGGAGGCTGGTGACCACCCCGCCCCGGGCCGGCCTGCACCCTGGGAAGGCCACTGACCTTGCCACCTTGGTCTCCTCGCTCCCCCGGGCTCCCTGCTTCCCCTGGGTAACCGTCGGGGCCCTGAGAGAGAAGTGAGAGGTGGAGCCCGGCTCACAGTGAGGTTCTCCCCATGAGCCAGGGCCTGAGCCCCTATGTCCCAGCCCGAGAGGGACCTCCCACCCTCTCTTAGAGGCCAGGCCCAACCTGCTGTGCAGGGTTGGAGCTGTGCAGACACCAAAGCTTGGGACGCTTCAGCTCCCAGGGGCATTCTTCACATAACCCCAACCCAAAGGAATGCTGAGCTTGGGGTGCTGGGGTGCAGGGCGAACTCACGCTCCCACAGCAGCTGCGGCCATCCTCCCGCTCCTCCAGGCACCCGTGACCCCAGAGCCAAGGCTGAAGGAGGGGTGTGAGCGGCCCTTACCCGGTTTCCGGGGTCTCCCTTGCAGCCAGGAGGTCCGATGCGCCCCAGCTTGCCCTGAAGAAGAGGAGGGCGGGAGGAGTCTCAGGGCGGGGCTCTGGGGCCTGGGCAGGTCTGCACCTCGGGACTGCAGCACCCCCTCCCGGCACATGGGGTGCACAGAGGCTACGGCTGCTGAGGAGCCTCTCCGGGAGGCACAGTGGTCGGTGCCATCCCCGAGGGCAGAGCTAGAGCTCCCTGGGCACAGAGGACGTTCCCACAGGGAGCCCTGGAAGGAGTGGGTGGGGCTCTCCTATGGCTCCACCAGGGAGGTGGGCTTTGTGCTGGCCTCTGTGGGCAGCTGTGGAACTACCCCAAGACAGGACATGCAGCCTTGAATTAGATGCAGGCTGGTGAAGGTTGGAAGCTGGAGTGACCCCGCACTGTGTGTGTGTGCACGTGTGTGTGTTAGTGGGCATGTGTGTGCATGTGTGGTGTGTGCATGTTTGTGTGCACACGTGTGTGCGCCTGTGCATATGTGTGATGCATGTGGGTGTGTGCATTCACGTGAGCGTGTGTGCACGCATGTGTGTGGGTGCTGTGCATGTGTGTGTGCGCTTGTGCATGTGTGTGTGCATGTGTCTGTGTGTGGTGTGTGGGTGTTTGCACATGCGTGTGTGCATGTGTGATGTGTGTGGGTGTTTGTGTGCATGCATGTGTTTGTGGGTGTGCGTGCATGTGTGCAGGTATGTGTGTGATGTTCATGTATGTGTGTGATGTGTGTAGGTGTTTGTGTGCATGCATGTGTTTGTGGGTGTGTGTGCATGTGTGCAGGTATGTGTGTGATGTTCATGTATGTGTGTGTGATGTGTGTGGGTGTTTGTGTGCATGCATGTGTTTGTGGGTGTCCGTGCGTGTGTGCAGGTATGTGTGTGATGTTCGTGTATGTGTGTGTGATGTGTGTGGGTGTTTGTGTGCATGCATGTGTTTGTGGGTGTCCGTGCGTGTGTGCAGGTATGTGTGTGATGTTCGTGTATGTGTGTGTGATGTGGGTGGGTGTTTGTGTGCATGCACGTGTGTGTGCATGTGTGGGTGTGTGCATGCGCATGTGTTTATGGGCATGTGTGTGCATATGTGTGCATGTGTATGTGTGTGGTGCGTGGGTGTTTGTGTGCACGCACGTGTGTGGCTGTGCGAATGTGCTCGTGTGTGTGCATGTGTCTGTGTGTGGTGTGTGGGTGTTTGCACATGCGTGTGTGTGCATGTGTGATGTGTGCATGCACACACGTGTGTAAGCTGATAGATCAAACTTGGTCTGAGGGCTCTGCAGAGGCTGGAGGCCTCTGTGAGATCAGCCCAGCTGTGAGCCCGAGGCTCCCTCTACCTTCTGTCCATCAGTCCCATTCTTGCCAGCCAGGCCGGAGGCCCCCTGGAGAGAGAAGGAAGAGGGGACTCCGTTAGCCCCGGTCCTTCTGCCCTCTGAGTAGCAGAAAGGAGGGGCTCTGCCCACCCAGCCAGCCTACCTTGCGACCGTCGGCTCCAAATTCACCCTGCAGGAGGAAAGCCAGGGCAGTTAGCTCGGTGTCTCAAAGCACCACGGGCATTGATGTCTCTGGGGGACCAAGCTCGAGGCCATGGGAACCCCGGAAACCCCAAAGCTACCACTGAGAAAAGCCCATCCTGGTGCCCCAGGAGCAATGAGGGCCTTCAGCAGACACTGCGAGGTGGGTCTGGTCTGGGCCAAGGCGATGCAGGTCTCAGGTCTGTTAGCGCCGGAGGCTCACCTTCTCTCCTTTGAAGCCAGGAATGCCCTGGGGGCAGGAGGAGAGAGGGGCGTTAGTGAGGGGCTCTGTGGAGACACAGGAAGGGAAGGGCTGGCCCTGCAGGCTGAGGGGAGTGCTCGGGGGGCTGCTGGCATCCGGAGTTCTCGACAAAGAGTCTGTGGAGGAGGCTGAGCCCAGAGTTGGGACAGAGGCTGGGTTTTGGGGCAGCCATCAAGCTATGGAGGCGATTCTGTTCCTTGGTAGCTGGCAGGAGGGTGGTAGGGGCTGGGGCTGGGGCTGAGGCTGAGGCTGGGCTCGAGGGGAGCCTGCCTGGCAGTGCTGGGGCCACAGGGTGGAGCCAGGCCCTCGCCAAGCACACTCACCTTGGGTCCTGGGAATCCAATGGGGCCTTCGATGCCTGGGTCTCCCTGTGAAGGACAAAGCAGCTGTGTGAGCCCATCCTCAGGCGCCGGGTTGCAGGGGACGTGGGGCAAGGATACGCACCTGTCTTCCCTTCTGGCCTGGCTCTCCCGGCTCGCCCATGTTGCCCTTGGCACCCTAAAAGCAGACAACAGAGAAAAGGGTAAAACGAGGCAGGGTTGGCAGGTGGGGATCCCACCCTGGTGGAGATGTCTTGGTGTCAGCTGCTCCCCAGGGGCCCAGTCTCTGTCAGTCTCAGGCCTGCTTTGACTCATTTCTCCCAGCTCTGAGGGAAGCTTCCCAGAAAACCACCTGCAAGATGGAGCCAGAACAGCAGCCTGGGGGTGGGGGTGCCTGGCCCATGGGGGGTGCCTTCTGCACCCAGTGGCTGTGACCATGACCGACACTGGCCTCCAGTTCTCCAGTGATGCCCAGGTCTCATCACTACAAAGATTAATTCCATTATCTAAGTCACTTTAGACAGATTAAGACTTCAGAAAACCACATAAAGTTTACACTCCCTTGGAATTAAAATTTTAACCTATGACACAGAACTTTATTAAATAAATTCATCTATTTATTGATATGCTCCCAATTTAACTCCAAAGAGGAGGAGAGGAAAGGGGAGGAATTAAGAGGTCAAAGGGAAGAAAAGGGAGGACACTCAGGGCAGGGGCAAGGTGGGCAGAGGCTTCTGGAACATCACAGCTGTGCTCTGTCCTGGGCTCCCCTTGGCACCTTGCCACCCCTCAAACTCTAACCACTAGTGATCCCTGTGGCAGCCTCCAGTGGCACTGCCCACAGATGGGTCATTGCACCACTCTATGCAGCCAAGGCTGCCCCAAGTGGCAAATTCATTCCCAGCTGTGGTGGGGTAGGCATTGCTGCCAGGATTGGAGAAGCCAGGGAAGGAGGTGGCAGGATTTGGCCTGCAGCCTGGAGATGTCTCATCTTGGAGAAAGTACATCCAGAAACCTACCGGTTTAGACAGCTGTCATCCAAATTTAGAAAAACATGCAGCGACTTAGCAATAACTTCCTCTATAATGGCCAATGCCTTAATTCTTCTCCTTAGAAGGTGCTTTCTCTTCCTATGCCTTTCTTTGTAATTTTTGACAGATGTGAATTATTGGAGTTTCACATACTCTGTTAGTGAGTTTTGGAAGGATTTTATTTTATGTATCTCTGTTAGCGAAACGTGTGCGTAACACCCCCATGGGCACCAAGGAAGAAGAACTGTCCAGACCCCAGCACAACTAGTGCCTGAGGAATATCTTAGTTTATAGTGTTACTACTCAGATGTTTCCTTTATATATAATCATATATTAGTTTATAGAATTAGTGCCTGAAGTGTAACTTACTGCTTGCTCTATCTAGCTTATATATATAATCATACTTAGTCCCATATAATCTTTCTACATAATCATATAACGGATATAGTCAGAGCTGTACCAACACATTTAGTGCTGACTTATAGAATCCTTCCACAGAACCATACAGGAGTCTGCAGTAGGAGGGGTGCCTAGAGCAGTCACCGAACAGAAGCAGTACATGGAAAACAGCCGGACCAGGACGAGAACCAAAGACCCAGGCGGTGGCGTCCCTGCCTGAAAGGGCATACGCTGTATGGCAGGCTTGGAGCAAGAGCCTCTCCTCCTGATAAAGGAGTTGTGGTACCTGCATCCAGCTCCTGTGGAAAGTCGGCCTCAGGCCTGAGATCCTGGAAGTAACCGAGGGAGAAGAACCCTCTGGTGTGACCAGTCACGGCGGCTGTACACCCTGTCAGTCTTTTCTCACCTCTGTGCTAGCTCAAATCATCCTCCCATAAATATCTTAAGGGAAGAGCACAAGTCTGTCAGCTCCCACTGCAGTGGCTTGCAGTATCCTTCTGTTAGAAACCCTTTGAAGTCTCCAGCCCCCGGATAAGCAGTGTTGTGCAGGACACCTGTTGCACACAGCCCACGTCCTTGCCTCGGTGACCTAATGGGGGTGGACCCCTTTTCTGCACACGACCCTCTACTACTGCACACGACCCACCTTTCTGCCCAGGTGACATAATGGGGTGGCCCCCTCGCTTGTGACTCGTGTGATTATGTAGCCCTATCACTAAGCCTGTAGCAAATGACCTGACTTAGGACCCTTCCCCTGCCTATTCCTAATAAATACAAATACTTCTGCATGTTCAGGGCCTCGCCTGTCCCTGCTCATAGGTGGCGTGGCCCCCCGAGTCCAGCTGCTCTTCACCAGTTCTTCAGTGTCTCTTTACTGCTCAGATCCTGCACCTCAGCACAGCGTAAGGGACACCCCACGACCCTGTGGGCCCAACAGCCCTACAAATCGCAGGGACATTCAAACCAGACTCCCTAAAACCACTTATGTAATAAACCACAAAAGAGGCCCATACATATTAATGAGCAATTGTTAACTGTGATGCATCTCACATTTTATTTACTTACCTGAATATGCTTGCTTACAAAAGCATTTTAATGGCATATCTTAATTTTTTTTAAGTTTCTACTTTTCTCAATATACCATCTAAAAGGAATTAGACAAAGAAAGAATTTTAGTTTCTCTAGGGTTAGAAGTATTGAGACCATCTGAGGCGCAGCTGCCCTTGAATGTGGATTTCAAAATAAATCAGGGGCTTCCCAGTGAGCAGATCCCACGGGCAGTCTGGGCGTCTTACCTTCTGTCCACGGTAGCCCTTGGGGCCTGGGGGCCCAGGGATCTCCAGGCAGCTCACCTTGTAGCACTGAAACGAGGAAGCGGAGACAGACAGTTACATGGGTGGGACAGTCCCCAGGTGGCAGGGCAGGACTCAGAACGTGTAGCCCACGACCCTCAGCAGGGGCCAAGGAGATGCTGAGATGCCCTGAGACCCCTGGCTGGGGTGAGGGAGCAGACGTGGGGCGCTGTGAGGCTCCGCCCCCACTAGGGACAAGCCAGAGTTTGGTTCTCTGTCAAGTGTTCTAGGCAAGTTTTGGAAAACCAAGGCTGGCTTAAGCCATGACAGAAAACAGAAGGGAAGAAAGGCCGGGACCCCGATGATGCCAGTTCCTTCCCCCCAACGTGCTGGGCTGGGCTGGGGCCTTGAGTCCAGGGTGGATGGATCTTGCCTGCCTGGGGGCCCGACCCTCGACAGCTCCTTATAACACGTGTTCTGTTGGTGACCCTAACGCTGATCCCCAGGGGATCTAAACAGCCTGGCTTTGGCCAGGAGCCAGTTGTCCAGACTCAAAGGCCTCAGGTCCAACACGGAGCAGGGGGCTCCCTCTGTTCCTCTCATCTGTCCAGCCTGGAGGTGCCAGGAGTTGGCAGCCTGGCGTGCTCATGTCTGCTGTATCAGGGGCCGCTAGCACCGGCAGGAAAGGACGCCCACTCACCTCTCCGTAGGCTTCGTGTTTCTGCAGAAAAGACGGAAGTGCTGGTTAGCTCTGGGGTGGCTGCACCTTGAGTCCGGGTGGGGTCAAGGGACACCTGAGTGGCCCAGGTCCCGCCCGGAGCCTCCTCCTTCGGGCTCCGGGTAAACTGAGGCCTGGAGTGGGTGGACTGCCCACCGCCGCCCGCGGCCTGTGGCTCACCATGACCTGGATGATGCGGTTGATGGTGTCCTGGTCGATCTCGGTGGAGTCGGGCAACATGGTGGCGTAGTCGCTGCGGTAGAGCTCGTGTGGCGTGCTGGCGATGTCCCGCAGGCCCTGCTCCTTCAGGTTCTGGTTGGGGGCCACCGCAAAGAGCCGGATGCCCTCCTCGCGAGCCCGCTCGGCCTGCAGCTTGATGCCGCCGCAGGGGCTGCCGGTGACGTGGCCGTCAGTGATGACCACGGCGAAGTGGACGGTACCCTTGCTCCCGTGCAGCCGGATCTGCTCGGTCATGTTGGCCAGGGCGCAGTCGGTGAAGGTACCGCGGCGGAAGGAGCTGATGCCCTGCAGGCTCTTGATGAAGGAGGCCCGGTCGCTGCCCGGCGGGCTGAACACCTCCACCTGGTCGGAGAAGTGCAGGCCGCCGTAGCGCCAGCTCAGCGCCACCTGGTCCAGGTAAAACTCGTTCTGCAGCTGGCTGATGAACTGCGGCACAAACTGCTTCATGTGGAAGAGCAGGATGTCCGTGGGGGACTGCATGGCGACGCTCTCTGATGTGTCCAGCACGAAGTACACGTTGATGGGGCAGTCGGTCTTCTCTGTGGGGGCACAGGACCCGTCTTGAGCCTGCCTCGGGAGGGACTGCTGTTCCAGCCCGTCTCCTGGTCCCGCACCTGTGGTTTGTCCTGCCTGCCCCCCCGCATGCCCACAGCCCCTGGCCCCCAACCCCTGGTACCTGGGCACTGGTCCCGACTGTCCCCCGAATGCCCAGAGCCCCCGACCCCTGGCACCTGGGCACTGGTCCCGACTGTCCCCCGAATGCCCAGAGCCCCCGACCCCTGGCACCTGGGCACTGGTCCCGACTGTCCCCCGAATGCCCAGAGCCCCCGACCCCTGGCACCTGGGCACTGGTCCCGACTGTCCCCCGAATGCCCAGAGCCCCTGACCCCTGGCACCTGGGCACTGGTCCCGACTGTCCCCCGAATGCCCAGAGCCCCCGGACCTCAACCCCTGGCACCTGGGCAGTTGTTGTTTCTCTCAGCAGTGTCTGGCGAGATGACCTCCTGCTGCTGGGCCCAGATGGCCCCCAGGATTCCCCAGAGCAGGAGCACGGAGCACGGACCCTGGAGCATCTTGGCGGGAGCCGTGGCCTTGAAGTCCTGCAAGGAGGGTAGGGTCACTGCAGATGCCCCTATGCCCCCCTCCTGCACCCCTCCCCATGGCAGGTGCACACACAAGGTCGGTGGGATTGGGGGCACTGCCCTCAGTCTTCAAGGAAGCAGGGTCTGTGCCTGGCACACACCGTCACCAGCATCTGGTCTTGGGGGCTGTGCCCTCTCACCCTGCCCTGGGTGGGATTTGGGTGTTCGAGGCCCCTCCATGCCCTCCATAGCTGGGTGGAGTAGGCAGTTGGGCTGCTGGCACAGAAGGGAATGGAGCACCACTGTCTGGAGCCTCCCCCTCGCCTGGGGCTGTCCCGGAAGCAGCTCAGAGGGGAGGGCAGGTGAAAGATCCCAGCTTCCCCTCACGGGCCCCCTGTAGAGCTAGGCACTCTCCAGCCTGGCTCCATTCCCTTTAAACAGGACTTTCATAAGGAGCAGGGAGGACGCTGTCAAGTGTGGGGACATGGCCGTCATTAGCCTGGTTTTCCTTTCTGCAGGTCTGTCCTCCCTGGCGTCCTGTGGCTTGGCCTGAGCTCCAGCTCCAGGAGGCCTTCAGGAAGGGCCTCATGTGCCTGCTGGCTCTGAAGAGTGGGGCTGGCAGTAGCTGGGTGGAGCGGGCACAGGGCCTGGTTCAGAGCTTGTAGATACAGGGGCGATGCAGGGGTCTGAGTGCTGCCCTCCCATCGGTGCAGACGGGATGCGTGTCCTAGCACTGGAACCGGGGAGGGGCTGCCAGGAGAGGACCCTGAAGGGTTGCTGTGATTCTGCAGCTTCATCAATGATGAGGTGACCCAGGCCAGAGCCACCCAGCCTGGGAGGAACGAAGTCCCTTCCCAAATGCCAGCTCAAGCAGTTTGTGGGTGAGTTCTTTCACACTGTCAAGGACTAGCGCTTCTATGAGATAACTTGTTTTAGAACATAAAAGACAAACATTTTCCCAATTCATTTTTAGACCTGGTATAACCCGTGACCAAAGCTTGATTAAAAAAAATCCCTAAAAGTAACTCTACAGATAAATATCACTATGAATATTGCCGATGGCAGTGGTGGGCCATCTGGTGTGGCCACTGCCATCGTGCTGGCTGCTCAGGGAAGGCACAGGGAACCCCGCAGACTGCCTCCCTGGGGGCTGCTGCGATGAGGCCGGTTCGGGTGGCATGCTGGGTGAAGGGGAGCTTGCAGTGGTGTTGCCCCTGCCTGGGATGCAGGCCCCGGTCCGGCAAAGGCCTGGGGTGAGAGAGCGTGGCCAGGTGCCAAGCTCCATGGAGCCAGCAGGAGCTGGGACAAGTGGGAGCCCTGCTCCTTCCGGGCTGGTGGTGCGGGAGCTCCTCGGGTACAACTGCAGCTGCCTAAGTCGTGGCTGTGATCTGGGCCTCATGCTCCCTGGAGCAGGCAGGAGCCTGCCCCCACCCCGGCGCAGCTGCAGCAGCCAAAACTAGGGCTGCGGACCCAGGCATCCTGCACTCTTGGAGGGCAAGGGAAGGCCCCTCTTGCCCTTGTAGGCTTGGGTGTCTGCTCCTGCTGCCCAGCCTCTTCCCGCTCCAGACACCCGCTCTGATCTCAGAGCAGAGTTGGGATTGAGCCGAGGTGCTGTCACAGCCTGGCTGGGCATGCGCATGCTTGTGGCCATGCTGACATGCCAGCCCCCTGCTGCTTTGGCCCCTGCAGACTTTGGGCACTGAGGAGTGCAGGAGGGGAAGCTTGCAGGGGGTGCTGAGGACAGCTGGGTGCTGGCCTGCAGGTGCCCCTTGGTGCCAGCAGCCTGAGCACCATGGATGGCTTCAGGAGGCAGACAGGCTGCTGGGCGGAAAGAGGCGGGTCCCCAGGGAAGCCCCATCTTCCCGCTGGGGCAGGCCTGAAGCCTGGGGGGCAGGCTGCCAGTCCTATGGACTGGAGGGGAATTCATGGTGCTTTTCTCTAGGCCTGCCCATGGCTGCCCATGGACCAATCAGCATACACTTCCCCACTGTGAGGCCCATAAAAGTCTCAGGCTCATTCAGGGCAGGGCAGAGGACGGGACGACCAGCTGCAGAGAGGAGCTACCCTCTCCAGGGCCTCCTCTCTGCTGAGAGCTGAACACTTGAAAGACAACCTGCCTACAGACAGAGGCTGCCCCCTGCGGGTCTGTGAGCTGTCCTAACGTTCAGTAAAGCTTCTTTGTCTGGCTCACCCTCCATTTGTCTGCGTACCCCATTCTTCCTGCACACAGGACAAGGACTTGGGCAAAGATGCCGCCAGCCACAGAGGTTTCAGGCCAGAAAAGTAACACCCTAAAGATCCCATAACAGTATCACAAAAATCCTAGTCAATTTTAAAAACTAAGATCCAACAGTATGTTAAGGGCCAGTATACCAGAACTACAATAGGAAGCTGGTTAAACACACAGTGATGCCACCAACACTAGGGGACTTTTTTTTTTTTTCGAGACAGAGTTTCGCTCTTGTTGCCCAGGCTGGAGTGCAATGGCGTGATCTCGGCTCACCGCAACCTCCACCTCCTGGGTTCAGGCAATTCTCCTGCCTCAGCCTCCTGAGTAGCTGGGATTACAGGCACCCGCCACCATGCCCAGCTAATTTTTTGTATTTTTAGTAGAGATGGGGTTTCACCATGTTGACCAGGATGGTCTCGATCTCTTGACCTTATGATCCACCCACCTCGGACTCCCAAAGTGCTGGGATTACAGGCGTGAGCCACCGTGCCCGGCCGGGAACATGTTAATGTCACATCAACATAAGAAGAAGAAAACATGCAATTGCTTCAGCAGGTCCCCAAAATATCCACTTCTAATTAAGAAGCAACAACAACCAGACAAGGTAGAACCTAGTAAGAAATTTGGGAGTAGAAATAACATTATAAAGGGTATACATTTCAAATCAAGAGCTCGTATCATATTTTACAGGAAAAGCTAAAATAGTGGTTCTTATCTTTGTCGTCATGGACCTTTTAAGAGTCTAGACAGGCTGGGTGCGGTGGCTCATGCCTGTAATCCTAGCACTTTGGGAGGCCGAGGTGGGTGGATCACCTGAGGTCAGGAGTTCAAGACCAGCCTGGCCATCATGGTGAATCCCCATCTTTAAAAAAAAAGAGGCTAGACAATTTCACCTTTCAGAAATGCCTAGATACTCACATACAGAAATTATGTCCAGGAATTTGGGGATTTCATTCATAGATCTAACCCTGGGTTAAAAATTCCTGCACGAGAAGGATGGTGTGTTAAAAAACCGGGGTGGGGGAAAGAATGCTGATCTTACTCTACTATTCAGTGTTGTGTTGGAAGCCAATGCAATAAGACAGTAAAAAGAAGCAAAGTATAAATGCTGGAAAAGAAGAGACAAACTGTCCTTGTTAAAGATATGATCCTCTACCCAGAAAATCAACTGAACAAAGTTTTTTTGAAAGAGAGAGAGAGAGAAAGCAGGGGAGAGAAGGACAATGAATTTAGTGAGCCACTTCCATAAATATATTATCGATGAAAAGAGTCAAATTCTGTAAAATATTTGAAGAGATTTATTCTGAGCCAAACATGAATGATCATGACACAGCTCTCAGGAGGTCCTGAGAACATGTGCCCAAGGTAGATGGGGTGCAGCTTGTTTTTATTCATTTTAGGGAGGCATGAGTCATCAATCAAATACATTTGAGAAATACATTGGATTGCTCCAGAAAGGCGGGACAATTCAAAGTGGGGAGGGGCGGCTTCCAGGCTGTAGGAGAATTTAAACATTTTCTGGTTGACAATTGATTGAGTTTGTCTAAAGATCTGGGATTAATAGAAAGGAAATGTTCAGGTTAAGATAAAAGATTGTGGAGGCCAAGGTTCTTTTGAAGTCTTCTAGTGGCTGCCCTTAGAAATAATAGATGACAAATGTTTCCTATTCAGATCTTTAAAATGTGCTAGACTCTTAATCTCTTCAGGATTGGGAAGGCCTGGAAGAAAAAGATCTAGCTATGTTACTATTCTTTACATATGCAAATTTTCTCCAAGAAAGGATGGCTTTGCAGGGCCATTGCAAAATGTGGCAAAGAAACATGTTTGGGGGTAAAATATTTTGATTTTCTTCTTTGTCACGTAATGTTATGCCAGAGTCAGATTGGAAAGTAAGTCATGACATATAGTGTTAGATAAAACCCATTTGATGAGAATGATAGTTTGTAGGGCATGACTCTCCAGACCCCTTAGATAGGAATATAGGCAAGATAAGAACACCAGAACTTAGTCCTCAATAGACAAAAAGTTATTGATATTCTTCTATCAGTAACAACTAGTTAGAAAATGTTGCAGAAAAAATGCTATTTACACTAGCAATAAAAACAACAAAAACTCAAGGAATTAACTGAATAAAAATATGCAGGACTTAGGAAAAAACTCATTTTTTTTTTTTTTTAGGAATATGTTGGAGAAACAAGCCTTGTTTTGGATAAGAAGCCATCCCACTATCTTAAACTGATATTTAAAAATATCTTATTTCTAAATCAATCTATAATTGAATGTAATTTTAATTAAAATTTCCAAGAAATCTTTTTTGCTTTTTTTGTAGATAAGAGTTTGCAAAATGAATCCAAGTTTCACTTGGAAGTAAAAGCAAGAGTAGTTGAGCAAAATAAAAAATAAAGAGTGCTGAGAAAACTTGTGCTATCAAGTGCAAATGAAACAATAAAATCACAGTGTTGGTTTTGGTGCTGGAACCGGCTGATTCCACAACAATGGGCACACAACAATGGGCACACAACAATGGGCACAACAATACATGAGAGCTTAACAACACATGAAACCTTAACAACACACGAGAGCTTAACACACGAGACCTTAACAACACACGAGACTTTAACACAAGAGACCATAACAACACGAGAGATTAACAACATACGAGAGCTTAACAACACACGAGACCTTAACACACGAGAGCTTAACAACACACAAGAGCTTAACAACACATGAGACCTTAACAACACAGGAGAGCTTAGGCTATGACACGGTGGGCTCTCAGAATGGTGGA